CCCGCAGTGCGGAAGCCCTTGAATCTAGATAGTGTACATCGGCTCAAGATAGTATCCCACTCGGCACGGTTTGGTTGCTAAACCACCCCACGCCGATCTCAGTTCCCGAAGCGTTCAAAAGCCGACTCCGGTTGGAAGCGAAGGGCGGGTGCAAATTTCTGCAAAAGCAGGCGTGGGGTCGATGCATGTTGAGCCACAGATAGACTACTATTGGGTTTTCAAGTCTGGGCAAAAGGTCAAGAAAATGTCGGATGCGGGCATAGTATGTCAAGCTGTGGCATCCGTTGTCGGTGACGCATAGTTTGCCATTCGCTGGTGCCGGAGTCGCGGCCGTGGCGGCTAACTTGGCGGAATCGGCTTAGCGCCACGCCCATGGCGCTGCTCTCGCATACGCGATGCTAGTGGCTTCGCTCATGCCTGCGTCGAGATTTCTGACGTGCACCTATTGCTTGAGAGCAAATGTGGCATGATGGAACGACAGTGATCGGGTCAAGATAGCTATCAGGCTGACAACTGAGTCGGCGCGCCGGAACGAGGCATTGCGAGAAGCCGGATAGCATAGCGGATGGCCGGACTAAGCGTCATGGTTTCTCCTCCCACAACGGGTATGCCGCAATCACATAATGCATGCACTGGAAGATGGCTGCAACCAAACTTGGCAGGGCGCTCATGTCCGCGGCTCCATAGCGCCACAAAGCGAGAAGCGCGAGGCGAGAGACAGTCGGAAGTGGAGAAGTGGCTATTCATGTGCCGTCACTGCTGTGCAAGTGCTCGAGACATTGCCAGGCCAGCTCCACGCACAACCGTATGAGTACTGCAGAAATCTTTTCCGCAAAAGCACTAGATGGCTTTGTGCGTCCAAACTTTGCGGCGAAACGTAAGAGGTGCAGGCCTAGGGCCCAGATCACATGAGTGGCTTGCTGTTTACGAGCGGTAGCAAGTCCTCGAGAAAAAAAATGCTGCAGACGGTCAGCAACAGGGAGGGTGCAGTTCGCGCGCGAGAGCGAGAGCGAGAGAGAGGGGTCGAATCCCATGTACCAAGTACATTCAGCGACCACTTTATACCAGAACCACTCATGTGTCCGTCTCTTAGGCCCGTTACACTGGTTCTTATGCCGTTGAGTCCACAATCACACCATCGGCGTGCTGGATTGAGTAAAAGTGCCCGTCTCAAAACAGACTGGTAGGCCACGACGGTCCCGCTTCGTGACGATGGCGTGCAGGGGGGCAAAGGGCCAGATCGGGTACGCCACTTGCTAGCGAGCCGTAGGCGCAGGCTGCGTGTTACAGCTGAGGGGGTTTGTACGGGTCGAAGAGTGGTGCCCCGGGACGCAAGCCTATTCGCGGGCCTGCAACAGCGAGCCACTGAGAGTACCGTGCACACAACGGTTTCTGTTGCGTCTGGGTGTTGTTTTTTTTGCTAGTACTCTTGCATTCATTGTCATGTATACGCAGAACAGTAGCAAAATCCAAAACATACTTGCCCATCCAGGGTTGTTTACTCTGTGCTGTCAGTATAGGGGGGGGGCAGAGCACGCTGTCATGAAGCATGCACTCTTCTGCAGCAACACGTAAGCGGGCTGGTGCTTTGGCACTCCATTTGCCGAGTCTCTGATCTGACGTCTATCCACATGGTAGGGGTCAGAAGGGGGCGTTCTGCAATGGAGCGTGTCACGCATCTGAGGACATGTGCAGCACGTTGCAACGCCCTGTCAACGGTCTCGAGCATGGCCTGGATGGGGTTGCCCAATGGATATTTTGTCGACTACTGGCATGCTTCACAACATGTCACAGTCCATGGCACAGCATGTTTCTGCTCAGTTGGTACGCAGGCCACCAGCTTTGGTGAAACTGTTTTGGCCGTTTGTGCCAGTGTCTCCCTCATCACGTTGCCACCCCAAGGCTGATCGGTATACCCAAGCACGCTAGGCATGCAAAATCCTCGACGGCTCCGTATGTATGTATGTACGTACATATGTACGCACCATGGACATAGGTATATAAGTAGATAGGTGAGTTATAGCTTCGTATATGGTATACTGCTGCGTGCCTGTAGGAAATTCTCCGAGACAGCTGTCATTTGTCGGGTTGGCGCTGGTCTTGTGAATGACTTGCAGCAGCCGGTTGAAGGCTTCCGGAGTGGTAAGATGAGAATGTCGTATCATGTCGAATCAAACAAAGACCGTGTGTGATGGAAAGCTACCAGGTCGGGGTACGAGACAATCGCTGCTGTACTGCGTGTCATCCTTCTACAGCCGCATAGACAGGTCAATTGTCGCGCGGCATCGTGTGTGGCTGACTGTGCATATATGCATATTTTGTATCCATGGACGGTTCATGCGACCATGATCATTGTCGTCGTCGTCGTCTTGGACATTGTGCGGTTTGCAGTTTCGTAGATTGCAGTTTTGCAATGAGCCATGGTTGACCGGTCAAGGCAAGAATACTCGAAGCGCCATGTTATCAATGAACTATCTACGCGACGGCAAAGCTTGGCAGCGATAGTAGGATACTAGCTACCGACGTTGACCCACTATCTAGAGGTCAACGAGGCCTCCAATCTTGGTCTGCACACGCACGGGATATCTCACCATGTGGAGGCAGGCGAATCAGACTTTGGGACATGTTCACGCAGGAGCGAGCATGGTGGTAGTCGTGTGGCCCGTTTTGCAAAAGACGTACGAGGGCGGTTGATTATGCCCATACGCGGCATAGTGCAATTGCTCGACGTATAATTGCCTGTTGCTATAGCTTGACTTTTTTTAATCGGGCCTCTACGCTGGCCAAAGTGCTGGAGCAAGTCATAGTTTGCGGCGCCTGAGCAGCATGCCGCAAAGGGAATCCATGTCTTGAAGTAGCAGTCGGTCGGTGGTAGACGCCGACAAGGGCCCAATGAGCATTTGGCCGCACAAGGCACGGTCGATCAAAAAAGCATGACCCAAGAGATGGAATCGAGTCGATAGCTAGGATTCCGAGAATCCCAGCGGTGAGCGTTGACAGGCGAGCGGAAGCGGGGACTAGATCTGAGGGATTGGGCATAGGCGCCGATGGACGGATAGAGAGTAAGTTCCTGTTACGAATGGGATTGAGGCCGCCAGACACATTGAAACCAGAGAGTCGCGATGCAAAGTTTATCAGGCCGACAAGCAGGCATAAGACGGGAAGCGTGCAGGAGGGACGCTGGCGGCACAGGACGGGACAGGCGAGGCTTATGCTGGGAAGGGGGTGGGAGGGAACGGACGGGACAGTGGGTGTGGGCGGATGTGTCCATGTCTGTTCTGCTGTCGCGTCGCATCGCATCGGCAGGCGTGGAAAGCGTCTGGTCCTGCCATGGCGACTGCCACCATGGCACACACTATGGGGACAATGGCACACAATACGAGGGCGACTGGAGCCGTGTGGACAGGCGGGCAGGTGGCAGAGAGGCCTTGGCTTGGCTCGGTTTGCCGGATGGGCCTCCGCGCTCAGCCAAGTCGTAGGCTGGCGTGGATCGGAGGCGTGCATGGCCGGCCGGCCTCGACGCAGTGGCATGCCATGATTCGCATGCCGGGGTGGGTGTGCAGGGCCTGCAGAGGCGACGCAGTGTCTTTGATTGTGGGCGCCGAGAGGCACAGTGACACGGGCAGCCGACAGCAGCCGCCCTAGGCTTGCCTTGCCTCTGCCTCGTTGTCGCACGCCCGTTCCCTAACCTGGAGGTGGGCGGGCAGGGCAGGGAACAAGGAAGAATCTGCAGCTAGCAGCCCATGGGCGGGGGTGGTCGGGGGGCCGTGGGCACAGAGGTTCAGGTACATCTCCCGCGGTGGAGCGCATGAGTTTCGCAATCAAACAAGTGCGAGTCGACGGAGGAGCATGGCGCTGGGCCCCTTTGGGGGAGGCTGCGGGCGCTGGTGTTGGTGATGGTGTGTGTGATGTGGACGTGGTAAGTGTTTAGGTCGTGGTGGTGGTGGTGGTGGTGTGGTGGTGGTGGGCGTTGGCGTTGCGGGTCGTCGAAGTGAGAGAATTAAGGAAAAAAAAACAACAATCAAAGGGAGACAATACCGTGTTTTGATTGTATGTATGTACTATGTACGGAAGCGTGGATGTACGTGTGTGTGTGTGTGTGTGTGTGGATGTACGTACGCCTGTATGTATGTCGTATGTATGTATTGTATGGATATGATGTGTGTGTATGTGTGTGTGTGGTCAATGGACTGGACACGGCGCGGGGCCCAATCCTCTGGCGCGCCGGCGCGCGGTGGACCGGCACAGCCAAACCGGGCGGCCACGCTGCAGACGGTGATTCCATGTCGCTATACTACACACATACGGCCGTGGCCAGCTCTTGGTGGTGTCGTTCGCAGCGCAGGGATTGCTGACGTTGGCTCTACTGCGGCGAACATCAGTGGGGTGCTGCGCTGCTAAGAGAAATAATTAGTAGCCTTCACTCCATCATAATCCACTCTTTTCCCTCGCCCGTCGCTCTCGCCCTCGCCCTCCTCCACACCCCGCCAACACCTACCACCCCGACACTGCTCACCCTCTTCCCCCCTCCCCCCTCCCCATCCACCACCCCCATCTCTCGTGCCGCCGTCTCGAACGTGCATCACCACCCTCTGTCCCTCGACGACGCTCAGTCCTGCCCCTGACGCATCCCCCGCCTGCCGACAACAGCGGTGCGCAGCTTGGCTCGCGCCTCCGCCTGATTGGACGATAGCCGGACGGGCCCCATCACCCTCCTACTCTCTGCCTGCTGGCCTGCTCTCCCTTGGTTCTGCTCCCAGACCCCTCACCAGCAGAGGCCACCGCCCATTGGCGACCAGGATTCGCCCGCCCGCACCTTATAGTCCCTCACTGTCGCTTCTCTTGACCCACGGGTGTCTCTGACTTTGCATCTTGCTCAACTGCACCTGTCCACCTTCGTTTATCTCCGTCGATCCCCGCGGGACCCTCATCCGGCCCACTATTTCCCATCACGCCTCCTCTCTGCTCTGTCCTGCCCTGCCCTGCCGGCAATGGACACAATGAACTCCTTCACCTCCTTCGTCAACCCCCAGGACCTGGAGAACCACGGCGCCGGCGACTTCCAGGACTCGTTCTGGCAGATGCGCATCGACCATACTGGCTTCCCCCAGCCCTACGATGCCGCCGTCATGACCTCGACCGCCGACCGCACCAGCAGGAAACAGGACTCGGCCCTTGACCTCACCTCCTTCTCCAACCAGACCTACCCATGCATCCGCCCAGAAGACGACTTCACCACCTTTGTCAACACGGCCCAATCAACCCCAACCTCCAACACGCCCTCGCCCCACGAGACCTTCATCTTCAGCAATGCCAATTCGCCCGGCGACTTCAACCGGGAACAGAGTCAAACCAGCTCACCCGAGACGTGTGCCGACTCCCTGCCCACTGACACCTGGCCTGCTATCCACATTCCTCAGCCCATCAAGCAATCGACTGTCTCAATTGCTCTCGATAAGAACAAGAACCGTGCTGAAACACAAATCAAGACTACCGTCACCATGGATCCCCTCTCCCCCCACTACCAATGGATACGCTTCCCCCGTCAAAATCTTGCAAAGCCAAAGCAAATGGCCAGCACCGAGGAAGTCGAGGCGAACGAGAAGAACAACAGCACCGCCCGCTTGCAACTGACTTTGGTCTTGGCAACTGCAGTTGACAAGCCAGAGGGCCTGGAGCGTGCTTTCCGTCGTGCACGGGGCGATGAGCCAACCCCGCGTCGCCCGCGTGGAGTCGCCATTACCGACATTGCTAAAGAGGACCGATGCCACCCTCAGAACGGCGGCGCAGTCATCATCTGCGAGGGCTGCAAAGAGCGTGAGGCCAAGAGGTTCAACCGCAAGAAGAAGCGGGAAGCAGACGACGAGAAGGAGTGGTCGAGCTACGAAGATGACCGCATCATCATGATCAACGAGAAGGAGTTCAAGAGGTGGCAGGACAACGACAGCCCAGACTTCTCTTCTGCTGCGAAGAAGGTTGAGTTCGTTATGCGAATTACATGCTACTGTAGGCATCAAGAAGACAAGTCGCCAGTAGGCTACCGCGTTATTTTTACTTTCAAGGACGCCAATGATCACTTGCTCGCCCAAGAGATTTCTGAGATTGTTCAAATTACAGACGACCACAAGAACAAAGAGAACCCATCAGAGACTCTGAGTGCTCTGACCATCCCCACGGGCCCCCACGAGGCCATGCCTATGCAGTATGCAGTTCCCATATCAGAATACTCTCCTACCGTCTGCAGTAGCCAGTACTCGCTACCCACTACCCCCATTGTTCCCCAGACACCAGGCCTGCCTCACTCTCAGAGTGTCTTCTTTCCACGAGAAGCACAGTACTCTCGAATGATGGGCTCTACTATGGCCGCCCAGGCATCCAACCAAACTGGTATGGGTTTCTACGGCACTGGCATGCCTGCACCACCGCCAACCCAGCAATACGCCAATCACCAACGGGGACAAAGCTACTTCCCACCGACCATGCTGAGTCCGACAGGAGAACAGGTCCCTAGCCAGAACGGCTACGCGCTTCAGCGTCCTCACTCGTTGGATAGCTTCCCACAGACGTTCAACTTTCAGTTCCCGGCACAACCATCATATCCACAAATGTACTCGTCCCAGCCACCATCTCGGGCCACGTCACGACCAGCATCACCAACATGGGATCAAGGAAGAGGTGCCAAAAAGATGCGTGCCCAGCCGGGATTCATGTTGTATGAAGATTTCGAAGAGTGAAATCTCCATGACACGAAAGTACGAATTATGAACACACCTAAAAAAACCTAGCAACATGCATAGCGGGCATTATGAGCGGCGTTCAAAGGCATGTATTGTAATAGTGGGTGACGAATTTGGGAGGAGCATTGGGTCATTACGGAACAGCTCCGCGTGTATTCTTTGGCACGCTTCTATTCATCGGCACTTGTGGCACCATGGGCTTCGGCCAAACTGGTCCTGGGAAGATGTGTTTTTGACCAATGAGGTCCTTCACACTTACGTTTTCAACATGAATGCCCAGAATGCTCGTCTTTTTGTTTCGATTTGGGAGAGGCTCACGGATTGAGAGCCATAGAATTGTCGCGGTCTTTTTTTTTACTTGTTGGATACTACGACTTTAATTTTTAGACTAACACCCTTTTTTTGTAACCAAATTCTATACATTGGTTGTTTCCCTCCGCAGGGACAATGACAGATTTGATATATTGTCTTGTCATGTCGAGTGTGAGTAAGTGTGAGCGCGCTTGTGCTTTTCAGCTGTCCACGTTCCGTCGCACCTTCCCTTCCCAGTCCCCCACGATTGCGCATCGTCCCACATGCAGGCGGTGCACATTACTGTTTCGCCGAAGAGCGAGCGGCTTCGTTCGTGGGGCCCAACAACGATACCCCCTTGTCTGTGCATTTGTTGTCCATAGTAGTCAAGTCACATCATCCGCGCACTCTCTGTCTCTCTCTCTTCTCGCGCTTGCGCAATCCAATCTGTCTGCATCAGCCCAGTCCCCCTCCCCCGTCTACGTCCATTCCCTTTCCCCTCCTCCCTCCCCCTCCAGTTTTTTTAGTCCGTCGATTCAGTAAGACGATACCCCCCCCTCCGTTATTTTTCGCCTTCCCGGACTCTTCCGTTTCACGCTGCCTTTACGTTACTATCGACCCAAAAAGGGCCATATTTTTTCACTGTTCGTTTTCCCTTGTATGTAGACTATAATGTATGCTTCTTCACTTCTTTTATCATTCCTCTTCCCGCACACCTTAACTTGCGTGTATATATACCCAACCTTGAAGAATGAAGGAAAGAAGAAATGTTAAGCAATATACTTTTATCAAACTAACTCTCTCCTCACTTATTAGTACTTTCCCCCCTTTCATCCTTTCGCCCTTGCCCGCACACAAGAACTATCTGAAATATACACACGTGCAAACTCTAGCCCCCCCTTCCCAACACCGCCCTCTTAGCTACATAAGCGTCGTTTTTTTGTGCTCGCTGCCCACCCCCTCCCTTTTACCCCTCTCTCTGCCTTTTCCCCCGCCACTTCATGTATTGTCTATCACATGATCTGGGCTTATTACGCATTTTTTTCCCCTCAACCTTCCCCCCCCTCTCCCACCGCCATAATGCCAACTTTTTTCGCGTACGTCGTCGTTGCGAAATGAGGCGAATGCCTTCCCAGTTTGCGCTTGAAAGTGATTGGGCTGCGCAAAAGGGAGGGAGGGGGGGAATTAGAGTTTGAAGGGGTACATCCGCGGGAAGTACCGATCGGTGTGAGTAACCTGTATAGGTTGCAGATGGCTATGTCTGCATGTATGTATGTATGACCGCAGCTTTTCTGTTATGAATGTATGTATGATCGGAGATTTGTGCTTGATGGGGACTTTTGTTTCTGCGGGGGGAAGAAGGTTAGGGTTTGGGGATGTGAGTATGCACATGCGTGAGTGACGTAAGTTTTTAGGGAAGTGAGATATCGGGGGGCATGTAGTTGCCGGATTTGATTGAGTTGGAACTTTCCTGGGGGAATCGAGACAAGCGGTTGTAGTAAAGGGGGGGGAGGGTAAGACGGGGAGGGACGGCGAGTGTGGATAAGGGTGGAAGAGGGTAAGACGGGAGGGAGGGACGGCGAAGGTATTAGATGAAGAGAGAGAACGGGGCTTCAAGAATTGATAACAGAGGGTGAACCTGGTGTGTGTAATACGTATATCCATATATTCATCAGATAAACTTTCCCATAACTCATATCTGACCGGGCAGAATAAAGTAACTCCTAGTAGCTGAATTCCAAAACGATTTCGGTATCCACCAATGCAAACAAGGGACTCGTTGATACATAACGGCATGGAAAAAAAGCTTTGCCAAAAAAAGCCCATCCAATGAAAAAAATCGACATGAAAATAAAAATGCGAAAAAAGGACCGTCACAAGACTACTGAAAGCCATGCTAAAAACCTAAAAACCGTAATGGAGAAGGTATGGCGACTGACTACAACGACTCACCACACACACCACTCACGAAACCGAAACGCTTGGCTCTTCCTTACCCCGGAGCGCTGGCAACGGGCCGAAGCCGTCTAGGTCTCATCGGAGGGAAGGCAGATCGACTATAACAGCATGCATGGTTCCAAAGATGCGCCATGCACGGCAGATGTAAACGGGTGGGTGACACAAAGCCCATGTGGTTTCGCATAGGCTAAAAGCCTGCAGCACCAGCTTTCCTGTACTCTTGGAAGTTGTTGACCATGAGGATCGATGGGTCTTCGTGGCGACGAAGCTCTTCCTCCCATTTCTCTTCTTCTTGTGCGTGCGTGGCTTCAAAGGCGGCGGATTGGCCTCGGTGGAAGTATAGTGGTGCGCGCTTGAGGAGGGCGACGTCTTGCGTTACGAGGATGTGCTTGACGCTTGATCCTGTTGTCTTGTTAGCGATTTACCCTTGGTTCTCAGTTCAGCAGCGATACATACCAGGTGTCTCGTACTTGGCTTGTAGGAGAAGCTGATCAACAATGTGTCGCAACCCACGAGCACCAGTACCCATCTTGCTGGCTTTGCGTGCAATTTCCCGCAGAGCTCCTGTGGTGAAGCGCAGCTCAATATTCCTAAGATACGACTTGTGCTCCTCCTGCCGGATGAGGCTGTCCTTGGGCTCAGTGAGTACACGAACCAGGGCGTCTTCGTCTAGAGCTGCCACCGCACAAACGGTGGGTATTCTGCCAATAAGTTCAGGTATCATGCCGAATTTCTGCAAGTCTTCTGGTTGCACATGATCAAGCACATTGACCTTGTCTTCCTTTACGACTTGTCTGATGCCAAAGGGGTTTGGCACTTCTGACTTTGGTGGAACAAAGAAGGGAGCGTCCTTTTTGAACAACTCGGCCTCTGGACCTCTCAACATGGTACCATCAGCAGCCGCATGTGCGCTGGATGACCGTATTGACGCCCCGAAGCCCATGCCACTTTTAGATTTCCGGTCGAGGATGATCTTGTGGAGGTTCGAGAATGCGCCGGTACATATGAAGAGAATGTTGTCAGTTCGGATGTTGAAGACCTCGCCCTTACTTGCTCCTGGACCAGGAGGTTGAGGCGTGTCCATTCTACCAGTGCCACCGGGTCTGTTGGCACTCTTCTCTGGCTTGGCTTGCACCTGCACAGTAGTACCCTCAATGATCTTGAGGAGGGCTTGTTGGACCCCCTCTCCACCAACGTCCTTGCCGTATGATATCTTTGTGCCAGCAATCTTGTCAATCTCATCCAGTACTATGATGCCATGCTCTGTCGCTTCAATGTCATAGTTTGCAGCAGAGAACAAACGAGCTACACATGATTCCACATCATCACCAATGTATCCAGCTTGTGTGAAGGTGGTGCAATCAGACATGGAAATGGGCAGGCCCAGTGTCTTTGCCAGTGTCTTGCACATGAGCGTTTTGCCAACACCTGTTGGACCGAGTATGAGCACATTGGACTTTTCTATCAGCAGCTGGTGTTCGCTGTTGTCAATTAACGAGTCAGGGTCTGCCGGGGAGTCCGACGCCGGCCGATACGCTGGGGCTTCGCTGAAGGATTGCGGGTCATTATGATTGTGCAATTCTACGGTAGACTGCTGGCCCGGAAACTCGTCTACTGTATTTATTAGTCGCGTGATCAGGTTGGTAGCAGAGCCAAGGTGAGGGTTCGGTGTAGTGTACCTTCTACAGGATGGCGGAAGACGGACGCCCTCCTCTGGGCCTGGGCCTCCAACCTCGCTTGCTCCTGCTGCTGTCGCTTGAGCTCCTGTATGCGCAGATGGTGCTCATGGACCGCCACGCTCAGGACTATCTTTGCGCGATCCTGGTCGACAACGAATTGGTCGAGATGCTGGCGCAGGACCTTGGGCGTGATGACCCCGGCACCTACACTGCTTGCGCCGCCCAGCGGGCCCCGGGTTGGCTGGTCTGGCTCGTAGAAAGAAGAGAAGCCCTGGCCGCTAAAGTCGGATCGATGAAACCTCGACGACTTGCGGGTATGTGACAACGGCAGGGACAGTGGCAGGCGGGTGGCGCGCGAGATGCTGTAGAGAGCAAGGTAGGAGGCGCGTGCCTGTGGCGAGACAGCAGCGGGGAGGGCGCGCTGGAGCGGCCTGGAAAGTAGCATCGTGACTGAGAAGGGCATGCAGAGGGCTTCACATGACAGGAGTCTATGTATATATAGTTGGAACAGAGAGCAGAAGTCACGAGCGCTATTCAATAGCCCCAAGGCGGCTGCGACAGTTACCGTGGTTGAGCCGCGAGCTTGTGTCCCCACGTCGAGCTGAGATGCGGGGGAAGCTCCCCACGGCAGCCGATGCCGATAAGGGACTCGTTGCCGCGCAGTGGAAACATAGCCGCCAACGCCCTCCGCGACGCCTGTTGCAGTTAGCCCTCGCCCCTCGCCCCTCCGCCCGCCTTCAGTAGTGTTATAGTAGTATTAGTAGTAGCGGAGAATTGTGCGCTCATCTCGCTGGGCATTATGCTATGTCTACTGTTGGGACAGGTGGCGGGGGCGCGATGCCCCATCCAGCCGCCAGCGAGCTATGACGTTGTGTCGTTGGGTCAACGCCCTTTCGTTGAGTCCTGCCCTGCGCTGGAAGCGGGTTAATGACCCCGCAAAAAGGAAATGATTTCTCCTGCAGATAGCCTATGAGCCTCGTTTTTTTGCCATTGCTCTTTTAAATAGCTGCGCAATTGCTCTGTCCGTTGTCGCTGTCTTGCCCTTCATAGCAAACCCCTCCCTGGATACTTTGCGCGCCTGACAACGCCCCATCCCACACACACGATGGAGCTCAACCAAGCTGCAGCAAACTCGACGACGAGCGATGCACCGGGCAAGATACCCAATGATGGAACCGGTACGCGCTGCCCCTGCCAATGCCCCGCGCAATTGACTGATCTGACGGCTATCCACAGGCATCATCCAACTCGACGGCTATCTAGAGCCCTTCAAAGACTCCCTCAAGAGCCGCTTCTCAAAGGCCCAGAAATGGATCAAGACAATTGACGAGACAGAGGGGGGCCTGGAAAAGTTCTCGCGGGTGCGTAGTTTGTTCATCTCGCTGCCACGCAGTCACTGACGGCGCTTGCAGGGTTTCGAAAAATTCGGCTTCAATGTCCAGCCCAATGGCGATGTCGTATACCGCGAATGGGCTCCCAATGCCCTGCGTGCCTACCTCATTGGCGACTTCAACAACTGGGACCGCGATGCGACACCCATGACCAAGAACGACTTCGGTGTCTTCGAGGTGACGCTTCCTAACAAGGACGGCCAGCCTGCCATCCCTCACGATTCCAAGATCAAGGTACATTGGTTATGCATCCTCAGTCCAACGCACAACTGACAGAAACAACTAGGTCTCATTTGTAACCCCCAATGACCACGCCCGCCAGGAGCGCCTCCCTGCCTGGATCACCCGAGTAACCCAAGACCTCAGCGTCTCCCCCGTATACGATGCGCGCTTCTGGAACCCTCCCCAGAAGTATGTATGGAAGAACCAGCGCCCACCAAAGCCCAAGAGTGCGCGAATCTACGAGGCTCACGTTGGTATATCCTCGCCCGAGCCAAAGGTTGCTACATACAAGGAGTTTACACAAAATATTCTCCCACGAATCCAGCGCCTGGGATACAACACTATACAGTTGATGGCAGTCATGGAGCATGCCTACTACGCCAGTTTCGGATACCAGATCAACAGCTTCTTTGCTGCAAGTAGCAGATATGGTCTCCCAGACGACCTCAAAGAGCTCATTGACACTGCACACGGCATGGGCATCACAGTGTTGTTGGATATGGTGCACAGCCACGCATCCAAGAATGTACTTGATGGCCTGAACATGTTTGACGGCAGTGACCATCTTTACTTCCATTCCGGTCCAAAGGGACGACACGACCTATGGGACAGCAGACTGTTCAACTATGGCCACCATGAAGTGCTGCGCTTCCTTCTCAGCAACTTGCGCTTCTGGATGGAGGAGTACCGTTTTGATGGTTTCCGATTCGATGGAGTCACCAGTATGCTGTACACCCATCACGGTATCGGAACGTAAGTATTGCCAGTTTTCCTATTCCTGTATACACTGACACCCTTACAGGGGCTTCTCTGGTGGCTACCACGAGTACTTTGGCGACTCGGTAGACGAAGAGGCAGTCGTCTATCTGATGCTTGCAAACGAGCTATTGCACACCCTTTACCCTGACTCCATCACGATTGCCGAAGACGTCTCTGGTATGCCTGGTCTCTGTGTGTCACTCTCTCTAGGTGGCATAGGGTTCGACTACAGATTAGCCATGGCCGTACCAGACCTTTACATCAAGTGGTTGAAGGAGAAGCAGGACATTGACTGGGACATGGGCGCCCTTGTCTTCACTCTGACAAACCGACGTCATGGCGAGAAGACCATTGCCTATGCCGAGAGCCACGACCAAGCGTAAGTCAACTTCAACATACTTACAAATGTATGCTAACACAATACAGACTTGTGGGAGACAAGACACTTCTCTTCTGGCTCTGCGATGCACAGATGTATACCAACATGTCAACGCTCACCGAGTTGACACCTGTGATTGACAGGGGTCTGTCGCTGCACAAGATGATCCGATTGATCACTCATGGTCTCGGAGGCGAAGGTTATCTCAACTTTGAAGGCAATGAGTTTGGTCACCCAGAGTGGCTGGACTTCCCCCGTGAAGGCAACAACAACAGCTTCCACTATGCTCGCCGTCAATTCAACCTCCCAGATGACGAACTCCTCCGTTACAAGTTCCTGAACGACTTTGACAGTAAGATGCAGTGGACCGAGGAGAAGTACGGCTGGCTCCACTCGCCACAAGCCTATGTCAGTCTCAAGCACGAAGGCGACAAGGTCATTGTGTTTGAGCGCGCTGGGCTGCTGTGGATCTTCAACTTCCATCCTCAGAACAGCTTCACAGACTACCGTGTTGGTGTGGAGCAGGAGGGCACCTACAGGATTGTACTGAGCACCGATAGCAAGATCTATGGTGGCCACGGAAATGTGGATGAATCAACTAGGTTCTTCACCACTCCCTTCGCCTGGAACAACAGAAAGAACTTTTTGCAAGTTTACATTCCCAGCAGGACTGCCATTGTAAGTCGCATCTCTTATCCTCTCTACAAGTACACCATGCTAACGAATTACCAGGTCCTTGCGCTTGAGAGCACTTTGTAGACTGCTTGATGATAGATAAGCGATACTAGCCAGAATGATTAGCGGCATTTATTATAGAGCGAATAGATATGCGATGAAATGATACCATCTCTTTTCAGGGACACATTCTTGGATGTGATGCAGTAGAAAGCAATGTGCATGGTGCCGGCGTAGAAATCGTACCGTTGTGCTGGTTCACGCTATATTTTACGTGGACGTTAGGTGACGTGAGTGGGCGGGGCTAGTAATCGTTGAACCGCGGAACGAAAATTTCTCTTCCGCCAATACCGGCGTCATTCGACACATTGAACAACGGGAGAACCATTATCGCATGGCTCCCGTGATTTGAGATCAATATCGTCATATTCGTTCCAGTTTCAAGTTTATCCATCGAAACAGCAATAGCCCGGCTAGCTCAATCGGTAGAGCGTGAGACTCTTAGTCTTTCACGGTCTAACAGACACGATTACTCAGTACATCTCAAGGTTGTGGGTTCGACCCCCACGTCGGGCTTGTACGTTTTCTTTTTTTGCTCTTCTTCATTCTTCTCTCTCATAGATGTTTGAAGTAAACTGTTTTTTTTGGTTCGTTGTATCTTCGGACTGAACAACGATCTCTGAGTTATCGGAGAAACAAGAAAATTTGTTTTTGCAGTATTTGGCTAGACCAAGGTAATTTAAGCATTCAGTAATACACAGATAAATCTCTATTTTGATGTTCTACAGAGTGTATCGTTTCTATACAATAATCTGACAACCATCTACATTCACACCAGCACGTCTACCCCCTTGCTCTAGCCTTCAACTTCAACACGCCCTCATCTTCCGCCCCACTATCCCTCTTCATCTGCGCCTCAACCATTCTCCCGATATTCCGTCCATCCTGCATAACACCACCCCTCAGCAACTCGGTGACAACTCTTCCTCTGACAAACGTCTCCTCCACCAACCCCTCAACATGCTCCGGTCCCACACGTCCATACCACACACCCGCCCCACCAAGCTCATTATTCCCTTGCATACTCGGCGGGACATACATGATGACGTTTCCCGCGTACTTGTGGCCCCCGATGTGACTTATGAGTCCCACATCTGCATCTAGCCCTCTGCGCTGGAATTCGCTGCGAAATGCGGATTGCAAAAGTGGGCCGAGGATGCCGCAGCGCTGGTCGCGGCCGCCGTGGCCGCAGATGAAGATTGTGAGGGTTGTTATTTCCTGAGCTTCTGGGAGGGATGCTGCTTTTGATTCGTCGCGGGTTAGGTTGGCTTTTTGTGCTGCGGACAGGTTGGCGTGCATGGGGTGGAGGGTTTTGGCTTTGAGGTATGCGGTTGCGAAGTCGGAGAGGGAAGTATGGGTGTGTGGGAGGTTTTGGATACGCTTGAAGCTAGGGAAGAGGAGGGCTGTTGTTGTGTTGGGTGTGGTGCTTTTGGGGAGGGAGGAGGCGGTTATGAGAACGTTCGTGAAGGGCTGGAGATATTTTGTTAGTGTTTCTGTTCGGTTTTTTTTGGAGAGAAAGTACAGGATTGTCAAAACGAACCTACATCGAATCCCGGTGTACCTTTTCCTATCACACCTTTTAGTCCTTTGACGAACTCGCCCGTTTCGCCTTCTTCTTGCTCAATGTTGCTGGCCCAATCGTCTTTTCCCGTGCAGAACACGACTTGTTCTGAGTACGGGGCCATTGTGTTCAGCAGCGGTGTCTTGCGATCGATGTCGAGGTCTTTCGGCGCAGAGGCGCATTCGCATGTTGGCGAGGGACATGTTGGTGTGTATGGTATGAATGAGGATTGGAAGCGCAGGCGTGTGGTTGAGAAGGCGCGGATGGCGCGTGGGGTCAGCGTCCGCGGAAGTCGAGCGAACAGCATTTTTTGGCTGGAGGTCTACGGGATGTTGGGTGCGTTTGTGCTTGGTGAGATGGGCTTCGGAAGATTATGATGCAGGGCTCGGAATCGGTTCCGCGATGATGACGACGGAGGGCTCGGAGATAGTAGCGGAGCTTGGGGTCGGCTTTGTACGAGTTCTGCGAAGACATTTTCACGCATCATTGGTAAACAACATCGATATCGCTCAGAAAGCTACAAAAGTCATGAATATTGCGGCAGAAAATATGTGAAGCGTATATAATTGGGGCAACATTGTGCTATTCGTCTTCTAAGCTATGGATAGAAGAAACACAACAGCCATCGCCATGAGTGCTGCTTCAAATGCATGCGCAGAGCTCGAGCGGGCTGCAGTAGATTCTGGAATACGGCTACCCTCAAGGACACTGTCTGGAGCTAGACAAACTGCCTTATTCTCAACAGTACCGTCTGGAGACTTGATTGTGAAGAGCATAGGTACCACTTGGCGAACATTCTTATCATACAAGTCGAAATTCTCGCGATCATTTCCACCGCCATACACAGCCACAGGCAAATCACCGTAGGTTCGATAACCTTCTGGCAAGTCGATATGGGGAAGCCCAGTCAAGGTGCAATCGGTACTGGAGAAATTTGATGGGGAATCTTTTGCATTGTTAGAAAGAGTTCGTATACAAGTGGGTTGAAATAGAATGCCCCGTAAGGAAGAAGTCAACTAGAAAGAACGTACGTGATACCAATGGAACGTGTGTTCCACAAGCCTCTTCGACATCGCTTGGTTTATGACAACGGCCGTCCCACATGGACGGGGTGTTATGTACCAGGGATCTCATGCACTCGTCGCTCAACACACTGATACAATCTCCAGCTTCCTCCTGCGATGAAGAGTCTCGCGGTGGAAGCATGAACATACAGTATTCAGTCTGATTGTTTTGTTGACTCCCCACTAACGAACTTGGAACACTTAGGAAACCTTCCAACTGTTGCCAGGTTATACTGTCGCCGTAGACGATGCCTGGCTCGCGCCTATCGGTTATGGTAAGACTGACATACCAGGGCTCACGTGCCGACCCCTGAGCTAAACGAGCTGTGCCGGTTGAGTTGATAGGAAAATCGTCACGGGCTATGACTTGGATAGGGCCACTGCAGTTTTGCACTGATGAGTCGTTGAAGACCTGGGCATGAGCCGATGTGGAAAATAGTAGGTGTGCTACGAATAGCAAAACGACGTTGATCATTTTAACAAACATAACAGAGAAAAGGAGTAGTATGGTATGAAGTACTGGAACACTGAGTAGGGATTCCTCCCTGTTTACGGGGCGTCCATATTGTTGTATATCTTAGCCACATCTCAGATGCCACATGACGTGGAAGTGTTTCATCGGGGTTGGCGAAGAGGCGAAGCATACTACAGTCTGTGAGAACCAGTTAATGGTGCTGTTCAGTTAGGCTCCATCAGGAGGCGCCTCGCTTACGCCCTAGCTGTCCATCAAGGTGCGCGGAAGGTGCCGTTACCCGAACTAGCGAATGGACGTGAATGGTCACAACGAGCCCGCCTGTTACTAAAAGAGTACACCTTGGCATATTACTCCACAGATCTGCTATGATCGAGGATGTGAATAGGAAATAACAGGCATTCTAACTTGGCAATATGGCTCAGTGTGTACAGATTGAGATACTTGGCCCTTGGCCCTTGGCAGATTTCACTCTGGATTAGGCCCCCATGACGTAGGGACAGACCTTTGTGAGCCTTTTACGTACCGTTTCATCGAGATCGTGAGGAATATCGTAGGATATACACCATGTTACCGTGCCAGTTGATGCACTGCCTTGATACTGTGTGTTATTATTGTTATGGATCTGTAATGAATGAGGCACCGCTATCTTTAACAAGGGAAGCACGAATAGACGCTTGAAGCACTGTCTGCGTGTAACTGTACCCTATTGTCAGGCAGGGCATATTGGATCCTCAACTGGCCCCATTATCATTCCCCGTTCAGGCTTTTTGGTAGCACTAGAAAGCTTGGGTGCTGGCCTGACACGAAACGAAGGATTGATCTCAGCCATCGACCAAACTCAACAGTGACGTCGAACATGATTCCTAGCTCTGCTAGCCATACAGAACGACGATGCTGTTTGAGACAATCAATAAGCCACACGCTTGACCGGAAAACACGGATGGTAGAGCTAACAAACGGTCTCGATGTGAGAGTTGTGAAAAAGAGAAGCAGAGTGGAAGTCAGAAAGTATAAAGAGTCGAATGGGTTTGTTCAGTTGTCATCATCACAGCCAGTAATCAGTTCTTCAGTCAATTCCTTCATCATCAAGCAAAACTTCTCTTCGAATATCAGAAGATGCAGTACCTTACGCTCTTGCCGCTGCTTGCGGCTTTGACCTCTCATCCAGCTATGGCAGCTCCCTCTAGTCTCATGGCTCGTCAGGAGGACTGGGACGGAGAGCAAACTGGTGGCATCTTTTGCGAGTCAAGGCTGCAGCCAAACTGGGGTGATTGTAAGTTCTTACCCCTCTTTCTGATTCTCAGATCTTGTCACCGTTCGAACGCAGCCTAATCGATTTCGTTTTTGTTTCACAGGCAGCACCATCATGGATGGCAACTCGTACTTTGGCGAAGTTGATCCAAACCGGAGCGTCTGCCTCAATCCCAGAGCTTGCCGTGTCTGGACCGAGGGCAACTGCCGCATTTCGTTCTGCAACAACGAAAATTTCGAGATTTGCAACCCTGCATCGACCTGGGGCGGTAGAGCTAGAAACATTGAGTCCGAGTGCAAGAGCTCCGACACTGGCGGCTACCAATCCACTCCACCTCCTGAACCCTGGTCTGAGGTTGCTATCAGGCTCAACACGGATTGGCGCCGTCTGCCTGCAAGCCTCGTTTATGAGGAGATGTCTACCGAAGAGAACAACGTTCAGATGCAAACCTTGGGTGCAGAGGCGGATGAATTGGAAACCAGAGTACGTATCTCGATATAACATCTCCACCCTATCCACAGAGCTAACCGCATGAAACACAGCAAGCCGACCGCTTCTCAGACGTAGTCACACGAATCAATGTCTACAAGCCCGGCTCCGCCGTCTTCGTTGCCCAAGTTCCCAACGCTGGTGCTTACGAAGTCACAACTTCCAAGTCGGAGACCTTCTCCATCACTTCATCTTTGACTCTGGGTGCAAGCGCATGGGACGCTATCAGTGCAGAGATTGGCGTTTCTGCTAGCTTCGAGACTACCATGACCAACACTGTGGCTGTCACGATCAATATCGATTGTGAGGGGGGCACCGGTCAGGTGTACTGGCGCCCGTTCTTTGATGAGTACGAAGGTACGCTTGAGTCGAGTGGACAAAAGGTTACGATTTGGGTTCCGAAGGATACGGAGGCATCTCGCATGAACTACGACTACCAGTGCACTGGTTAAGCAGTTCGGAGTTTAGCGTATCGGGTCTTTGGTCTTTGTCTAGCTGGTAGTCTCGGGTGCCGTAACACATCTACTAAGTTGGACTCAGCTGAAGTTGGTTCATGAAAACACAATGGCAGATGTCAGGTCTTCCCCTCACGCCAGTTTCTTGATAAGTAGACTGTAACCTTGGACGTTTACTTAGCCATAGCTTGATACAATGCACACTTGTTATGCGCCTTCAACCTTCTTGAACCCCTGGAACTCTTCCGATGCCATCACAGCTGAGGCAGAGGACCTTTTTCAGGATTTGTGACCAACAAAAGACTAAGGAGGCCTCTCAGCTGCTATGGCACCTCGACCTTTTGCGTCTCCTCCTTAATAGGCAAAATCTCTTGCATAGGTAGCACTTCTCAACTTATACGCCTAGCAACCTGGACTGTAGCTTAGAAAACAGGGCCGTCAACTTTATCAAGAGTCGGTAAGTCTCAGTTAGGAAAGAGTCGCTTAATCCTCGCTATGCACCAGGCCTCATCAACTAAAGGATTGGGACTATCCGCATTGCCTAAGACATTGGGCTTGATCCAGCAAAGTAGCATTGCGGCTACTGCCCACACCTGCGATGGTGGGGGTCTGCATATCACCAGTCACCATCCAAACAAGGAAATCCCTCCAATATCTCAGCATACTACTATCGCACAACAGCCTTTACTCATACAGTCAATCAAACCACTTTTTTCCATAGATAATACTACTTGCACAAAACATACTATACATCTAACCTACACGCAAAAATTCATCTATCATACACACCTACCCCGTCTTCTCCCCCTTCGGCTTCCTCGGTGCCACGAAATTGCAAAGAGCACCACCGTTCACAGCAATGACCTTCCAGCCCTGCGGTACTATGCCATCAAATTCGTCACTGGCTTCATGCGAAGGACTAGCCTTCCAGATCTTGCCCGTTTCCCTATCGAACCACTCCTTCCCTGCTTCCGTCTTAAGTAGCTCAGATAGTACAAACTGCGCTACGGCCTTGCCATCCTTGGGATTGACCGAAGCCGGGAGCTTCGCAATGTCCGCTTCAAACTTGCGCTTGCCGTCGACTTGGACCACGCATTTGCGGGTCGTGGTTAGGAGCGGGATAATGGCGAGATCGGCTTGCGGAAACCCTGTTGCGAAGACTGTTGGGATGTCCGTGCTGGACTCTTGGGAGGTTATGCAGGTGGTGAGCAGGTGCCAGGATTCTTCTGCTACTCCTGGTGCGATGGGGGCGAGCATGCGGATGAGGTGGGCTACAGAGTACCATTTGAGATAGGATGTTGTAGGAGAGACGTGAGGAGTATCCCAGATGGTGTTTGTGAGTGTCATTAGGTCGCTGATGATGGTATTGAGGGAATAAGTTTGCGAAAAGGATTCTGTGACGCTGGCAATGGTTTGCTGGGTTTTGATCCAGAGTTGGGCTTCGTCTGGTTTGAGTGTAGAGATTAAGGTCTCTCGAGAGGCGGTTTTTGGATTTTCTAGTTGTGAGAGGTTTTGCAGGATAAACAAGAGATTCTCATCAATGCTCTTTGGGATAGCAAAACTTTCGACTTCGTCATCGGGTAGCCAGGAAGCAGCCGCTAGCTTCACGACTCGATGCAGCCAGCGTTGCACACCGATAATTTTCTTTTCGTCATATTCCAGCACATCACCGACCGGTGCTTGGAAGAGCATATGGGCACGCGTTGCATCTGCGCCGTACTTGGCAATTGTAGCACCGGGATCCACGCCATTGTACTTGCTCTTAGACATCTTCTCGTAGCTCACGTTTGGCGTTTGGCCAGTGGCTTTGATAAGAGGTTTGGAAGGATTCGTCAAGTCGACTTCATCTGGTCGAAGGAAGCGCCCGTTTTCAGGGTCGGTAAAGGTCTCTCCATGTACCATGCCTTGAGTGATGAGTCGAGTGAATGGCTCGCCATTCGTCAAATAGCCTTTCGGCCACGTTGAAGTCGTAGCGAGGAATTTTGAAATGAAGCGAGCGTACAGAAGGTGTAGGATGGCATGTTCCACTCCACCAATGTACAAATCCACTGGCATACCGCTGTTGGCTTTGACAGGATCGACCAGAGCGTCATCATTCTTAGGATCTAAAAATCTGAAAAAGTACCAGGATGAATCCATAAAAGTGTCCATGGTATCAGTTTCGCGTTCAGCAGCGGAGCCGCATTGCGGGCACGAGGTCTTTTTCCAATTCTCGTCTTCTTCTAGTGGGTTTCCCTTGCGACCTTGGAAGAAGCTGTCGGGTAAATCCGGTAGTTGGACGGGAAGGTCCTTTTCAGGGACTGGCACAGCACCGCAGGAGTCACAATGTATAATGGGAATGGGGGCACCCCAATACCGTTGGCGACTTATGAGCCAGTCCCGGAGACGCCAGTTTGCTGTTATTTCGGCTTGTTTGCCAGTGCTTACGATAGCCTGGACGACTTCGCGGGCAGCTTGCTTGGAAGGCATGCCGCCAAAATTCTCAATGTCAGCAGCAACAAATCCTCTTTCGGTTACGGGTACATCTTTCCCGCTTCGTGGTACAATTGGAGTAGGCAGATCGTTCTTCTTCGTAGACACAACTAACCTTATGGGCTCATCGCCAACGTTGGCTCGCCAGAATGCGTGATCTCGCGTATCGTGGCCAGGTACACCCATGACAGCACCAGAACCATAGTCATCCAGGACGTAGGGAGCCACATAAACAGGAATAGTAGGTCCAGCAGTACCGCGGACGTAAGCCAATGGGTTTCTGGCTACGATGCTCCGAAGCAGGAAGCCTTCTTTTGTGTCTGGAGGTAGGTCCTTTGCTCGTTCGATGAATGCGCGAAGGGACTCGTCCTGGGCAGCTAGTTTTTGGACAACGGGATGACTCAAAGACAAAGCAATGTACTGTACCCCAAACAAGGTATCAGCCCTGGTTGTGAATACATCAACAGGCTCAAAAGACACATCGCTACCTGTTGAGATGATTTCGAAACAGAGTTTTGCACCTTCCGACTTGCCGATCCAGTTTCTTTGCATAGCTAGTACTTTTTCTGGCCATCTGTCATGTGTTGCAAGAGCATCTAAATCTTTTAGTAAAGGTTCTTGAAACTCCTTGATTTTCAAAAACCATTGCTTCAACATGACCTTCTCTACCTTTGCGCCAGAACGCCAGGAGCAGCCATTGGCATCTACCTGTTCGTTGGCAAGGACCGTCTTGTCGACAGGGTCGTAGTTGACAAGAGACTCTGCTTGATATGCGAGGCCGCGGTCGTGGAGCATGAGGAAGATGCGCTGAGTGTGCTTGTAAAAGGCAGGATCGCATGTTCGTATTTCCTATGTACAAGTGGATCAGCTCCTGTGCTGTCTACCCAAAAGATGTTGCATACAGCGTCCCAGTCCCATCGACCACCCATTTGCTTCATCTGGGTCTTCATGGCTTTGATGTTGAGCAGCGTCCATTTCTCGGGATGGACTCCCCGCTCGATTGCTGCATTCTCGGCAGGCAGACCAAAGGCGTCCCATCCGATGGGATGCAGGACCTTGTAGCCCTGCATGTGCTTGAAGCGAGCCAGGACATCGGATATGGTGTATACTCGTAGATGTCCGAGATGAAGGGTGCCCGACGGATAAGGAAACATTGGCAGCACATAAGCATTGCCGCGGTCCGAAGTGCGTAGTTTGTGCCACTTGGAAGACAGCTCATCCCAATGCGGCTGCCATTTTGCCGTCAACGACTCCAAGCGCACATCGTCGGCCCTGTTCTTGGTGTTGCGCGTGACCGCCCATCGCGACGACGTTATACGCGTGTAGTGGTGAAGGGCGGGGCGACGGAGGGCACGCTGCCAGCCCACGGATTGCAAAAGTCGGCCTTGCATCTCCTACCGGCTCGGCACCTGGGCATTTGATACGGGCGTGGGATACATGGTCTGCCCGTCCGTATACAAAAGATGCACGGCACCACCCGAGTTGCGAAGAGTTCCCGCATTTTTTTGGGACCTGGGCCACTAGCCCGGCACGGAAACTAGTCCCATGACGGCATAAGGAGCTCCGTCGTTTCGACTGCGCATGCACGCTTCGCCATTCATACACCGCAGCTTCGCCAGCGAGCTACAGTATTGGACAACCGGCTGCTGGTCACTGCCTCTTGCTGATTACTCCGAACTCTCCATGGCGAGCACATAGACGTCCGTATCTTCCCCTCCCGATCCCCCTACCTTCCTTTCGCAACATGGCCGGCCGCTATTCCAACCTGCCACCCCCGACTCGCGATTCACTCGAACTGGCCTCGCTCGCCTCGTCTTCGCATGCCTCTCCTCGTTCCTCTCACGAATCTTCTTCCTCGGGCGCGCCCTCTTCGCGCAGACTGTCCTTTGACGACGAGGATCCCTTGTCCGAACTGAACCCTGCCGGCCATGACCCGAGCCGACCGCGGCGCACTCGCACTTACAGCGTGTCCTCCGCCTTTGACTTTGCCCCGAATCTGTTTCCTCTGTCTAGCACCGCACAGGGATACACGGCCCTAGGCGCGCCTGCGAACCCGGCCTTGGATCCCTCTAATGCTCTTAATGGCGGCTCATTAGAGAAGAACAAAAGCTTGACATACCTTAATGGATTGTCGCTGGTTATCGGTCTTATAATAGGGAGTGGAATCTTCTCCTCGCCCTCTCAGGTCAACAAGAATGCAGGATCGCCTGGCGCGTCCCTGCTGGTCTGGCTCGTCGCTGGAATATTGGCATGGACGGGCGCGGCGAGCTATGCGGAGCTAGGAGGCGCTATACCCCTCAATGGTGGCGCCCAAGTCTACCTGTCAAAAATCTTTGGCGAGTGGGCGGGTTTCTTGTTCACATGGTGCGCAGTCATGGTGCTGAAGCCGGGTTCGGCAGCCATCATCGCGATCATCTTTGGTGAATACGTTGTGCGCGCCGTCATTGGAGCCGAGGCTGTAGATGCGGGCACATGGTTGAACAAGAGCGTGGCTCTGGTGGGACTTGTGATTGTCACACTGCTTAATTGTATCTCCACAAAACTAGGTACACGGAGCGCTGACGTCTTTATGTTCTTGAAATTCTTCGCCCTATTGGGAGTCACAGTAATTGGCATTGTGGTTGCAGCGACAGGCCTGTCGTACAAAGGCAAGGCCAATGACGACTGGAAACATCATGGTTGGTTCGAAGACACGAGCGAGAATGTCAGTAACTGGGCCGTCGCGCTATACGCCGGGCTGTGGGCATTCGATGGCTGGGACAATGTAGGTTCACCACCACCTCGGCGCATCTGCTCATATCCACTAACATTTCTAGGTCAATTATGTCACAGGAGAATTCAAGAATCCCACTCGCGACCTTCCCCGCGTCATCCACACCTCGCTGCCGCTCGTCATACTCTGCTATATCCTCGCCAACATCTCCTACTTCCTCGTCCTCCCCGCCTCCGTCATCGAGTCTTCAAACACAGTTGCCGTGGCCTTTGGCTCGCAAGTCTTCGGTCCTGTCGGCGCTCTAATCCTCGCCCTATTCGTCTCCGGCTCATGTTTCGGCGCGCTCAATGCTACAACATTTACATCCGGTCGCCTCGTCTACGCAGCAGGCAAGGAGGGCTATCTCCCCTCCATGTTCGGGAACATAGGCCTAGGCAAAAACCATCGTGCCATCCGCCTACACTCCCTCAATGCAAACCAAAGCAAGAGCAAAATACCCCAGAAACTCGTAAGTTGGTTCGCAGACGAAGATGCAGGCTTCTTCTTCACCCCTATCTCCGCCATGTTGCTAAACGCCTTTCTCACAACCATCTACATCATTGTCGGCTCCTTCGATACGCTAGTCACCTTCTACGGTGTCGCAGGCTACGCCTTCTACTTCCAAACCGTTCTGGGCCTCATCGTCCTGCGCGTCCGCGAACCAGATCTAGAACGACCGTACAAAACGTGGATCACCACGCCCATCATCTTCTGCTGCGTCAGCCTCTTCCTCCTCAGCAGAGCCGTCTTCGCCGAGCCCCTCCAGACGCTCCTCGTCGTCGCTTTCATGGTTGTCGGGCTCGTCATTTGGTTTGCATGGGTGGGACGGCGGAGGAACAAGGAGAATACAAAATTCCGTATGCCGGATGAGGGCAGCGAGAAGGTTGGGTGGAAGTTTTGGCAGCGGTGGACGAAATGAGTTATGTTATCATTATCATGACTGTTGTTTATAGCGTATAGGGCTATGTAACGAAGTGTATGATAGTTCCACCCATTGTTCGGATACCATTCTTGAACCCTTTTTTTCCCTCTCCCATTCTTGAGCCAGATTGGGTGCATGTTTTGATACGGACCTGCTATGCTTGGAATGAAGAAATGACAAATTCCCCTTATCTATGAATCTTTTTTTTTCTATCATTCCTGTTTTTTTTTCCACAGTGGTCTGACTACCCTCCTTCCCTTTTCTAACCCGCAATGCACGAATGCTCTTTTGCATTAAATCCGACTCGCCGTCCTACCTTCCTCTTTTTCTTTCACGCTGCTGCATCCTCCTTGTTTCAGGGCAGAGATGTTCTCGAGTCGAGTCAAAGTCGGGCCGTTTTTTTTTCTTCTTTTCCTTGCTTTGCTTCAAACTCGCATTGGCGTGTTGGAGGGGGGTGTTCGGTTGGAGTCGAGTTGGAGGAGGGAAAGGGGAATGCCTCAATTTGGGGGGAGGCTGCTGCATATACTTGTTTTTTTTAAGAGTTGTGTTAAATGTGATAGGAAAGTCACTCAAGCGAAGGAAGGGATATGATTTTTGCAAAGTTCATGAATCAGTTCCAAGGCTGACTCGCCCTTTTTTGTCGAGGAAGAAAAATGCGTGTAGGATACAATGCTGCATTGCAAGAAGGTGCAAAGATTTGAGTTTCTTTCTTTTCATTCTATATTCTGTGTGGGGTTTGAGCTATATGACAAGGCTGGGGGTTGGCAAGTTCATTCTTGCTTCTAGAGTTCTTTTTGCAAATAGAAAGAATAACACTTGACTAGTATATAGCTACACAAAAAGACTTGGTATGTACCAAACAAGGGTGGGACCCTTGAAGTCTTTTTTTCTATCTCTCTCCTCGGCGATTGGGGGTGAATTAAGGGACCTCAATGAAGAGCTTCAAGGAGACAAGAGGAAAGGGGCAAGAGAGATGAGAAGAAAAAATGAGACATTGAAAAAAGTAAGATAGGATTTAGGGGGTTAGGAGGAAGGGAGGACTCGCTCAAGACTCAGCCGGTGATTGCGCGGAAAACAATAAACAAAACGAGTGGATGTACTGTGCCAATCCGTAGGAGATGAAATAGGGGGAGGGGTTGGGATCATAGTGCGCAGCACCAGGTGTGTGTGTAGAGAAAACAAGATGTCGATATCGTAAAGGAATGTTCGTATCGTGAGCCGACGTAATGAGGAGTTGTAGTAAGGGAGCCCAAGCTTCTATACCCGCCAGAGGGAGAGAGCGCCCAAGTGTAAGAATCCAGACCCGCGATACAATGCCCCAGGCAGTGCAGTGACGCAACATGGCCTGTGCGAGACGCCCGTGTGTCGCGGAGGCATGAACATGGGTTTCCACATGAAACCGAACCCGTAACGCCTGTGGAGTCAGGCCCAAGGCAATGCCGAGAGGCGCAGCGAACCCCCCTCCGGACCCAACCTTCTCTTCCTGGAAAGTTTGTGCGAGAGATAGAGAGATGAAAAAAAAATCCAAAAGAAGAAGAAATAGAGAAATATCCGCCCCAAGACTTTGCATACATCCTAGTAATCATACAGCGGCGCAGTCGCCGAAATCCCGGTCTAGAGATAGAAGGGAAAAACAATGCTCCTCCTCATGTTTCATGCAGCGCTCAGGCCGAAACATTCAGATCCAGCCCTTGGTGGGTGAGGCTCCTCGTTGCATTGTGCCTGCGCCAAGTGGGATGCGTGCCGTGGGTGATGGCGCCGCGCTGTTGCCGCTCATTGTCCTTGTGAGCAGGTTGGCTGATCCAGGTGTGCTTGGTAGTGATGCCGTTATAGGTGAGCCGGCAGACGAGGTAGGTGTGATGGGGTTCATCCGGAGTCCGCTTACACAAACTGGTGGGGGAACGGCGGGCTGGGTAGGAGGTGCAGAGTGGAGGAGGGGATCCGCTGACTGAGGTGACGGGGACTGTAGTACCTTTTCGCGTTGAGCCTTGAGGTATTCGCTCGAATTGGCTACAGGCGCCAGAGGAAATGCCGGTGCTCGGTTGGGGCTGTTGGCCCTAGGTTTGAATGACCCCTCTGCCGGCGATGCATTGGTTGAGCTGCCCGGGATTATGAGACTTAGAAGCTCTCCACTTGACTGGGTAGCAGATCGCTGTAGTGGTGGAATATCGCGTTCTACTCGGGTGCATTTGCCCGCTGCGAGTGTGGCAGGTGCAACGGAGAAACGGAGGCCAATCTGCACAGTTGCACTGCTATCGGTACTAGCCATGCGTTTGTGTCGGTCAGCGAAAGGTAGCTTCGGCATACCAGGAAAGTCAAACGCGTCGCTGACGTTGGTGACTGAGCCTCGTCGGGTGAAGCGCCTCATGGCGAGCTTAGAAACTGAAGCTGGGTCTTGTGTAGCATTGGGGTCGTAGACTGTCGCCGGAAGGCGCGGTACTTCTTCAGCTCGTGTAGGAAACAAAGAGTAGCTCAATTTGCGTTCATGCGAATTCATGGCATCCTTCTCAAGCATCGGGGGGAGGGGCCACTCGGTAGGGTCGATTCTGCTTCCTGATCTGGCCGACGATGGTGTCAAAGCGCGTTCTGGTCGTTCAAAGTACTCAGGGTCGATATCCGAGCGGTTCTTCTCAGGCCCAACATCGATCAAACCCTGCCGGCTATCCAGACGTTGAGTTGTGTGGAGTCCCATTGGTCCACTGATCTGCATCTCCAGATCGCTCGGGCCAAAGAATCGTATCTTGGGGCGTTGGTGTCTTGCGGGGTTTTTCAGCTCATCCATGGGACGGATGACCATACGCGTTGCGTTTGTACGGAGGAAGAGATGGAAGAAAGTGATGACCATGCCTGAGGAAAAGAGCGAAATTTCGGCGATTCGAGAAGCCGCGAGTGCCTCCATGAATTCTCTTCGAAGAGATTGAACTTCAACTGGAATTACAAGAGCCTATGTATATTAGATGGGGCAGGCGTGAAATAGCGGTAAAAACTCACATAGATTAACGCAGTCACGATCAAGAAGTAGGTCATACGTGAGGCTGAAATACGCTCATTGTGATCCAGACCCGGCGTTCTCATTAATTGGATACTGACGAGTGCTGCCACAGACAGCAAGGAGAAGACGAGGATAGAAAGAATGGACAGCATCAGACGGTCGTATCGCATAGGGAACCAGATGAGGCTGCCAAAGCAAATGTTGGACATTGGCCATACAACAGTCGGTATCCATGTGAGCATCAGCAAGAGCGATACAACAGCGATGCATATCATTGTGTTCCAGTTGCCACGCGGAGCAAAACGTTCTTGCCGAAATGCTCGGATAAGCGTCTCAATACCGAAGACGAGTGTGATGAATCCGACTAGGAAGATGGCTGTGATGGTCAGAGAGTACTTTGGTGGGCTAAAGAAGATGAAACCTACTAGGAAATGTAATCGTTGCTAGGCTTCGACAGTTCCTAGATAATACACTTTGAAGGGTCGTGCCCTGCACTGAGACGAAGATAATCTGTTGTATGACGGCACCAGAGGCCAACGCAAGTGGAAAGGTTTCGGCGGGGTGGACATTGTGGAGGGCGTTGAATCTCCTGCAACTTGGTCAGTAATGATCTACGTTCCTCGGGCGCCGTGCTGACTTCTTCCTTGGTAGGACCTGGAGAGCTGCTGCTCGTCGTGCATCTGAGATGATTCGATGGACCGTCAACAATGCCAATGCAAGACTGAAGGCTCCGAGGGTCAGATGGGTTGTGCGGAGCGTCTGGACTTGCTGCAGCTGTAGCGACGCGATCAAGGTCCTAGTCGAGTTGTTTTGGGTCCAGGGAACTTGTCGAGCGGCAGAAGTGTTCAGAGTCAAGTTGAAGTGCGATCGGGCCTCGAGCTGGGGAAAGTAATCCGCCCATGATCCCATCTTGCCAACTCCAGTTACAACAGGTGTTAGTAGGAAATAGGTGGTCTCGCTGGTAACCAGCAGCGGCTAAAGAAAGGAAGTAGACTAGGTATTCATGGATACTGCGTGACTAACGTCGTTAACGAAAGAGAAACCAGCTCGGGAAAAAAAAGAAAGGAAGTGCCTAAGCCTGCCAGCAGAGCAACAAAAGAAGGGGAAAGAGCGTGAGCATTAGACGTAAGAGACGAGAGACGGGCATGAGACTCCAAACGGTATATGACAAAACCACTGGGTGGTACCAGCAACGCACGGTTTCGGGGTGGCGGCCCTAAGGCGTCTGTTCGGTCACTTACTGGGAAGGGCCCACATTGGCAATGGCTGAGTCTTGCCATATCACAGGCCGCCCATTCCCGCGCGCTCGCTGATTGAGGGGGGAGTTTCACCCTCATGCGAGCGAGCCACGTGTGCTAGGTAGCCATGGCAGCGGAAGTAGCGAGACCCGTGCAGCCGTTATGACCCCTGGCCCTCGTTGGCCAACATGGGAAAAAGATGCTGTGGAGTTGACTAGACCCTGGTCTTTGTTGTCAAGACCACCGAGCTGGTAGCTCTTAGTCAGACGTCATGACTTGACGTTGCCGTGCTGGCCGGCCCCGCAGGATCCGTGCAGGTGCAAGTGTGTAGTTCAGTAGTATAGTAGGACACAGGTGCGGTACACTGTGGATGCGGTTGCAACTGTCGTCTGTCAACTCCAGCGGTTACTGTAAAGACTACATTGTCTCGTGGCGCATATTTCTATAATTGGTCTCTGAACAGAGCTATTTTCAACGTGTGGAAGCGCTGGGGGTGGACAAACCGCCCATGGGCAGTTGTCGTGGTAAGGTGGTTGAGGTCAGACTAGAGTTCTGATGCTTGCTGGGTTTAGGTTGTGCCGCAGATCCTCGCTTGTACCCTGTCCGAGACATCAAGACCTCCAGAACCCTGGTCGGCTCAACGGTTACCAGGGCAGGGCTGCCAGAACATGACACGGTGCGCAGCGAGTGAGGTTGGCCAAAACGTACAAGCAATACAGGACCAGAACCTCGTGGGATAGACTAGCCCGTCAGCGTGCATGCTGCATTGAATCTAGTCGTCGACGTGATTAACTGCACAGCCTCTACCAAACATTCAAAAACCTTAGATTACAGGATTGCGGAGAAGTCGCCCCGCATCCAGAGTTGAAGAGGCTGTGTGGGCGAATCAGCTGGTGCATCGACATCCACCATTGCGACATGCGGTATGAATGACCTCTACACTATATGGTTCCAGAAGGGCGTGGTGAACAATACTCAAATTCGGATTGCGGGTCTGGGAAACGAGACCCTCAAGACTGACTGTCAGTTATCGTCACAGATCCATCGTGGTGAGCGTGGCAAACGACCGCCTTGCGACTCGTTCGCCGGTTGGCTGGGTCATAGAGAGTGTCTACACGGTTTCATCACTATCTTCTTCTCACCGTGAGAGACCATTGTCCCGCAGCCGCCGTGTACCTACAATTTGGACAGGGAATCACCCCAAAGCAAGCAGACATGGAGATTGGTTCGCTGGTCTCGAGACACAAACTAGTGCATGAAGGACACAGGAGCGCGTAGTGGACATGGCATACCTGACAGCGCCACTTCAACACCACCACGCACCTACCAAACTTAATTCAGCCACTACACAGCAAAGTGGGCTGTGGCGTGCAAGCCTGCCTCAGGTTATTTTCCGATGATGCACTCCATAGTCCACAGGTCTACAAAGGGGTTTCGTGGTCGTGGTCATGTGGACATTGCAATTACCAGAATCAAGGATAAATTAAGTATATTTTCTTTTCGTAGTAGGCCAGTGTCTTGGTGAGTGCCACGGATGTAACAAAAATGTGTTTGTTCATATGTCAGGACTCTGCGTATGGGAGGATGATATGCAAACTTTTCTTTTGAGTCGGTCTTGCACAAAGCCCGACTTAGGTCGACTTTGCGTACTCTTCGAGATATGAGACAAGTAGCTTCGCACCGTCTAGCGAGACTGCATTATCTGGTGGACAAGTTGGGTTAGCTCCAGTTTTGGGGGTAGGCAAATCCCGGCTGAGGGATATCCGCACATTCGACGGCAGTCGGATGCGAACCAAACAGGGGAGTACATCTCCACAAGACTACTGCCCAATGCATGACTGGTAGTGCGATCAATGCCGGAGAAAAAAAACACGGGGGCACTTACAGTTACTAGCACGAATACCACCGACGCTCCTGTGCCCCTTCAGACCAAGTAGACCTTTCTTCTCTGCGCCTGAGATGAAAGCCTTTTCCTTGTCTTCAGCTCCGCCATGGACCCTGAAGCAAATGTTCATCCTACTGCGCGCAGACTTGTCTGGGACAACCTGATAGATGTCTGGATACTTATCGAGCGTTCCATAGATAAGGCTGGCCTTTTCGTTTGAGATTTCCTCCTGTCCGCCAATACGCTTAGCTCCGTACGAGTTGACAAGTCCAGACATGACCTGACCAGCCACCCACACATCAAAGATGGGCAAAGTGTTGTACAGAGAGTTGTTTTTTGCAATCGTAGGGTAGTCGAGTACAATTGGGCCCACAGCCAAGTTGAGTTCTCTAAGCAGATCGGGCGAGGCCGGCGTCGAGTGAGGCGGAAGAAGTGACTTCCGCATGATGACGATAGCGATGCCGGTATTGCCAATGTTCTTTTGCGCGCCACCAAAGATGACTGCATACTTGCTCACGTCGACCTTGCGGGAAATGAAGTTGGAGGACATGTCGGCACAGACCAAGGGCGCGTCATCGCCCTCTAGGCTCTGCGGGAAGGAGGGGAATTCGACTCCGTCGACTGTCTCGTTGTCGCAGTAATATACGAGGGCCGGTCCGCCCGTTGAGCGCGACGTAAGGGCCCACTGGTCCTCGGAGGGGATCTTCCCGAATTTGCCATTGTTGGCTTTGCGTGCATCGACGGCTACATTTACGTGCTTGGCTCCTACAAGGCGGGCGGCTTCTTGCGATGCCTTGAGCGACCACGAGCCCGTGACGAGATAGTCCAGCTTGAGCTCTTCATCCACCACCTTGCGAAGTCTTTTGAGCACCTCGTCCTTGTCGTCGCCCACCTCTTGGGCAATCTTTGCTCGCTTCTTCTCTACCCATATCGAGACGAGATTGTAGACAGCCGCACTGAACTCGCCAGTACCACCGCTCTGAAGGAAGAGGATTTCGTAGTCGTTGGGGATCTCGAGCAGCTGAGTGAGGGCCTGCTTCGCCTCTGCGAGAATCTCGTTGGCCTCGGGCGAGCGATGGGAGATTTCGCAGAGTCCAATGCCCTTTTCTCTGTAGTTCAGCAGCGCCTGCGAGGCTCTCTCGAGCACCTCGGTGGGGAGGGGTGCGGGGCCAGCCCCAAAGTAGGTGACGTCTGAACGGTTGACCATGTCGGCGAGCAAAGGTACGACAGAGTTTGTGGTGTTGTGTGAATGACTGGAAATGAGCAGGTTTATAGAGTGCTGGGCAAAGAGGGGTTGATGTATAGTAAAGTTTTGTCTTGCATCGTGCGTCGCGTCATACGGATGACTCCCATTCTAGCCAGCCAGATTTACCATGGAGACAGCCGATCTCGCAGACGCTCTATGTAGTCGTTAGTCGGCCCTGGATGCCGCATCACACATCCGACATGGGAGCATATATTACTGTGTCGGCGTTGAAGGCCTGTAGCCGTCCAATGACAGGCGCAGGGAATCCGATGACTGCGGCCGGTTTCGGTGGTGAGCGGGTGGGTCGCAATTTTTGGCCCAAACTCTGGGGAAGAGGCGGCATACTACATAGAAGCTCGTGTATCGCCTGCAAATCGCCGCCGCTGTTTCCGTCCCTCTCCAGCACAAGCAATGGCAATGTCGTTACGGGCAGCGCGCCTGCTGGTCCGCAGGCAGATAGCAACAGTATGTTTTTCCTAAACGCCGCCTTTGGCTTCACCATCTAACCGCACATACAGCCACGGGTCAGCGTTGCTCTCCGCGCCTCTTCGCAATTGCCTCGATTCCATGCCGCCCCGCGAGCCTTCTCTGCATTGGCCAGCCGACGTGATGCTCAGGATGTGTTTCCCTCGATGAAGGAGAGCCCTGCCGCCAGCTTCCTCTCTTCGCTCAACGAAACACCCAAGACACCCCAGACCCTTACGGAAAAGATTGTTCAGCGGCATGCCGTCGGCGTGGCCCCGGGCAAGGTCCTTCGCTCTGGCGACTACGTGACACTGCAGCCGCACAAGTGCATGACCCATGACAACTCGTGGCCGGTGGCGCTCAAGTTCATGGGCATCGGAGCCACTAAGATTAGCGACCCCGGCCAGATTGTCATGACGCTTGATCACGATGTCCAGAACAAGTCAGAGAAGAACCTCAAAAAGTACAACCAGATTGAGGAGTTTGCCAAGACCCACAATGTCGTATTCTACCCTGCCGGACGTGGCATTGGTCACCAGATTATGGTCGAGGAGGGCTACGCCTGGCCAGGCACCCTGGCCGTGGCCTCCGACAGTCACTCCAACATGTACGGAGGCATTGGATGCTTGGGTACTCCAGTAGTACGAACCGACGCTGCGAGCATTTGGGCTACCGGAAAGACCTGGTGGCAGATTCCACCCGTTGCGAAGGTCACACTCAATGGCAAGATGCCTGCGGGCGTGACTGGCAAGGACGTGATTGTCGCGCTGGCTGGACTCTTCAACAAGGACGAGGTCCTCAACCACGCCATCGAGTTTACCGGAACTGACGAGACCCTTGGCAGCATCCCTATCGACGACCGCCTTACCATTGCCAATATGACTACAGAGTGGGGCGCTCTGACTGGGCTGTTTCCTATCGATGCCACGCTTCATGGCTGGTTAAGGGCCAGGGCCACATTAGCAGCTATGGGAGAAGGCCAGGCCAAGGACCACCACCGTCAGCAATTCCTTCATGAACGCATCGACAAACTGTTTACTGCCACGGGTATCGTTGGCCAGCAGCTAGGCCACATCTTCAAGCCTGCGCTGGCCGCGGACAAGGGCGCTGTATACGCTAAAGAGCTCTTCTTGGATCTCTCCACCTTGTCACCATATGTCTCAGGTCCTAACTCCGTCAAGGTTGCTACTCCTTTGCCTGAGTTGCAGAGCCAGAACATCCCCATTAACAAGGCCTATCTCGTTTCGTGCACAAACTCCCGTGCCTCTGATCTTGCTGCTGCAGCAAACGTCTTCAAGGATGCAGCAGTTCTAAACGGTGGCAAGATCCCCAAGATCCCGGACAACGTCAAGTTCTACATCGCCGCTGCTTCTATCCCAGAACAGAAAGCTGCAGAAGAGGCAGGTGATTGGCAGGCTCTTCTAGAAGCAGGCGCTCAGCCCTTGCCTTCCGGTTGCGGTCCTTGCATCGGCCTTGGTACTGGTCTTCTTGAGCCTGGCGAGGTTGGCATCAGTGCAAGTAACCGCAACTTCAAGGGTCGCATGGGCTCTCCCGATGCAAAGGCGTACTTGGCAAGCCCTGAAGTCGTTGCAGCAAGCGCACTGTCTGGCAAAATCTCTGGCCCTGGATGGTACCAAGCTCCTGAAGGCTACGAGGGTGTTCGACGAGGAGAAGGTGATGGCATTCCTGCTGAAGAGCGAATGATGACCATTGAAGACATGCTTGAGAAGGCTATCAAAGACGCTGAGGCCGCTATCGACACCTTTGGCACTACCGAGTCCGACACGCAGTCTGTCAACCCACCCGCAGCGGCAGGCTCGGAGGCTGAAACTTTGACCGAAATCCTACCAGGGTTCCCGGAAAAGATTAGCGGCGAGATTGTCTTCTGCGACGCCGACAATATCAACACGGACGGTATCTACCCTGGTAAATACACGTACCAGGATGATGTGACGCGCGAAAAAATGGCAGAGGTCTGCATGGAGAACTATGACCCCAGCTTTGGCCAGGTGGCTAAGGCTGGTGATGTCCTGGTTTCAGGCTTCAACTTTGGCTGCGGCAGCAGTCGTGAACAAGCCGCAACTGCCATCCTGGCCAAGGGCATTCCGCTAGTTGTTGCTGGTAGCTTTGGCAATATCTTCAGCAGGAACAGTATCAACAATGCTTTGATGGGCGTTGAGGTGCCCAAGCTAGCCAACCGCCTCCGCGAGGTCTTTTCATCCAAGGATGCCTCGTCATCGCAACAAGCCGTGAGGGAACCTTCAAACAACAGCGAATCGCTCGACTCGCCCCCGCCAGCGGCTGCAGCTCAGCCCAGTCAAGCTAAGCAGCTAACGCGCCGCACCGGATGGACCCTGGAGTGGGACGTCCGAAGGAGCACTGTTTCCGTCCAGGAAGGACCCAATGGCGCCAAATGGAACGTCAAGGTCGGCGAACTACCACCCAACGTCCAGGAAATCATTGCTCTCGGTGGGTTGGAAAACTGGGTCAAGAAGGAAATCGGCAGCCCTCCCTCGTGAGTGGAGCAGCGTGATGCGCGATTTAGTTGGGTCGTGTAGAATCTTTGTGTATACCCATTTCATAAAAAAATTGCATGGGCGGCGTTTCAAACAGTTATTGAAACTATTCAAAAATTATGGTTTGAAATGAAGTCATGTGCTTCAACCTTTTGGTACCGGGACGACGGGTGTAGCGGAATACCATCTCTTGAAGCATGTAGTTGGGAGGTATGAAAAATGTATTCGGAGATATTTCACACACCTTTGTTGTTTCCACTCGCATACAGGGTATTGTACATGCAAGTGATGCTTGGATGGGAGATTATGCAGTAGTCTGATTACTCATGTGTTGTTGATACGCTCGCACCGATATTTCATAACCTTAGCTAGTACTTTAGTCTACGTAGGTATCATATTCTGAACCAAGAAACCGATCAGTATAATTCACTACAATTATCAAAGTAACGAGGCTAGCTTTATTATCTGTAACGGACATCTACTTAGTCTTCCTTTTATGATGTAAGCTTTTTTTTCACGGCACTTTCTATTGATCTTCATTCTGTTATTGATAGAATATTCACTTCCGGCTAGGCCACTCTTGCAAAGGAGTAAAGAAAGAGCTATGTTAACGAGTGAACTATCCCGTAGAAGGCGAAACATAGCCATCTATAGGAGCATTGCGTGTTGCTTTGCACTTCGCCCCCCCCTCCTCCTCCCTCTCCGCCGTACACGGGCAAAATTGTTCTGGCTTCGTCTTATTGTGGCTCCGCACAGTAATACTTCTGTCCAGTCTGCTTGAAAGCCGCAACTCCGTTCCTTATATTACCAGTTAGCGCGAGAAACCCACAACTTAGCGGTTGTTGTATATATCTTACGGTGCACAACGCCCTGGAACCCGAGCCGAGCCACAGTTCCATCTACAAACGCGTGCATTTGTGTTGCAGTGATCAAAGTCGATAATGCAAGGATCAGGGTTATCATCATGTTTGGTTCCTGGGTGTCCAAAAAAGTTTGATCCTTGATCTCCTTGTGCTGCGCACATGGCAATGAATGGGAGGATAGCGAGTGTAGCGATGTGCATGTTATATTCGACCACAGAGTTTTTTTTGGTAAAGATGGGGAAAGGGAATAGGTAGAATAGTGTTGTCTCAGCAAAAAGAGAAAAAAGACACTTTCTCAATATTTAGTGGTGTGTAGCAAGGGCGAATTTATGGACACGGAACTATCCGTTTTTGTTTTTCATAATTGGGCGACATGATTGACTAGCTTTTGCTGACACGAGTTCAGCAGGACAGACGCGCTCGCAAAGTTTTTTGCAAGCAGTGGTGACGGGATAGAACTTTAGCAAAAGTATCAGTTAAATATAGAGAAGTGGGGAACTAGCTACGATACGCGGCTTGACTTGAGAGGGTGATATGCCAAGGGTTGATGCCGGGTGTAACTAACAGAATTGTATGACTTGAATTGTTTGTATCTGTTTGGCGTAGTATACCGTACTAACTATCGGATTATTTGTCTGGGAAAAGAATGGCAAGCCCCACCCCATCTCAGCCGTGTGTTGCGCAGCTATGCCCATAGTGGCAGAACAGCGGGAGCGATGCGGAAATTGACTTATCGCCCCACTTTGTCTCTTGTGATAGACCATTTGTCCCCGACATACTACCGTAGTGAGATCGATGGTGGTGGTGCTCTCATACACTCGGTAGTAGAACCGGAAAATGGCGGCCCTTCTTAGCAGTGCAAAACCACTAAAAACATAGCCAAATTGGTACCTGCTTCCTTCTCAGGCTGCTGCAACTCTCGCAGATGCGAGTTAATACTTAAAAATTCTATAACTATAAAAGCAAGAAATGCGCATTCGATAGCCTAAATTTTGTTAAGAAATAAGCACGTTATGATGGATATATTCTATGTTCTTGATAGCTAGTTTTGCTGAGCGATGCCCAGTTGTTTTGATTTTCCGGTTTTACCGGGTGTATGAGAGGTGATGGTTGTATAAATTGTAAGGCTCGTCATTGAAGTTAAGCAAGTTTTTCTGCGTTCGTGGAGGAAACTTATATTTTGTCCGTCACAGCGGTTATCTTGTTACAAAAGAGGTATATATTAACTACTATGTCTAGGAACATTAAACTGGTTCGTAAATCCGTAAAATGTTTCAAAAATCTGTTCACCTCCAGTAAACCGGCATTCCCTTCTCCCACCCTTTGATTCTACAGCAATACCAAGTATCCGTCTCACTCGTCCCCTGTCCGCCACTACTCTTTTGATCAATACTCGCATACACACTCCATCCCTCCTCCTCCAGCATCTCCACCAGCGCCATAAGCAACTCCCTAACCTGCATTGTCGTCTTGCCCGTTGGCGACCACGGATAACCATGCAGCTCAAACTCCCAAATGCCAGGCGCATACTCGCTCTGCCCCTTGAGCCACTCACTCCCTATCCTCTGCGGCAAACTCGCATACAACTCAGGCGGACAGTCAATAAATCTTAGTCGGCTCTGACGCGAAAACGCTATACTGCACCACTCGTGGCGCGCGGGCGGTGGGGCCTGGTGGCGGAAGAGCAACGTATCTTTGTCCGTTGCCGTCTTACTGACGTCCGTGGTAAGCGTTAGGATCCAGCCGTTCGCATGCAGCGTTGATAGCACGCCTTTTACGAGCCTCCGTGCCTGCGCTGCGTCTTTGCCGAAGCCGCGCCAAGGGTAGCCGTCAAGCTTGATTTCGTGCGAGTTTGCGTAGGGCCGCTCGGAGGAGATGCCTTGGGGCCAGTTTGAGAGGATAGCGCTTCGGCAGGCGGAGATGACGGGCTCTGGGAAGCGTAGGAAGCGGATACGGTCTTCCATGTGGAGGGAGAGAGATGCGAAACGGGTTTGGAAGGGAGGTACTGGTGTGGAGGAGGAGGCCGCGTAGGAAGGTGGTCCGGGGATGGAGAGAGGACTGCCTTGGTGGATATCGCCGGAGTCGTGTTTTGAATGGCCTGATGGCGATTTTCCGCGGATTCTTTCAAACATTGTGGTTGATAGACTGATTGTTGATAGCCTGGGAATTAGGTTCTGTTGGAATAGAGTAGTAAGTTCGAGGGTAAGGGGTTGTGCTGATGCGGGGTTTTATATTTCAATGGACAAGAACTGAACGCCTGATATCTTGCTATTCAGTAGTGATGATCATCGCCATCACATGTTCCACAGGGCTGTGCTCTTTAGTTGGAATCGCACCATGCTGTATTGGGTAATAATCCTTCAGGAATGTTGGTAGTTTGGTGTTTGTGGCCCATTTGGCCCCACCTTCCTGGCTGTGGCTGTCAACACACTGCAAGGAACTGGCGCTCTTGTTAGCGGCGTCCTGTTATCTCCTCTTCGGGAAAAGAACGAAATAGCAATGGCACAATGAAAATATGACTACTTAGAATTTATCAATGCATGTCGCATGTGCTCCTGTCAGAGTGTAAGAATCCCGGGATGCTTCTTTACTAGCAGGGCTTGGCGGGGCGACACCGGACTTTGGGACTCGCTTGGTGGGCAAAAAGCGTTACTCCAAAATAGGCTGTCTTTCAGATGGTCTACAATACCAACTACTGGTACTTTTCTAATTTTTTTACTCGCAAACAATACTTTCATATAGCGCAAGTATAATACGCATGGAAAATAGAAGTAAATATAATATCATAGTAGTATAATAAAGCTGCGAAGTTGCTGACTTTTAAGCGGGCTACGATTTTGGCTTGGTTTTGGGTGGCTAGTGGCCCGTGTAGAGTGTCGCATTTTTTGTCCACCGATTGTCGCTTCCCGAACGACTTTTTTGGCGGCTTTGAGTATCTTATCCGCAGCTCCAGTTTCTCACTGCTCGCCCACCCAATTGCTCTGCGCTGCAAATTCCCTCTTCTCCCTTGGGCAGTCTTTTCGTGTTTCTCCTTCGCACATTTCCCCCTCACAATGACGCCATCACCTTCAGAAGCCGTAGCGAAAGTTGCGCAAGCGGCGTCGGGCACCGACTCGTCAGCTAAGGTATACAAGAGGGAGTCCAACACAGCCAGAGTTCTGGGTGCAGGTACGCACAGGTCTATCTACAATTGGGGAATTAGGTCTAACGGTTGCAGGATGTGCGGGAATTGCAGAGCTCATGGTGTTCCACCCAGTCGACACCACGGCGAAGCGATTGATGAGCAACATTGGCAAGGTGCGATTCAATGTCACCATATGTATGACGGCCATGTCTGACCCTGCGCCTACAGATTGAATCCGCGTCGCACCTTAACAAGGTCGTCTTCAGGGATATGGCCTCCGCCTCCGCCTCCAGTCGATTCCTGTCTCTCTTCCCCGGTCTCGGATACGCTGCAGCATACAAGGTAGATGGGATACTTAAAAGTATGGGAGAACCTCAATTGACAATGTCAGGTACTTCAACGAGTGTACAAGTTTGGTGGCCAGCCTTTCGTCAGGGACTACCTCGCACAGAACCACGGTGGCAGCTTCGACCGCACGTTTGGCAAGGGCAACGGCAAGGCGATCATGCACGCGACCGCAGGTTCGATCATTGGTATTGGTGAAATTGTCCTCCTTCCGTTGGACGTGCTCAAGATCAAGCGACAAACAAACCCAGAGGCTTTCCGGGGCCGAGGACTGGTCAAGATTGTCTCTGACGAGGGCTTTGGACTTTACCGTGGTTGGGGATGGACGGCAGCACGTAACGCGCCTGGTTCGTTTGCGGTATGTTTGTATTCGGTGGAAAGACAAGTGCAAAGACTAATGCCAGCATAGCTGTTTGGTGGTTCGGCGGTTGCCAAGGAGTACCTCTACAAGCTTTCAGACTACAACTCTGCGTCGTGGATGCAAAACTTTGTCGCATCCATCGCAGGTGCTAGCGCTTCGCTAGTAGTATCTGCTCCTCTGGACGTTATCAAGACGCGCATCCAGAACAGGAACTTTGAGAACCCAGAGAGCGGCTTCAGGATCGTGTCCAACATGATTAAGCACGAAGGGTTCACTTCCTTCTTCAAGGGACTGACACCCAAGTTGCTCATGACAGGCCCCAAGCTCGTATTCTCCTTCTGGTTGGCGCAAACGCTGATCCCCGCGTTTGGCAAGATAATGTAATTTGTAAGCTGGCCGTGATCTGATGTCTGTACTATATGGGAAGCGCGGGGCTTTGGTTGCCTGGGACTGACAGACTGGGCTGCGTCGAATGTAACGACGTACGGTAGACCGCGCACTTTTGCAAGCGAACTATACATTCTCCATTCATTCAGAGACTAGGTTGCAGATTGGTACACTTGTGAAATGGCGCCGGTGATGCATGCTTTGTCACGTGCACGCGTCCACACGGCGCACTGCCCTGCCTCTTGATGAGAACGGCAGTGCCAAACGCTGGTTGAGCGATAACAAGGTTGCAGCTTTCAAGTGATTCAGGTCACATGTCAGATAGCTCTGCCAGTGAGCCGGGTAGTGTCGCTAGGGTAGGTTAGGCGGTGGTCAGGCTGCTGTGAATGTGATGTTCGCTGGTGCGGACGGGATCCGGCAACCTGTGACCACGGATTTGGGGCTGAGTGCCAAGCTCCTTCACACCTGGTATCCACGCAGGGCACCTCATCGTCCTCCGCTTCCACCTCGTCCACCCCCGACGACGCGCGATACCCCACGATTCAGCCTCCAGCCAGCCTTTTTTTCTTTCTCAACCAACACCTTCTAGTCCTTACTTTTCCCATACCCCTGTAACGCCGCAAACATGAATCCTGAGTGGTACGTAACCTCCGCGCGAAGCCCACCGCCACAGGCCGATGAGCAATGACGATGTATCTGTGTGCAGAGCCATGCTGACTTGAATGCCTACAGAGTGACTTCCATGCCCTGCAGCACAGCACAGCACAGCTTCGGAGCTGCCATCCCCCCGCCTACTGCAGACTGGCCACTGACGCTTCTCTCTCTGCACAATAGATACGACTACCTCTTCAAGCTCCTCCTCATCGGTGACTCTGGTGTCGGAAAGTCCTGCTTGCTGCTCCGTTTTGCCGACGACACATACACTGAGAGCTACATTTCGACCATCGGTGTCGACTTCGTGCGTCTGCCTCGGTACTTGGTGCTGGTGCCTGCCACGGACTAACATGTGCTAGAAAATCCGAACGATCGAGCTCGATGGCAAGACCGTAAAGCTGCAGATTGTGCGTACTCTTGTTGGATCTAGTATCTTTTGGCTGCGAGTACTGATTGTGATTTTAGTGGGATACCGCCGGTCAAGAGCGTTTCCGAACTATTACTTCCTCCTACTACCGTGGCGCTCACGGCATCTGCGTCGTCTACGATGTCACCGACATGGACTCATTCAACAACGTCAAGCAGTGGCTGCAGGAGATTGACCGATATGCTACCGAGGGCGTCAACAAGCTGTTGGTCGGCAACAAGTCCGATATGGCAGACAAGAAGGTTGTTGAGTACACCGTAGCAAAGGTATGTTAATTTCGTCGTTTCCATGTAGCTCGTGCATCTAACAGCATCACTAGGAATTCGCAGATAGCCTTGGCATTCCATTCCTCGAGACCTCCGCAAAGAGCGCCACCAACGTTGAGCAAGCTTTCCTGACCATGGCCCGCCAGATCAAGGAGCGCATGGGTACCACAACCGCCAACACCAAGCCCACAGTCCCCATCGGGCAAGGCCAGGGTGTGCAAAGCGGATCCGGTGGCGGCTGCTGCTAGAGAAGGAAGAGAAGAGTTCAAATGTGTCGGAGAAACGTATAAGCGTTCAATAAGTAGCGAGATACGACGTGGATGCCTGATTTCCGGTCTCTACATGGCGATCGCGAGAAGCAAAGTGGTACTACACTAGTGCGCACTGATACAACGACGGCCATGATCTCCCCTTCGTCACCGTCTCTCCCTCTCCGTCTCGAGCTTTGTGCTAGCATGGCGACACGGATCGCATAGAATGGGGGCTCTCGTTTGGATTTCCGGGATATGCTGGTTTCTGCATTGCAATTTGTGATGGCCGCTAGGTCCTCTGTTTCCTTCGGTGCGTTCTAGGTGTTCTTAATATGGACAATCATACTTTATCCCAGAACGTGATTTGCTTGGCATGTACATGTGTAATGACGTACTGACATGATGTTGAGCATCCCTGCCATGGGCCCCCCAAAAAGCAATTTGCGGTATATATTTCTTTTTCTTCCCATGGTGCCACAAAGACCCCCACCTTCTACATTTGACCTGTCAAAAGTGCATGTGTTGTAGTTGTGCATATATGTTTTTCCTTTTCTTCTCGAGCGTCGAATCAGGTGCTGGCGCCTTTTGGACGCCCTTTCACCTCTCAACAAAACCTAGGATGAATACAAGTAGAAGTTGTGATTTGTGATTTCCCTTATCCCTGTAATTGCTCCTATTACCACTACTTTTGTCCAGCACCATCAACATCGCCTCAAACTTTTCGTTTTTTGTTCATCTCGGAGATGCTCTTTAGTACATGAACTATGTGGTGTACTTATTCGCTCGCCTCTATGCCGCTTCGGGTAAAATAGCCAAAAGTTGGCGCCCGCCCGCCCTATTGCGTATTCCTTTCAGGCATCCACATCTGTGACATTGCGCCTAAACAATGACTTTTTGCAGTCTACCTTGTCTTTTCCTCCTCTCTCTCTGTCTCTTCTGACAACTATATCGACACTTTGCAAGCTATGTCGTTGTACGGCACTTATCTCTAGGAATTCCAGCAGTCGTTTTTTTTTCTCACTTCGCTCTCTCGCCGCTTTTCCGTGAGAGATACGTACTTATCACGGCCTCTTTTTTTTCTCGCATCAAACTCTCTCCGGAAAAGCAATGTCAATCCAAAGTGGTATTTCCAACGCAACACAATGGCTCGCGCACGAATTCGGACTCGCGACGATGCGAAAAACGGGGAAAGATGTCTACATTATCATTCTGACGCGGTACTTGCGCCTCTTTGCCTATGGCGCTATCGCGCTTATTCTTGCGCTGTTTTTCCAAGAGCAAGGATTTTCGGATGAGAAGATTGGGCTGTTTATGACGTTGACGCTGCTGGGCGATGTAGTGATTAGTTTGCTGCTTACGCTTGTTGCGGATTCGCTGGGGCGGCGGAGGACGCTTTTGCTGGGTGCGGTGTCGATGGCGGTATCAGGAGCTGTGTTTGCGAGTACGAGTCATTATCTTGCGTTGCTTCTCGCGGCGGTTGTCGGGGTGATTAGTCCGACGGGAAACGAGATTGGGCCATTTCGAGCGGTGGAGGAGTCGACGCTTGCGCATTTGGTGGATGAGAGGGAGAGGGCAGATGTGTATACTTGGTATGTTGTTCTTGCTGTGCTGGGGACGTCGACGGGGTTGGCGGTTGGCGGTGTGGCTGTTGAACGGTTGCAGGCCTTGGAAGGGTGGACGGCTTTGGATGCGTATCGTGCCATGTTCTGGATTTATACGGGTGTTGGGTGCATCAAGGCACTCATGGCGCTGTGTATGAGCCAGCGGTGTGAGCAGAATGGGGCAGTTGACAAGCAGAATGTCGACTCTGTATCTGCGGAGACGGAGCCACTGCTGGCTGAAAGTCAAGATACCGGAAGTGTGCATGTGCCGGCACAAGAGGAACGCCCTGCGGAACCTGAGAAGAAGAGAAGGTTTTGGCACTCCATTAGCACGATATCAAAGCCTAGTCGTATGGTACTAGTCAAGCTTTGTAGCTTGTTCTTCCTTGATTCTCTGGGCTCGGGTATGGCTCCGTTCAGTTTGGTCAACTACTACATGGACCAGAAGTTCAACTTGCCAAAAGGGAAACTTGGAGGCATCATGTCAGTGACTTGGTAAGTATCAGCCCTGTACATGTCGTCTTCATCTAATTGACTGATGTTCAGGTTCGTCTCAACTATTGGCAATGTCTTTGCCTCTAGCCTAGCCAAGCGCCTCGGCTTGATTCAAGCCATGGTAGCCACTCACCTCCCGTCGTCTATCTTCCTGGCTCTTCTCCCGATCCCAGCTGGTCTCGCTCCAACTATCTTCTTGCTTGTTTCTCGCTCTGTACTCAACTCTATGGATCAAGCACCGAGAACAGCCTTTCTATCCATTGTCGTGTTACCAGGAGAGCGCACAGCCGTCATGGGCGTGGTCAACATTCTAAAGATACTGAGTCAGAGCGCTGGCCCGACCTTTACGGGCCTTCTTGCTGGCAATGGTCGTTTCTGGGTGGCTTTTGTGACGGCGGGTTGCTTAAAGGCAGTATACGATCTACTGTTGCTGGCATTTTTTGGAGGCAGAGTAGAATCACGGAGACATGAGAGCGAGCAAGCTGAGAACAGGGTAGACGAAGTTGGAGACATGGAGGCCAGTCCGTCTGGGGAACGGACCGATGTGCAGAGGTCGACTTGATTATTCATGACACAACCTTGGATGTGGAGAGCAGGTGTCTGCTGACTGGCAGCCACAATGCCGAAGGTGGATATGGACCATTGATAGTGAAGTGTTTACGAATGCGCCCTCTTAGCTAGTGAAAAGACAATTGAAAACAAGTCAGCCAAGTCGTCTTACTCCACTCTCTCCGCTTGTAATCGGGTTATGTGCCCCGAATAACCCTCCGCTCTTGGGCTGGCTAGAAGATTCCACAGGAGGTTGGCGTGAAGGCTGGTGAGGCTCTACCTCGGTCAACGCCTTGGCATGGCGGTTGGACGCCTGAACACGCTATCGTGACTCTTGGCGGCAATTCTCTCCGACTCCCATACGTACTTGTTCGCCGCGATTTCCATCTTTTGTTTACCCCATCCTCCACATGCCCCAGACTTAGCGGGTACCCCAGAAACACTTGCCGTTCGCTAGACACCAATTGAACGGTTAACTTTCTGCGGGTGCTTCTCCGCTTCCATCGGCTTTTGCTTTGGAGCCAAGCAAAGACAGATGGGCAAAAGACATGCCGATAATGTCCTATGTCAGTCTAACTACTCCTAGACTGGTCACATGTCAGTCTATCCAATCACACAACATGTCAATCGGCACAAGAGAAAGCTCCACTTGTCTGCACGCGACCGAGACCCAGGGCGACCACCGCGTGCACTTGCGCTTGGCCCAAACCATGCACTAGTAGACCCCGCAGAATTTTTATGCTTAAAGGCCGCCGCATATCCTTACCATCCCAATGTCACGGTAGCAGCAACAGCTTCCCCAGATTCTCTCTGTTTCGTTTTTAGTATTGCGAGAGAGTGTGGAGCGGTGTTGCAGGATCCCCCTCCTCTCTTTTCCCCACCCTCGTTGCTATCCTGAACCAGGTCAATAGCATATCCTCCTCGGTCCGACTACCTGGTTCATACAAACCCTCGCAGACATGTATGTCGAGAAGGATATTGAACCCACTGCGGCTCCCAAGCTGGAACATGATATCGATCATGACGACCATCACAAGCTTGCTGCCAATAAGGTCATCAATGACGCACGTCTGGCGTCAGACAAGGAGCGCAAGATGACCCTCATGCAGGGCATCAAGCTCTATCCCAAGGCCATTGGCTGGTCGGTGCTTATCAGCACATGTATCGTCATGGAAGGCTACGACGTCTGTCTGCTCAACAACTTTTTCGGTTTCCCGCAGTTCAAACAAAAGTATGGCGAGCAACTTGCAGATGGCACGTGGGAAATCCCAGCACCATGGCAAGCTGGACTGTCCAATGGAGTCATTGTGGGCGAAATCATTGGACTTTTCTTGAACGGATGGATCAGCGAGTGGATCGGTTACCGTTATACGGTAATGGGATGTCTTACTTTAATCATTGGCTTCACGACCATCTTCTTCACTGCTCAGACAGTCGTGCATCTTTTGGTTGCTGAGATTCTCTGTGGTATTCCTTGGGGTGTCTTTCAGACTCTTACTATCACATATGCTTGCGAAGTCTGTCCCGTTGCCCTACGTGGATACTGTAAGTTTAACCTCCCCTATATTCGTATCAAGACATTATACTTACAACCTGGTAGTAACAACATATGTCAACTTCTGCTGGGGTCTCGGTCAACTCATTGGTATTGGAGTCATTCGCTCTCTCGTCGACCGGCCAGATGAATGGTCCTACCGTATTCCCTACGCTCTGCAATGGATGTGGCCAGTTCCCCTTCTCATTGGTGTCTTCCTTGCCCCTGAATCCCCCTGGTGGCTCGTCCGCAAAGGCCGACTCGAAGACGCAAAGAAATCGCTGCTCCGCCTCACCAGCCTCAACCGCGAGACCGACTTTGACGCTGAAGAGACGATTGCCATGATGGTCCACACGACCGCGCTCGAGGAGAAAATCACCCAAGGAGCAAGCTACTGGGACTGCTTCAAGGGCACTGATCTACGCCGCACTGAAATCGTCTGCATGGCCTGGGCAATGCAGAATCTCAGTGGCAACGCCTTCTCCGGATACTCGTCCTACTTCCTCCAGCAAGCCGGTCTCTCACCCTCCACGTCTTACGACTTCGCAATGGGCCAATACGGTATCAACATGGCCGGTGTCTTCGGCGCTTGGTACCTAATGAAAGTCGGAATCGGACGTCGTACGCTCTACCTCGGCGGTCTCTGCGGCCTCTGCGTTATGCTCTTCGTCATGGGCTTCCTCGGTCTCGTTCCTAGCTCCGAGCGCCAAACCGGCGCCATGGCAACAGGCGCCATGATGATTGTCTGGGCCATGTTCTACCAACTCACCGTCGGAACGGTATGCTACTCGCTCGTCGCTGAACTGTCTACCCGCCGTCTGGCCATCAAGACGGTCGTCCTCGGACGTAACTTATACAACGTAATCGGTATCATAACATCCGTTCTCACTCCCTACATGCTCAACCCTGGAGCTTGGAACTGGTAAGTCCTTCCTCCTTCTCAAAACCCCCCAATTTCAAATAGGTATACTAACTTCATAAACCAGGGGCAACTACGCCGGCTTCTTCTGGGGCGGCTCCTGCTTCCTCAGCATAATATACACCTACTTCCGCCTCCCCGAACCCCGCGGCCGCTCCTTCGCCGAACTCGATCTCCTCTTCGAGAAGAAAGTCAGCGCCCGCAAGTTCGCCTCCACCCATGTCGACGTCTTTGAAGATAGCCACGTCGAGGGCACTGCCGTCTTTGACAAGTACGAGGAGAAAGTCGATGCTGCTGTGAGAACCGAGTCTGTTACTGCGTAGTGTTAAGAAGGTTTAATGACGTTTGATTTGTTCTAGGGGAATGCTTGAATACGGAAAGATTGTGAGGGACATCTTTTCTGGGATACCAATGATGAACTGCGTTGATGTTTTTTTTATTCTATATGAATGTATGATGAGATGATACGGGCATCTGTATACTCTAACTCTATTTAATACCATGCTTTAAACCCTTGTATCAATTCCATCTACCGTATCTGTTCGCTGTGAATACATAAATGGACTTTCTTTCTTACAGCGAACCGCCGTATATACGTTCAGACAACAAGGTAACAAAAAGGGGGTATCCAAAAGGCCCAATATCACAAGCAAACAAATTAAATTAAGTTGCAAAATACGTGCGTCTCGAAGCAAACATTTCCTTTCCCGTTCCCTTCAAAAGCGTTCGCACCCCCAAAGCGACAGGAACCTAAAGACTAACATGCCGTAGCTTCCTCCCACACCAAGCGAATGCTTTACTACAAGAAGAGAGAATGTTCGAACAAAGGAAAGAAAGAAGCGTGCGTGCGCTGCGGAGATGGTGTTGGTAAAACACAGAGAGAGGGACAGACAGACAGAGACAGAGAGAATGAGAATCAAACGCTCAAAGGTACAAAGACTAGGGGCGGCGCTATGCTAAACATATGTACTCGTATAAGACAAGAAAAGGCGATTCAAGATCTTTTTTACAATGATCATGACGCGTTTACAGACTTGCAATTTTTCACTTCTTAGTTTCCACCAGAGGCCAAGTGGTCAGCAGCCTACGAAGGTGTTAGTCGAGTTTCTTATATGTATCGTGGGATGCTATAGTGCTTACCTTGTTGATGTCATAGTCGAACTTCTCGAGCGCAGAAAGAGCGTCGTTGCGTGCGTAGCCCATACCGGTCAGCTTCTTGAGAATAGGGTCGTCGTGTTCGGTTCCAGTGCTGACGGCACGGCCAAGTGGAGGCATTTGAGGTGACAATTGCTGCGACTTGGACGTCGAGGCGGCAGCCTCCTCCTTGTCGAGCGTATCAAAGACTGACTTGCCAAAGTCGGTTGAGGCTTGTTGCGAGTGCGCGCCCTTGTCAGTCTGCGAAGATTCGAGGTTGGAGAAAATGGCGTCCCAATCCTGGGATGAGGAGCCCGGCTGAGGCTGCTGGGATTGTCCACCAAAGGTCTGAGATAGGTGTTCGAAGTCGCTGAAGCTGTCATCTCCACGAGGCTTGCCCGTGGGTGTTTGCTGCGAAGCCATGGTATTCGACTTGGAGGCTGCTGGCGAATCAAAGACAGGGTTGAACTCATCAAGTCCCTCACGATGCTGTGAAGAGAACATAAAGTCATCATCAACCTTGTCATCTTCCTTGGCATCGGCAAGATCGTCAAAGCCAGCGTCAAAGTCGTCGTTGAAGGCAGATTTTCCGAGCTGAGGAACATTGCTGGATGGCGATGGGCCCTTGTTGTTCTCGTTGGCACCATATGTCAAGGCAGAGTGATACTGGTCGGAAGGAACAGTTGAAACAGGAGTATCGAGAGGAGCTGGTGAAGTTGTGGCAGACTTGGACGGGCCACCAAAGAGAGCAGCTCCATGGCCACCTGGTGGGTTGAATGACCTTTCAGGGCCCTGTGCGGTGTCAGGAGAACCAGTAGACGTTGGGTTCTCACGAGCAGGAAGAAGACCACCAAATTCAGGGGGGAACTGGTTCGACCCACTTCTTGTCGTGTTCACAGCGGAATCATATGTAGGTGGTGACTTTTGCGCACCAGGAGAGGGCAAGCCGCTAAGGTTGGAGTCTAGGCGAGTAGTCGGAGGTGGAGCTCGGTAAAGCTCGTCGCTTGAGGCAGTGCCAGGACGTTGCTGTTGTTGAGAGCGGTGCTCCGGTCCAAAGCTGGTACGCTTCTGGTTTGGCGATGCGGATGTGAAGTTGTCATCAAATCCTCTTCCATCGTTGCTGTCGCTGTCGTCGTCATGTGCAAGATCCTCAATGGGCGGGAACTCCTTGTTAAATCTGTTAGAATCGCCTGTTGGTGCACTTGCGTTTGAAGCGGTAGCGGCGGTCTGACGGCTAGGGCCGAAGCCTGCAAAAGCCGCGTCAAAGTCGTCCTTGCCTCCCCGTGGCTGTTCACCAGAGGTGCTGCCAAAGGGGTCGGTGTTGTTGGTTCTCTGTGGAGCACTCATACTGCTCTCACCAGTCTTGTTCTGTTGCAGCGGTGTGCCAGAGTCCCGTGGAAACGCTCCGGGAAGATCTTGTGTTCCAAAGTTGAAAGTGTCCTTCCGATCTTCAGCCTTGGCAATTGAGCGCTGAGTATCGCTGGTAACACTGGTTACTGGAGAAGCCGAGAAAGTGCGGTTAAACAGAGCTGGGTTAAAGTTGTCGGTTTCTGTCCTGTTGGTATCGGTACGCTCAACAGTGGGCTTCTCAGCAATCGGAGTACCAGCGGGTGAAGCCTGTGAGATAGTAGGTGTCTCATTTCCAGGAGCATGGTGGCCATATCTGCTGGCAGAGGCAGGCGCACGCACAGAGGAGCTGAAAGAGTCCGACCGTGGCGCGCCTTCTCTCAATGGCAAGAATGCAGAGCCAAACTGACGTGACTCAGGAGGGGCTGGTGGATCGGCAACACGGGGAGATTCCTGGTAAGAAGACAGAGGAGGCGATGTGGAGGGCGTGGGAACGTCGGGACCCTCAGAAGAGCGTACTGACTGACCCGATGGAGCAGAGAAGCTAGGTCCGAGACTCTGGTTGTCAGGACGGAACGATACTGGAGGTGCACTGCTCTGAGGAGTACCGAATGAACCGAACACACTATCAAAGTCTTTGTGAGGTCCCTCACGAGCAAAGCCAGAGGGTGACATGGTGTTCTCAGCGGGCTGAGGCGACTTTCGGAAGAAGGGGTTGGTGCTCTGGCTTGTTGTGGAAGCTGCAGGGCTGACGACGGCGGGTGACTGGATTGGCGAGCCGCGGGAGGTCTCGTCCTGGGACCTGCTCAAATCACTCATTTCATTCTTGATCTTGTCGCGCTCGCTCTCGTTAGTGGCCAACTGCTTCTTGTTGATCGCTACCATGCCCTTTTGTTGCCGGGCGTCGTTCCTCATCTTGTCAAGCTGGGGGCGAAGCTGCGCAATCTCGGCGTTGAGCTGACGAATGCGTTCTTTCAAGCTGTTGTTCTCGCGCTGATCAGCCTCCAGTTGACCTCCGACTTGACGGTGCTGGTTTTGAAGATCCTGGTAGGATGCTTCAATCATCGCAAGATCCTGCTGTAGCTTTCGAGTCTCATTGCGAGAGCTGGCTAGACGATCCTCCAAAGCTTTGACTGTCTTGACTTCTTGGTCATACTGCGTCTTAAACTGTGAGAGACGAAGTTCAAGGTCACGCTTCTGAGTGTTGACACTGTTGAGATCGCTTTCAGTCGCAGTCTTCTTGTTCTGGACCTCTTGCATCTGGTTGCGTAGGGTGGTCATTTGGTTAGACATGTTGGCCAAGTCAGTGGAATCTTGCGTCAACTTCTTGTTGATCTCAGGATCGGCCTCTCCACCTAACAAATCGTCCATAACAGACGGCGTCGAGTGTTGCGGCGCGCCAGAGATTCCAGACTGGCCCGTGGAATGTGCCGTTAGTGTTTGACCAAAAGAAGAGCTTGGCATGAACGGCTTAAAGGTGGAGGCTGGGTTTCGCGGCTGAGGCTGGAAGTGATGCGGGGAAGTTGGTGAAGCGGCTTTGCTGCCAAAAGGATCGCTCTCAAAAGGCTTGCTGAATGTAGCTGATCCGCCGGTTGATTGTGGCTGCTGAGGAGGAGCAGGAACCGGCGCTGTGAAGGCGTCCAGACCGAAGAGATCATCAGCAGCAGATTTGGGAGCAGGGGGAGGTGGAGGTGGGGGTGCCACTTGGGGTAGGGGAATCTGTGCAGCTTGGTTCGCGGGGGTGCGCAGGCTTGGTGGAATCAAATTGGGCGGCAAAGTTGTAGGGAGTTGATCTCCCTTCCGTTGCTGCCGAATAAGGTACATGGCTACTGCGAACTCGTCCTTGGATAGCTGTCCTTCGGAGTTGATGTCTGCAAGATCCCATATACCTGCAAGAACATCCTCGGGCAGACCCGAGTCACTGAAGAAGCGTACTGCCTGGTCTCCGGTGATGAAGCCGCGGCCCATGGTATCTACACCCTTGAACAAGTTGTCATACGATGCCTTCTCTTGCGGGCTGATTAGCCAGTCGTTTCCAGCAGGCGGTGCGGGCGGGGGAGCCGCTCCAAAGGGTTGCCGGCCGAGTGGGCTTGGCTGCCGTGGTGCAGACTGCTGGCCGCTGAATTGACGTGGGATAGCCATGCTCTGGTCTGGACGTCCTGGTGGCGGCGGAAGTCCTCCACGTCGAGAAGCGGCTTCATACAGGCCCGGAGGCAGCGTGTTTGGGAGGGCCTTCATATTTCCTGTGCGATACGATGCGAGTAGGTGCATAGCGATGATGAACTCTGTAACATTGAGGGCTCCGCGCTGCTCCGTGTCTGAAAGGTTCCATATCCGACCAAGAACTTCATTTGGTAACCGCGCCTTCTCAAAGATTTCTTTTGCGTTTTCGCCTGGAAGTTATTAGCCAAGAGTCAGGTTGGAGTATGAAGTAGGGTTGTACCTGAAAGGATGCCATTGACTGCACCAGACTTCTCAAACAAGCCTGCGTACTCGGCGGCTTTGGCAGGGACTAGCGGAGGGACACGGATTGGGCCGTTGCCACTCACTTGAGGCTGGATGGAGCCGGTTGGTTGTGGGGAGAAGCCAGGGGCGGCGGGAGGAGCCGATGGTGGTGTTAGACCCTCAAACTTTGGCAGGGGGGCGGCTACTTGAACGTCAGCGCATGTGATCAACGAGACACAAGAGGAGTCGCAGGAGTCGTACGTCTAAAGGCAAGCTCTGGAGTAGGGTCTCGTCCTGCCTGGTAGTGTCCAATGAGGCGCAGGACCTGGCAGAAGCCGGCCATGGTCAAGAGACCGCGGTTTTCCGTGTCTGCAATCTGCCATATTTCACCAAGGACAGCTGGTGCTAATTTGGTCCGCTCGAAGAACTTGACGGCGATCTCGCCTGTTATGACGCCGAGCTTTTCTGTGTCGGCTTGCTGGAAGAGATACTGGAAGACGCGCTTTTCCTCTGGCGTCAGGTTGAGGATGGGCTGATCTGCGCCGCATTAGCAGGAGCTTCGCGATACATGGACATGTGCCAAGGAGAACAGTCGACATACTCAATTCTCCGCTTTGTGACATGTCCGCCATGATTGTGCGCGGTTAGACAATGGCTCTGGTGGGGAGAGAGGCAGAAGCCTAGGGTTGACGAGGCTGCGAGTTCCCAGTGCTGTTGTGGAATAGGCGCGGGGAAACAGGCAACAGGCGGCCGGGCGTGGGAAAGTCGGGGGGCTGGCAAGCGGCGGGGGACGGCAGCTGTAGCAATGGCAGCTATACACGGGGAGCTGCAGAGCAACAATGAGAGATGGCGTAGGGCGGAGGTGGAGGAGGAAAAGCCGGAACGGCGTGGTAAGCGTGGGATGCGAGGGCAGCAATGTTGCGACTATAGTATGCTGGCAGGGTGAAGTGCTAGGCGGAAGCTACCTGGCCTAGTGCCGTGGTTGATGCGCGCCCTCGCCCGCCAACTCATCATTGGGCGGCCACAGCAGCTGTCAGCTCCCCTTCATCCTATCACGTCGCCGCACATGACCGTCCTCCGCACAGCAACCAGAGGGGCCACATACAGTCACATTTGCATCTGCGATGTGAAAAGCTCGCTGCACCTCCAACCAGCCACTTGCATCTCGCCTATCCCGTCTGCGAACCCACTTACACGTACATACTGCCATCCGTATCGGAACAAGCGGCTGTGCAGGCAACATCCTGGTCCTTGTCCTACTAGGGTATCAATTGGTCTTCGCTACTCTATACGAAAGACGCCGTCTCATGACTTCGTGGTTACAGGTTTTGTACAGGCGGAGTGGTGAAGAAATAAAAGTGCGACGACAACGATGACGACGACGACGACAAAGATAACGGCCCAACATTGACGTGGAAGCAGAACAACAGCGTTTCATCGCCGCTCGCTCTGGCCGCGGCCGTCCTTTTCCCTGCTGCATTTGGCAAACGCCAGGCTGGGACTGCCTTCATCTCGCATCCCCCACGCCCGTCCCAGAAGCCAATCCGTGACACTAATCATCTTGGCAGTCCGATCCCAATGCTGGCCCTCATCTGTATGCTCGATGATGTGGTTCAGAATCCGTCCTTCCTCGTCAAACTCAAACTTGAACAAGCCTGTGAATTCCTGCTGTGGCCGCTTGGATCCAGCAACAATGCTCGTGATTTTCTCCACTACATCGCTGACCTGCCCGCTCTCTTTCTTGTCCGACTTGCCGCATGTCTGCCATTTGACAATGAGTTTCTCGTTGCGCACATTACTTGCTGTTGAGCACCCTCCATTCTTCACCATACGCTCAGACAATATCTTGAGCTTTACATTGCCCAGTACCGGGACCTGACCCCATGCGACCGGTGCTGTCCATAGTGCTGCGGCGTACGAGAACCTCCCACTTACAGTAGGCAGGTGTGGGTGCGTCGAGGGAAATAGGTGGAGGCTGATATGCGGAGAGAGGATGTCCTGGGGAAGTGGCGATATCAAGAGCGTCGGTAGGCGCTCATGTAGTACCCTGATAGCTGTCGTCTCTGTTAGCAATGCATCCCATTCCTCGTGTAGCAAACATACTGTTTCCCAGCTTCAGGTCGCGCTCGCTCATGCGCTTCTTCTCGCACTCACCGGGCTCGGAGTTCGAGTATGGCGACGAGCTCGTGAACCAATGCCTCGACACCGACGCCCGTCTGGAGCCGACATCGCTGAGAGTCCTCTTGTATTGCCTCAGCCCTAGTATTCGGGGCACCGTAAGCGAAGTCGCAGTCGTCGTGGCTTCAAGTTGCGTGCGGGCAAACGTCGAGAAGAAGCGCCGCATCAGACCGCTGGTCATGTGTATGGATGGGAATATGCGACCATGTGTAGGGACAGGCGTAGACGTCTAGAAATATCTCTGTCGTTCGGCCAAATACGGATTGCGGAGGAATCGGTCGCTGGCATGACGCTAGTCAACTGCAGTTGCACCACCAAAGGCCGGGGTATTCGGTCGTGACGTAGGACTAGCGCGACTCTCCCCATGCCCCAAAACGTATTTCCCGTTATGGCTTACCGTGCTCGCCACATGCAACTTCGCACGCCCATGTCCCGGTGGGATAGGCTATTCTACATGCACCCGCACATGACGTTTATAAAGATGGAGGCTAGTCTCTCGTGGTTTCTCGATTCGAGACCCTCAAGATACTTTTACAGGGCCAACTAAGTCACCCCTCAATCCCATGAACCACAAAGGTAGATACACAACCCCGCAATTGTCCAACTGCATATACTGACAAATCATATCCTAGGCTAGGAGTCTCCTTCAAGACCAAAATAGACCAGCCAATTCCAATATCCTCCACCATGTCCTCCTCGGGCAAACGCATCGTCTTCACAGGCGGCTCAGGAAAAGCCGGGCGCCATGTGATCCCCTATCTCCTCCAGCAAGGCTACTCAGTCCTCAATCTCGACCTAATTGACTTTCCCGACCCGGAAGCCGGGGTCTTCACTCTGAAAACCGACCTCACAGACAGCGGTCAAGTCTTCAATGCCCTAACCACACACTTCAACTTCGCTGGCTACGAAGCACCACATATCCCAGGCCCGCCCGACGCCGTCATCCACTTCGCCGCCTACGCTCGCAACATGCTCGTGCCCGACAACGAGTGCTACGCCGGCAACGTGCGCTCAACCTACAACGTCATCGAGGCAGCCTGTAAACTCGGCGTCCGCAAGATCATCATTGCCAGCAGCGAAACAACGTACGAAGTCTGTTTCGGCCAGGGCAACCTCGACTACACCGCTTTCCCCCTGGTGGAGGATGCAGACGTAAACCCAATGGATACCTACGCTATCTCCAAGCTCTGCGGCGAACGCGTAGCCCGAGGTTTCGCCCGCCGTTTCGACGCGGACATCTACGCCCTGCGCATCGGCAACGTCATCGAGCCCCACGAGTACGCCCGCGACTTTCCAAAATACATCCAGCATCCGGAGACACGCAAGCGAAACGCCTGGGCCTACATCGACGCTCGCGATCTCGGCCAGATTTGCCATTTGTGCGTGCAGAAAGATGGCCTGGGGTTCCAGATTTTCAATGCGACAAATGATACTATCACTGCTACTTTCCCCACGAAACAATTCCTCGAGCAGTATGCGCCTAATACCCCTGTTACGCGTGAGATGGGCGAGTGGGAGGCCCCGTTAAGTAATCGAAAGATTAAGGAGGTGTTGGGGTTCAAGGAGGAACATGACTGGCGCAAGTATTATAACCCTGATCATTAAATAGAATGGTTTTGTGAGGGAAGACGGGAGGGAAGTAGATAAATAAACACACCTGTAATTCGAAGATGGAACTAGCTGAAGAATACGATGACCTGGCGGACATGGTAGAATTATACCAGTAGTTACATTAATCTACTTCGATGTATCTCTAAGCTAACAGCGCAAAGAGCAAATACGTCTTCTTCGCATACTCCACCGCACTCCTCTTCAACCTCCCCACATCCACATCCTCCAACTCCATCTTCTTCCTCAGCGCAAACACACTCTCCTCTCCCGCAGCCGGCTCAATAAACCGCTGTACATACAGCACATCGAACAGCAACTGCTTAAGTCTGTAGACGTTGATCTCCTTCACATCCTCCTTCTGGTCACCAGACACGTCTGCATCCGTCTTTTCCTCTCCTTCTTCGTCCTTTGATTCTTCTTCCTTCTTTTCATCTTCAGCAACCCCCTGGCCAAGTGCAACAATAGCATCAACCTGCTCCTCCACCACACCCACCAACATCCCCGCCACCCTCCCCTTCATCACGCTGACACTCCCGGGAGCCCAAAGATCACTCCCCACACCCGTCATCTTAGCGTTCAAATCGCGTAGAAAGCGGAATGCGCTGGGCGACGGCTGGGTAGGCAGTGGCGGCTGGCCCTCCCACAAGATATGACTATTCGATTTGACTTTGAGGGACTTTGCTAGCGAACTCTTGTATGCTTCCAGCGTTGGCTGTGCGACGTACGATGCTAGAGCTTCGTGGAGGGGTTCGAGGATGTCCGGGGTAAATGGGGAGGTGGGGGGTGTGGCTTTATCTTGAAGTCGAAGTCTGGGTATGCGATCCCCTATTTCCCGGATGACGCGCAGGATGAAGGTTGCTTTTTGGATGGAATCGCATCCAGCCTTTTCGTCAGAGGCTTTGGTGATGGTAGAGAGGCTTTTGCCTAGATTCTGCAGCGCTTCACGCAAGGCTTCTTGTGTGCATTCTTCTAGCAACTTGGGGTCGTCGTCGCTTAGAAGCGTTTGTTTCGAGTCACCTAGGTCCGAGTCGGAGTCTGAGCCTGCATCGTCGGCAAAGGTGTCGTCCCAGCGGGCTTCCTTCATGCTTTTGACTATGCCTTTGACTTCGAGGACTGAGGCCATCCAGTTGTCAAAGGCGGATGTGACGCTAATGACTGGGTCGTCTCGTCCTTGGTATGTGTTTAGGACTGTGGACTTGAATGATTGAGCTCCATTGGTGAGGTCCGAGGCTTTGTCTATTGTGTCCCAGAGACTGAGCGCCGAGGTTGCTTCGGATGCACCAACTGTATCCAGTTGAGCCGTGAGTTCAGAAACGACAGTCTGCAGTCCGTTTGTTCGTGATCGGACAATGCTTTCAAGCTTGTCACTCATCATGTCGCGCAAGTCGTCGAGTACGTTTGCTGACTTGACGCCCGCCATTCGAGATCCAGAAAGAATCCATGTTTCAATCAGTTCCTGTCGCAAGTCTGCAACCTCTTGCAATCGCTCTTCGCCCTCTAGTGCCTTCTTAACGCCCTTTAGGAAAGCCGCAATGGCATCCCTGGACCAACGATGTAGTATCCGCTCTGCTTCTGGCCGCTGCAACTCATCATGCCGTGGCCAGGGCGTGTAGTTCCGCGCCTCGTCGCCAAGCCACTGGTCGTGCACGTCTAGATTCAACTCATATAGGCCGCGAACATCAGGGTCCTGGATCAAGGGATGTGCTTTCAGCTTTGCCAGTGCTTCTGCCAACCTCCGTGGGAATATCGTCTGGGTGTCGAGACACGTCTGAATGCATAGCTTGAGCGCATCAATGCCATGCTTCGCAAGCTCATCTCCACCAGCCTTGATCTCGCTATTCATCCCATCCAATCTCATCTTGTGGAAATGATGTAGGGTATCGGTCGGCGTTGAACTCGTAGCAAGCGCATAGGCGCACATACTCTCCACCAGAGTTGCTGTTTCACCGCTTGCACTCGACAGTCGCTTATCGATTCGTCGCAACAACTTTCTCCGTACAGATAACAGCCTCTCCCACAGCTGATCCACAATCGCTGGTTTCGTCGCAGACTGACTGAGAGCCTTGTGAAGTAGCCGCGAAATGACCAGGACTTTGGCAATGAGCAGATATGACCCTTCTCTTTTCATGAGGCGTGTCATCACCAGAGGCGCATTGCGCAGGACCGAGAGTTGGGACGCAAGCGTGTACCGCTCCGCATCTGTCCTCTGTCAACCCAATGGTCCCTTTCAATGCAATACAAAAGACTGACCACGACTCCGAATGTGAATATCCATTTTCCCCGCATTATCTGATATCTTCTCCAAGCGCCTCGAGTTGCAACTCTGCCCTACTTTCGCAAGCTTGGTTTCCACTTGACCCATTCTTACTTCCATGTCGATGATCGTTTCGGCAGTATCGAGGAGGCTGCGGTAACTTGCTCTGCGTACAGTCAGAATTGCTTGCTCCCCGTTGCTTTTTCCTTGTATTTAAATATCCGTACCCCACGAGCGACCGCAGCTTCTCACGATTCTCGTCGGCATTGTTGCGAAGCTGCTGTTCAAGCTTGCGAACCACTGGAATTGGATACTGGAACGCGTCTTCCCAGGTTTGAAAACTCCGTGGATCTGGCGCATCCGTCGCCATTGTTGCTACTTCTCGGAACGCGTGTGTTAGGTGCGATGTGCTGCCCAAGATTACACAGCGAATGCTACGTTCCCACTATTCGTGCTTAGTCATCACGCTCCAAGTAATAGTCCCCATTTAAAGGTGTTCATAAAAGGGCAATAGTAGTCGTAAAACCATATTTGATGGGTATTTAAATATCTCTAATATGATGATGTATTGGTGTTGAAACCAGAAAGGTCTATCTCTAGTATAAAAGATGGTATCAAAGGTTAAGCTCAGCGACTCCCGCACCATCCCAACTCCCGCAAAACATTCACTCCACCTCTGTGGTATCATTGCCTGAATCTTCGCCGGTCCTCCTCCTTAGTTCACGCTCCACAGCTCGCAACATGATTTGAGCGTCGTCCAGCGTCAGCTCTTCTCCTCCCCTCATGCTTGCAAGCAATTCCGCAAATTCAGGGTCATCAGGTTCGATAATCTCAACCCTCCTACCCTTGGTCCTCGACTTTGGCGGTGGGAGAGGCATGAATGCCCTGCTAGTGCTTCCAAACTTGGCAATCATCTCTTCGTATTCGCCCTGTGGTGTGCTCTGGCTCGTAACTGCCCCTCCAGCACCGAGACGCCAGACGTCTTCTTTGTTGTCGGTCTGGAGGTCATCGTTGTCGATTTTGACAGCAGTGCGTATGACTACACTAAAGTCGCCACCGCCTCCAACGTCAAGATAGCCGAGAACACCAGAGTACAGGCCTCTTCTTTCGCCCTTTTCCACGTCTTGAAGAATCTCACATGATCGTTTCTTGGGAGCACCAGTCATACTTCCTGCAGGAAGACTTTCAACAAAGGCCTCGAAGCCTAGATAGGGTACGGAATGCTTGGCAGGCTTCTTGGAGGCAAAGTCCACAGGTTCTTCCCAATCGTCGGGTGTAGTTGGTTTGTTGGAGCCACTAGGTACTGCGTCAACTACAGAGACTAGCTGCCACAGTGTTTCGTATTCTTCGACTTCCATGAGTTGACTCACGCGGACATTCTCTGAGCCGTATACGCCGTGCAATTGGTGTCGAGTGAGATCCACAATCATGAGGTTTTCTGCCCGTTCTTTGGATGAAGAAAGAATCTCGTGGGCCATTTCAGCAGTCACGCCAGGTTTCTTTTGTACCGTGCCTTTGATGGGCCGACATTGGGCAGTTTGTGACCTGTCCCAACTGATATATCTTTCCGGTGATGAGCTCAAGACGTGGACATTGTGTATCCTCATGTATGCGCTAAACGGAGCGGGATTCTGGCTGGCTAGGCGCTTGTACATGTTCCAAGAATGTTCGTTGTCCTCGGAACGCGAAATTCTGCAGGCAGTCGGTTTACGAGCATGAATCTCGTTGCGTGTAGTAAGGCAGAGTTCGTAGCTCTGGCCATCTGCTATGGCTTCTTGACAAATACGGACTTTTTCCGAGTATTCACCCTCGCCGGCTTTGTATTGTCGGCACGATTCAATGTACTGGTCCATTGTACCGTGTGTTTCGAACGGGTCCACTTCTGCCATAGCACTAGACCCTGGCGTGCTTTCCCGAGATTTCACACCAGCATGGTCGTACAGCCTTTCTATCGTCTCTTCAACCCAGTCTTGATCAAAGGCGCCACGGATGCTCTGGACATAAATCTTCTTGACTTGGTGATCGAAAACTATGCTTCGGGTAATGTATGCAAAGCAAATGTCCGGATAAGCGGCTTCATCATGCCCGTGGACACCGATAGTCTCCAGACCGGCCTCGTACGATGCAAATCCCATTAGACCTCCCCAGAAAGGAGCCCACGTCGAACCTTGTGGTGGTGTGGATGGCTGGAGACTCTTCATGACTTCTCGTACATATGGCCATGGGTCATTCACGGTCCATTCAGTATGCACTTGATCCTTGCCATCCCTGAGCTCCATTCTGCGGGATCCAGCGTAGTAGTGCAAGCGGAGGGTCTCTTCAGGAATAACAAACCCGATAATGCTATATCTGCCAGTACCTACGGCCATGGGTACCAAGTTCGACTGCAATCCGGATTCAAGAACTAGAGCTTCTCCTCGTGTCAACTCGAAAAGTTCGCAGACATCGGCAACTGTAAGCCTCCCGCTTCCGGTAGTTGCACAGTGTACAGTGCTGGGGGCCAGGTCTGGTATTGTTTGCCCGTCGCCGTGTGCAATCAGCGATGCTAGTTCAAAGGGTGTAATGGTATCGCTGTCGGGATTTGCCGCAAAATTAGCAGATGAGTATTTGCTCTGTTTCATGGCACCGTGGAAACCAAGTTCTCGTCGGAAATCCGCAAAGGTCATTGGGGAAGATGGCGTATTTGGCATGAGAGTGTTTTTGGGAACATTGCGAAACATGCGCTTGCGGTTCCAAGCCTGGGCATCTTCCCACCAGTTCTGGAAGAGGCGTTTTCCTTCGTCGTTTGTGCAAATTGACTCTGGATGGAACTGAACGCCCCAGAATGGCTTTTGTATATGCTTGACACCCATGAGCACAGCACCATTGCGCTCGCTATCGAAATCCCATGCCAGCGGTTCGAGGTCGGGGCAAGTTTCCGTGGGTTCCCAGAGCTGGGCGGGGTATCGTACAGCTCGTTTACTTTGGATAGGGTGGTTGAGCTTGACATGAAGGGAGTGGTACTGTGTGGCCAATAGACGCTCTACGCCTCGAAATATGGACTGGCCTTTGTGCAGGACAGTGGTTATGATGCCATGCTTCGGCTCCTCAAGTCGTTCAATGTCGGCTCCAAAGGCAAGGCATAGGGACTGGAAGCCCAGACAGATGCCAAAAACAGGAACAAGCTGCTCTTCTTGAAGACTCCAGAGCTCTTTCATCAGACCAACGTCCCTTTCGCATTTGGCCCAGCCGGGCCCGGGTCCAGCAATCACACCATCGAAGCTCTTGAGGTAATCCGTAAAGGCTGAGTGCTGCCCATCATCTTTTACCTTTGTAAGATTCGGATCGTCAATAAAGACCTTGACGACTTGCGCGTCGATGTTTTGTTCGACTGTCGCGACAATGTTGTTTGAAAACGAATCGTAGGCGTCCAGAAATAAGATTCTCGGGCGTTGAGTCAGAATGGCAGGCGCCATGGCTCTGTACCACGTGTACAGGCAGAACACCACGGGACTTCCGAGTGTGACGTGTCTTTCTGATGACTTCCCAGATATTCCTGATGTCCGGATGCTGAGTTCTACTGTTGCTCGTTGTTTTGTCGTCTGTTTTCAAAAACTCCGACAACTGTCGATAGGGCTGTAGTCGCTATTCCGTGATAACTCCGGAGAATGACCGAAGTAGGGCCAAATGATGCCGAAAGGCCCGCCTTTGGAGGCCAGACGCCGAGGAGCTTGTTGGACTAGTTGAGCTCTACACTGTAGGCTGGAAGTTGAGAACAGGAAGAGAGAGAGAAGAAGGAGTCGGTGAATGATAGTGACCCAACGGAACGCCACCAGGTGTGGGTGGAAGATATGCAGGGTCTTTGGCTGCAAAGGGTTAGAGGCTGAGGCATGTGTCGGGAAGGTACGCTTTTCCCTGAAGGGGAAGGTAGCGCATGCCGATTTGCTGTTCCACAGTTACACCCGCACCTGAAACCAGATTGTTGCCACCCTCGAGAAAGTCGGAGATTGGTCGCACGACTAGTGTCGTGCAGGATCTGCCATGTGTATAGGATGTGTTTTATAGACGACGTTGATGGCTGTTTACACGTAGTTTGTGGTGCTTCTTCATTTTTGGTGGGCTGTCGGAAACCGGGTCCTCTCGAGATACGTACCTGGGTGGGTAACACGCTTGGGCCATATCAACACAAAGTTTGTAGCAGTGCCCAACACCTTAACCCGACTGCACCAGGTCAGCGCAATCCCTACATAAGCAATGTCCTGGTTGAAGCGACGAGCAGGCCCACTGATTGTGCTCGGGTCTTCAGCGCTTGGCGGGGCAGCATATCGTCTCGCCAAACCCGCAGATGCGTCCGATGCGACCTTGAACCCTCACACCTTCACGCCATATACACTTGTAAGCAAGGAGCCCGTCTCGTCGACCAGCGCCATCTTCACACTGCGCAATAGCAATGGCGTCTCAGATGCGGAAAGCCTCAAGGAGGTATCGAAACGCAGCGTTTGGAGCGTGCAGATCAAGCAACCGCAATTACAGATTGCCCGCGCATACACCCCATTGCCTCGCACGACCGATAGCACCAAGACGGGCGACGATGACCTGGGAGGTATGAGGTTGCTTATACGCCAGGAGACGGGTGGCGAGGTCTCAACCTACCTGCACCGTCTCCCAGAGCAATCGACCATCGAATTGCGAGGACCCAACACCGAACTCAAGCTCCCCCGCGACATCATAGAGGTTGTATTTCTAGCAGGTGGAACAGGCATAGCGCCCGCGATGCAAGTCGCTCAGGCATTGGGACGGCGGACAGGCAGCAAAATGCACATATTGTGGGCAAACCGGAAGCGCGAAGAATGCGTAGGCGGTGTCAGTGATGACAGCGGACAAGATCAAGGCGGTCAGGATCGAATAGGATGGTGGAAGAGTCTGTTCGGCTCTCATGTGCAGGCACCGCTCGTAGAACCACCGAGTGCCACGGAGAAGGGTGCCATTGTGACCGAGTTGGACGCGCTCAAGAAGCGGAGTGAAGCCGCCACAAAAGGCTTAACTGTCAACTACTACGTCGACGAGGAAAAGACGTTTATCCAGCCCGGCGAGATAGAACAAAAGATAAGGCGTCGCAGAGAGGAAGCCGGGTCCCGACTGATCATTGTTTCAGGCCCGGACGGTTTCATCGAATACTGGGCCGGTAGGAAGCTGTGGGCTAATGGCACCGAAGTTCAAGGTCCATTGGGAGGCCAGTTAAGCCGCATGGACCTAGGTGAGTGGAAAGTGGTCAAGTTATAAAAAGCTACGCAAGTCCGTAACGAGAAATGTTCTTGTTCCGCCATGTTCGCAGATGACTATGCTCGTAGACGGAACGCCATGATGAGTGTCTGTTTGGCCGTCCAATATGGAATATATCCCAACTGTCGACTTGTGCACGCTATATTCGGCGCACACATAGTATCGGCTACTTGTTTACCTAGGCTGTCCCACTTACTAACCAGGTGTGCTCGGGCGGTCGTTGTGGTTCCCGGCCGGGGAGGCTAGTAATGTGTCGTGCTTGTGTAACTAGCTGCACGAGCGTTAGGAATGATTCCGCGCGCTGAATAATTCCACCGCCGGCTGCGACTTCCTCAATTTTCAATCACAACCAGACTTGTCTGCGACATGACCTCTAGTTCGCATTTTCTAGTCATGTGTCTCGGTGCTTTTTAATATCCTCTCTTCTGCTGCGTTATTGCTGGTTTTTCTTTCTTTCTCTCTTTAACTTTCACATTACACGCCACACCTGCGACATGGGTACAGATGTTGATGCCGAACTCGGCACTGTGCACTCTCAGCCAATCAGCGAAAAGGATCCAAATGCCCGACCAGAGTGCTTCAAATCGCTGTTACAAGAATGTCTGTTTATTGCATCGGTGACCATGGCTGTCGCCATGACGAGCTTCCTGCAGGGTGCCGTCACCGTTATGAGTTCGTTCGCGGCACGAGATCTGGGTATGACCAATGCGGAGCTTTCCTGGATGAATGCCGCCACATCGTGAGAATGACCCGATATCGAATTCAAGGTTGCATGACTGACAAGATATGCAGACTCACGGCTGGTTCACTACTGCTCTTCTTCGGCAGTATAGCTGATCTTTTCGGACGCAAATCCATGTTTATCGCGTCCATGTTCTTCTTCTCCGTCTTTTGCCTGGGAGCCGGCTTCTCCCAAACCGGGATGATGCTCGATGTTCTTTGCGGTGTCCTAGGCATCTTCTCTGCCGCGGCTGTGCCTCCTGCTCAGGGAATGCTGGGTGTCATCTATGCGAAGCCTAGCCAAAGGAAGAACAGGGCTTTTGGCTGCTTCAGTGCAGGCAATCCCATGGGCTTCATTTTCGGGACGATCCTCGCTGGCCTCTTTACCCAGGTGTTCAACTGGAGAGCTAGCTTCTTTCTATTGGCTATTGTGTATCTTTGTATAAGTATTATTGCCGCGTTTACAGTACCCAAGGATACGACACCAAAGCAGACGTTCAACGCACAGACGATGAAGAAGCTGGACCTTCCAGGAACAGCGCTTACAATTTTTGGCATCGGCATGTTTTGTGCTGCACTGAGGTATGGTTGGATGTCAAGGTCAGTGAGACTGCAAGCTGACATTCATCATAGTCTTGGCGGAAATGCGCCACAGGGTTGGAAGACACCCTACGTCCTCGTTCTGTTGATACTTGGAGCCATTTTGATGATTTCATTTGTTGTATGGGAGTTCAAGTACCCATATGCGATGATTGATATGAAGATCTGGCGCGATCGAGACTTTTCTTTGGTAAGTCGGTCCATGTGTCGTGGAATTTCTGTGTCGAAATTCAAGTGCGAAGCTTCACAACATTGCCTGCCACAACCTGCTATGATCTTGGTACTAACTATATGCAACAGTTGATGGGCATCCTCGCTCTCGCCACTCTTGGATTCCCAGTCTTGAGTTTCTGGATGGCACTCTATTTCGAGCGGGTGCAAGGATACAGTGCCCTCATGACTGGCGTTCACATGCTTCCTATGGCTATTGTAGGTCTGACTGCAAACGCAGTGGCCGCCCTGATCCAGCACAAAGTATCCAACAAAATTCTTGTTGGTATTGGATCGACTGCTCTCACCCTTTCTTTTACACTAGCAGCCCTCCAGAGAGACGGAGATTCGTACTGGGCATTTGCTTTCCCAGCGCTCTGCTTGTGTGTTGTTGGCATCGATTTTGAGTTTATTGTTGCAAATGTAAGTTTTGTCCCTATGCTTCTCCAAATATCCAATAACTCTGGCTAAACCATTCGTAGATGTATGTTTTGTCATCGATGCCACTTGACAAGCAATCCACTGCAGGTTCGCTCTTCCAGACGATATCCCGTCTATGCAGCGCTGTCGCTTATGGAATCGTGACGGCAATTTTCGATCATGTACAGAAAAATCCAGCAAAATCAGGTTACTACGCCAACAACGCTGCGGAACCTTACTCTTCCGCTTTTTGGTTCGCAGCTGCAGCCGCGTTTCCTAGCATGCTACTCTTTCCCTTTTTGAGGATCGGAACGCAGGGTCACACAGGCGATACTAGAAGAGGGAAGCAGACTGACAAGCGGGAGGATGAGTCGGAAGGCGGACGGGGTGGGGACATTGAGCATGCCGTGATAACCAATGCAACGCCAGGCGGGAAGGGTGTGCATGATCAAGACACAGAAAAAGTCTGATCACAGTAGATGATCCGAATTAAAAGTTTCATTCACGATGCATAGTTCCCGGACATGAAAACCATCAAAAGTCCATCCAAGTCCAATCATTCAAAACAACCAATTTTTCCCATCTTCCTAACCAGCCTCACCTCTGCTTTCCACTGGAACATTCCCTTCTCCATTCCATCCACCAAAACCCAACCAAAACCCAACTACCAACTAAACAAAACATCGCTTCAAAAAAAGCTCCAACCACCTCGTATCCAGCATACGCGCTTCCACCCTTCCCGCGGCACTTTCCTTCCCCTCCCCCCTCTCCGCCCCAAAACTAAACCCGCGAACCTAGTGCAAAACCCAGACCGCACTTTAAAAATCCTACCGGCCTACTTTTGGCGGGCGTGCGCGCGCTTAGATCCCGCATTTTTGCCCGCCAAAACCTAGATGGTTCGTTCCTGCGTTTGCGGTTTCCCCTGGTGTGGGTGTGCCGCAAGAACCCCCCAGTTCCCCCCCCCCCCCCACTTAAAGTTTGCCCGAGGGGACGCCACAGGGTGTGGACGGGAGCCGGGGGAGGGTTGGATGGTGGGATTGAGAGGTAGGGGGGGGATGATGACGTTGGTGGGGGGTCTTGATATTCTATTTATAATAATATACGTGTGTATTTGTGATTTGGGATTTGATGGTGAGAGAGAGATGGAAAAGCAAGAGGTTGAATAAGAATCTTCTTCGGATTTGTATATTTCGTTGATACCTTAATAATACAAAAATATAGGGTTAGGCTGAAATATGATATGCGTTTATTTTTTCTTTTTTAAAAAAAGGCGAGATGAAGAAAAAGAAAAAAGGGATGGTAAAACCGCCCCACCCTTTTTTATCTTGAATGCGCCGAGTCAGAAAGATGTGAAGATACCGCCCGTCCGTCCCGTCCGTTCAAGTCCTTTCTTCCATTGCCAAAGAAAAAGTGCATGTGTGTATGTCATGTTACGAAGTATCCATACTCTGCACCCCGTCATCTTCCACCTCTTGCTGTGCTCCCATTTTCAACCTCTCCACCTCAGCCCTCAACATCTCAATCTCCCTCTCTTGCGCTCGCATCTTCTCGAGCGCCATTTCGATCAACCGTGCTTTATTCACCGTCTTCTTTTCTCCCGCTGCAACACTCGACCGCCTACTCTTATCATCCCCGTCTTCCTTGTCCTCTGCTATACTTCCATTCCCACCACCGTTACCATTGGTACTCGCACAATCGTCCTCCCGCCCCCTCATGACAACAAAACACGTCGTCCCGCTCCCAAACGTGACCTCGCCGTCTAACAAAAACTCGGCAAGATCAACCATGGCGTTCTTCATGCGGTCGCGCCGGGCTTGCTCGGCGGCACGGTGCGTGGCGCGCTTCATCATGACGCCCGAGGCCATTGCGGTACTGAAATGAAGGCCCATTTCGAGGTGCTGGCCTGAAGAGATGAGTTCGTAGTTTGATTTTGAGGCGAGGAGGTCGGCTTGGGGGGTTATTACGCCGCCGGCGCCTAGTTGCGTATGTGAGAAAACGAACATATTAGATAGATAGATAGAAAGAGGAATTGAGCGGGGAACAAAAAAACATACCATTTCGATCGGCAGAGGATATACTGCTGCCTCGTCGTGCTATGGGGACTTTGTTGGGTGGTGGGATGGAGGAGGCGTGGGATATTGAAGATATGGTACTTGCGGTGTCTGCTGTTATGGAGGGGGAGCGCATTGAGGAGACAGTAGGCGAAGTAATGGATTGAGAGGCTATTGAGGGAGTTTTGATGGGTCGTACGGGGTGTATGGGTATCTGAACTTGTGGTTGGATCTGTTGTTGGATTGGCTGTGGTTGCGCCTGTGGTTGGATATTATTTGGTGGGACATGTTGCTGTTGCTGTTGCTGTTGCTGCTGTTGCTGGGCGCTCTCTCGAACTGGACTGTATCTCCTCCTCTTTTTGAAAATCTGTGGCCATGTCCTGCTCAGCGGGCCGCGATGATGACTACTCTCGTTCCGGTCGGCGACCAGCGGTCCGTTTGGGTGTGGATAAGGCTGCATGCCTGGATTTCCGATTCTGGGGGCGGAAAGAACCAGGAATTGAGAGAAGAGAACTTGGCGGGGTTTAGTGGATTTGCTACAGATATTCGTTGTTTGCAATAAAGTTGATATGATGTCAAATTCCGCCGTATGGGGTCCGGTCACGCACACGGGCCCGATGTGTCAGATTTGGCGTGGAGCTGGTGCTAGCAGGATATCACTAGGGGGAAGTGTGATGGTAGGGGAGAACGAGCGTGGGTAGCAAGCAGAGCAAAGTCAAGGGCAGAGCAGAAAACACGGGGAGAGGCGAGGGGAGTGGGGGAGAGGGAGAGGGCGTGATTAGTTGAAGTTGGGCATGTACAGCAGCGGTGCAGGCGGGTAAGAGTGAGATTATGCGTGCGAAGCGGACCGGCTTTGGCCTCATCCATGGGGCGAGGAGGCGTAGTTGAAGGCGGGATCTGGAACGAGTTCCGCACCCATGCTTGCGCGTGCCCTCCGTTAAAAAGCAAAGGGCGTATGCAGTGAGCATCTCAGCGAGTGAAGCTTTGGCTTGGCGGAGGACCAGAGAGGCACATGCACGCCAACCAACCACACGACGCCGCGAGAGCACATGGCCGCCAAGTCGACGACACATGGCGGAGAGGCCCCCTGCTGCAAGCCCAGCGCGCCGAGTGCTTAGCTGCCACGACTATCGCCCTTGGAGTGACATTTGCCCTCTCTGCTGCCATCCCCATTCACCCTCCGCTGCCATGGGCCTAGCCGCATGCTTCCGTGCTGGGACTTTGCGGGGTTACCTTCTTCATTCGGGGCGACCCTCTGGCTCCACCCCGAGCCCCCATATCACCAAGCCATCAATCGGCGCTCAGCACCATCGCACGTGTGCTCCCCCCATGCTGACCTGCTGGTGGAGACTCTTATCTACCGTCTTTTCAATGAAACCAGCTACTGCTTTTTATATCCTACTATCGCTCAAGTCGCCACAAAACAATTCGGTTTCAATATTCGCTGCAAAATACGCCAAATGATGCCATCCCACTTCTATGTCGAGCTGTTCATCCTGCTAACCAATTCGTGGCTGTCGTGCCTCTCCTTCCTGTTACCCCGAGCGCCAGGGATATACTCCAGATCCTCCTCGCCGTCGTCCTCGTCGTCCTCGTCTTCCATATCCATGTCCAGAACCTCCTCGCTGAGCATCTTGGGATTCAAAGAAAATGCTCCCTTGGGAACAAAGGTGCTCACCATAACCAACACCGATATAATGGTAAACTGCACGCCCGCCACGTTCAAGATGGCCCCGTGAATCTCGTCGTTGTCTCGGTCCGAGATGCGGTCGATGTATGTTCCCAGGCACGCAGATGCAATGGCGTACATGACAATGTACGTGCTGTAAAGAAATGCCATGACGGCCCCCAGTGCCGATACGTTCTGCGATTTGGACTCGATTCGAGCAAGCGACGCCTGGATATATGCCGCCAGAGACACATCACCCGCAGCCCATCCGAAGCTGATGGGCAGAAAGGTCGCTGCCACAATCCACGCCTGTGCCACGTCGTTGCGCGGAGGACGCCAGTAGGGCAGATACCACACAATCAGCAGACCAAGTGCGTCTAGTCGCAGCCATGGTATCGGCGTCTGCACCAAGTTTGTGAACATGAAGACAAACAGCGCCCCCAGTAGTTCACCAAAGTTCGATCCTCCCACCATGATTTGTGACCAGGCCGAGTTCCCAAAGTACCGCCGCGCAACTGCAGGCGCAATGGCATTCTCCAGGTATCGGTGCGCGTAAAGTGCAATTGCATATCCAGGCAGCAGCCAGATAAACTTGCGATGTGTGAAGATGAGTTTGGCACCGGTTCCCACAGACTCGAAAAAGAGGTAGAAGCCACTAATCACTGCCTTGACATAGTTGGGCTCGCCCTCGGTCACCGAAGCTCGGACTTCCCTTGGTATGCTTTCCTCGTGGATAAAGTACCAGAGAATCGATGCAGCAGCGAAAAAGATGGGCGTGATGACGAAGCTAAAGTTGTTGCCGAGGCGGGGGATGAGGGCAAGTGCTGTGCAAAAAGCACCTGCTGTTCCACTCGTCTCGTAGAAGATGTGCACCAACGAGTCCATCCGGCGGAGCTTCTGAATGTTGCCACCCACGAGATCCCGAGGTATAACGCGTCGAATCAGTTCAACCATACCGTAGACTATGCCACAGACGCAATCTAACACTCATCAGCACATGTTGCGCAGTACCTCGGATAGGGCCATTCTTACAGATGGGTATCATCGCGTCCGTATCGTAGTCGCCGTAGTAGCTGAAGTCATCTTTGGGCCATCCGCGCGGCATGAATTTACCACCAGTTGCGGCATCGAGTATCAGTAAGAGACTGCTCATGAACCCAAACACGAGCACTGCGCAAGCTAGCACGTTCTTGGTCGGATACCGCTTGATCAGAGGTGCAATCAGGATGGACCCTATGCACTGAAATGCCTGGTTCAGGCCTGTCAATACACCCACGCGTTGAAATGTGATGGAAACGTGCGTCGTCTTCTCCAGTTCGTCGTATCGATTCGTGGCGAGTGCGATGATTGATCCGTTGAATGCCTCGAGCCCAAACTTGTACATCATAATGCCGGCAATGTAAATGGCAATGTTCCGGCGCTCTAGAGGCGTGTAAATATTCCATGTTTCTCGGAGGACAGCAATGGGTCGGACCATGTCGACGATCAAAGCACACAAGCGTGCGGCAGCAGTGCTACAGAGAGCAAAAGCGAATCCGCAAATGCGGAGAGACCTTGTTTATACGTCCAAAATGCCGGAACGCTGGTGTTGACAAAAACAGCCAATGAAATCAAGGGAAGCCTGCATGTGGAGTTACCGGTTCGCTACAGGCATGCGTGAGTAGTTACGGATCACAACAGCCGAATCTGTGGCGAGGAGGCATCTCAAGAACCCACGAATTCACGCTCTTGGGAGACGGCGGAGCGCTGCTCTTCAAGGCCAAGTGGTACCATGGCAGCGCCCTAGTCCGAATGAGGCTCGGCATTCTCGTTAGATACTGACCAGTCAGACCCCCCACGTGGCTGACATGCCATGTCTGGGCAGACCAGGGCATTCGCCTCAGCCGTAAGAATAGTCGCAACAGTCTTAATGCACGCGAGCAAAAACTCCTTCATAACTTCTTGTCGTCCCAAGGGGCTGGATACAATAATCTGGGCTGCATTGTCAACTCTTCATCGATAAGAAAAATTGCACGTGGTGCAAAGTGCTGGTGAATTGAGGCATTCAATGCCGAGTTCAAGGTTGACATAATTTGCCCTTTTCTATTCAAACCGTGGAATCATAACAACTAGTAGCTTGGGCCAGACCTTGGGACTCGCCAAGTCAGCCCTTTGAATTAATCCTTGGGCTTTACGCGACATTGTGGCAGTGCATCACCAGTGCCAGACGGGAACAGTCGGAGTGAATTGGCGTGGTCTCGAATGTTCCTGCATTAGGCTTGTGGATCCCTTCGACCCTTGACCGTCGACTAGATTGTAAGACGACATGCTTTTCCTGATTCAGATTGTGACGGATGGAATTGTGGCTGCATGAGACACCGCATGTAGCAGATGGAGCTACAGAGATGCTCGACATTCAGACTGTGCAGATGATAAGCGAACAAAGTAGAGATGCTGTGACCCCATTGACAGCCTCCTGTCTTCAATCAGCCGAACAACCAGACTGTGAACTAGTTGATAGGCTGGCCCACTAGTGGCTAGAGCCTTTACATGAAAGTTGGATACTGCATCCTTAAGGATCCGGCTGGGCTTCGTATAAAAGTATGTAGTAGTATATGGATGCAGATAGGTAGCGCGTCGTGGCTGTCCCAGGGTATCAGCGCGCTCTTGAGCGCATAGTGAGTGCAAGGTAGGGCACTATTCCGAATCATCTTCCTTGTATCGCCTGGCCTCCTTAGCCTTTTCAAGTTTCTCCTCATCTTCAGCTTCTCGCTTGGCAAGGCTTTCGCGCATTCTTTCTTCCTGCTTCCTCCAGTGACTGCCCTCCTCGTAGTCTTCGCTGATGCCCAGTGCCTTGCGCAGCCTCTCGCTCTCTTCCATCTTCGCCTTGGCCAGGTCGTGGACCTGATGCGATTTGAGTCGCTTTGCATTCGGTCCCAAGTCTCTGCCGTCCTTACGCTCCTGATCTAGTTTGCGGCGCAACGCTTCGCACTGGTCATCGATTTCGTCCTCGTCAACACCCTCGTCTTCGAGCTTGTCTCGCAGCTCGAGAACCTTGACTTCGATTTCGCGCTTCGCTTCGTGCTCAAGGATCTCGGCGTCTGGCTGCCTTGGGCGGTGTTTGGCTTGGTCCCAGTCTTTTGGGTAGGGCTGAATCTTGTCGCGTGGTCTGAGGAGCGATCGGTTTTTCTGTACGTAACCCGAGGTACCGCTACCTCTTGGGGTGGTGAGGCCTACATTGTCGGCCATGGTCTGAAATTTGATGATTTGTAAGGTGAAGGTATTGTGTCGGTCAGAATGATGGCCAAGGACAGCCACTGGTTTGCGGCGAGCTCGGAGGTGAGGAAAGGCCCGAGCTTGCCTAGTGACGGAATGGCAGTTGCCCCACCAAAACTTTCCCTTGACTATGAAGACTCACTTAGCAATGGAGTCATTACTCTGTCTGGCACCCGTTTGCCATTATTCTAGACCCTACTTCGCCCCTACACTTGATTCAACATGAGCACACAAGATACAACCAGCGACAATGTCCCTGCTGGACCTGTGGAGATGGGATATACCGAGTTGCCCTTCCCCCCAGTCACCAAACAGCACATCTTGAACTGCTCGTACCATAGTTGGCACCCAAAGTCAGTTATATCCCATAATCTAGCACGTTCTTTGTTCTAATTTCAATAGATATCGTGCCGTAACGCCCAAAGCACGCCTCATCCCCCTTCCATCCGCGTTTCTCGAATACCTCCGCTCAGACGGCATCGTCCTGCCTCCCGAAGAGAGCGACGACCCCTCGTGGTCAGACAACGACAGTGGCATCTTCTCAGGCGCTGACAACAACGACGATGATGCTGAGGAGAGCATAGACCCTAGCGCAGAGTGGCGCGACACCCACGAGGCAATCGAGCGCACCATCGAGGAGCTGGGCGGCAAAGTCGCTCCCAAGCTCAACTGGAGTGCGCCAAAGGACGCAACATGGATAGCAGCAACCAACAGCATGGAGTGCCGGACACCCAACGACATCTACCTGCTCCTCAAAAGTAGTGATTTTGTCACCCACGATCTTGCACATGCTTTTGACGACACAGCCAATCAATCCACAACGCCAGACCCGGCAATTCCATACCATCTCGTGCTGCGAAAGTGGATCACGCTCAACCCCAGCGTTGAGTTCCGATGCTTTGTGCGCAACAGACGGCTGATTGCTCTATGCCAGCGGGACCTGAACCACTTTGACTTTCTGTTCAACATGCAGGATAAGCTACGGGACCTGATCCAGGACTTCTTCGACGCTAAACTGCGCGATACTTTCCCAGACCCAAACTTCACTTTTGACGTATACGTGCCGCCGCCCCATGACAAGGTTTGGGTCGTCGACTTCAATCCCTGGGCTGTGCGGACAGATCCACTGGTCTTTTCGTGGATGGAATTGCTCACCATGGACGTGCCAGAGGCAGCACCAGCCGTGGAGACGACTGTGCGTCTGAAGATAGCCCAGCCAGAAGCCAAGAGCGAATCTGTTCCAGTGGCCAACGACGTAGAGGACGACGAGGACGACGTCTCAGACGACGATGATGTTGAGGAAGTGTGGCAGCCAGAGTTCCGACTGGTACGGAGAGACGATCCAGAGGCCTATGGTTTCACGACTCCGCAGTATAGTGCTCACAAGTTGCCCAAAGATGTAGTCGATGCGAGCAGGGGAGGCGAAGGCCAACTGAGAGAGTTTGCCATGCAGTGGGAGCAGGCCCAGAAGTTGGCTGAGCAACAAAGGGCAGAAGATAGCGAAGACGATTAGACTTGTGTGTGTAGTGGGTTGTGTTGCGGCAATGGACACGGCCCACATGTAAACACCACTCGAGCAGAACAACACATGAGCCGACAGATGACTTTTGCTTTTGTCTAACAAAGAGTCATCTTCTCTGACAGCTTGGCGTCAGTAAACACCAGCTGGTAATGCATGATTGGACATTTTGAACATGTGCCTGGGAGGGTGACCCGCCTCGTCGCGTGAGGCTGCCGGCCCGCCACCGTGACTCGCCCGCGCAGGCCACCTGCTTGTTTCACCGCCGGCATCCCCACACGTCCCATTCGACAAGAGTCGATCGTCCCTCCACAAGCCGCATTGCCCAGGACAACGTCGACTTCGATGCCGACTTTTGGGTACACTTTTCATCGCACGTGCTTTAAGATGAATGGTCCTCTGCTTCCATAGATTTGACACGCTGTTCCCACGGTACACTACGTCTAGCATTGCATAGCTATCGCACCCACCACATCGCTACCATATCCCGCTTGAGCCTTGACATCGTCTACATCACCACTCTTGCTTCCCTTCTCTCCAAACATCTCAATAACACAATACACCATTTACAAATCACGAGGCTACATTGAGCTTCTCTGCGTACACGCCATGGACACGCCAGACAGCACTTACAGTGGCTTCTTGTCCTTGCCTACTGAGATACGATGTCAGATTTACGATTATTTGCTTGCTGAATCATACGCCATTACCATCAGCGCCGCATATACGACGAATTCCCATGGTATTCGGATACAAGATGGCGCTCGCAAGACCGAGATTCCAGGTTTGCCACTTCATCTCGCGCCAATAGCACGACGCGGCCACGTCGCATCCCTCCTCTCCGTCGCGACGCCTCCAAGCATCGCCCTTGAAGATGGACAAATGGACAATATTGCGGACGAGAATCTGGGGCTCTCAGCACCACTGGCACTGTCATTGACTTCTCGTCTGGTCAAGGACGAGTTGAGTGATTGCATGCGGAGGCGAAAGCATATGTTGGATGCGCGAGCTGAGTACGATGACGATGGTGTTCTTCAAGATGACGAAGAGAACGTCGAAGGCATGTCACTCCATGTGTCATACCCATATGGAGTTCTAGTCCTGAAGAACCAGTATCCGTACTTGCTAAAGCAAGCGCGGAGAGTCTACGTTTCTGGCTATTACACGCCTCTTCTCGAAGAAGAGCCAACTGTTTCAGATACTGGCGACGGCGAGCATTTGACACCATCAAGCAGCCTTGCAGCACCTTCTTTCAATACTCCTGTGTCGGGACCTACGGCGAGTTTCACAGCTACACAGAGCAATTCCTCAAGACGGCCTCCCCGCCACGGCGTAAACAGAAGCCCCTCTCGTCCACGCCTCCGCATGGGCGCGCCGCTCCCACGCCAATCGCGCCACGCCACATACATCTACACAGCTTTCCCTGTATTTTCCAAATCTACCGCAACACACGCTCCAGCTGCCCTCGCACACCTCGTATCTACCATAATGCCCAAAACCCTTGGGTCTCTTACAAAATTCACAGCGCATATCCTCTTCCCGGGAGAGAATACGTATAGCTGCGTTTGGGGTGACGACAACAGCCCCGTCACTCATATTCTGCGCAGCATCTGCGGCGGCAAGATTGATATGAAAGTATTGAGGTGTAACTTGGGCACAGGGCTTAAGCTGACGGCAAGACCAAAACCATGGAGTCGCATCGTGAGTACGAGTTGGGTCAATTGGAAGAAGGGAGATAATCTAGCACAAGGCAGCCCCAATACTGCAAGAAGGGCAAGCGGATCATTGAGTGTGGTTGATTTGGACGGTTTTTTGACAGGCATTCCAGATGGTGCGTGACGAGGATTCTATGGCATATGCTAGCCCTTGAGCGAATCCATCAACTCGTTATGTTTATGATTTGTACTATACATTGTAACGTACGCCTATGGCCGTGCTTAACCTGGAAGTTAGTGATCTACTGAGCAATCTACAAGCGACGTTTCCTTTGGCATGGGAGAAGACTGTGCGTTTCATGTTGTATTGTGACGTGTGGATATTTTATTGATAGTGCAGCTTGCAGATGCACAAAACATTTCCAATTGCGAAATGAAATCACCAGGTAAACCACTTGACAGCACCTGGCACCCCCACAACCAAATCTCCTGCATCCGAGAATCCAACTCTTACTTTTCGATCCTCATCGTCAGGATATGTCAGCCAAAAAGAAATGATGCGCAGATGCTCCGGCACCTCTAAATCGCCTACTGCATCGTCACTGGGAATGTTCAGTTCCGCTCTCGTACGTTCCTGCTCAAGCGACAAAGCCTCGTCCGCTATCCAACCAGCGACCATGCCATCCCAGAAGCCTTCTCTTCGAGGGTGGCTCAGCATCATCCCGACAGCACGCCGCCGCAGTGCCTGGCAGGAAGCAGGGGCGCGAATGGCTATGAACCACAGTGCCGCCGTTGGCCCCATTGAAGTCATAAAAACCGGTGAAGACCTATCCCCCGGCACAACCAACAGCTGATCACATAAATCAAAGATATTGGCAAACAGAGCCGCCTCGTCAAACGGGGTCGTGAACGGCTCTTTGGCATGCTGGAACGCAGCCAAGCAAGGAAATCTGGCCACGATATCCGCCCGGGGCAGCCTTAGCAAATACTCCATCTGGCACTGCATCAGCTCGAGCGCAATCAGCGGCTGCGTAAACTCTTCGCGACTCTTCTTCTCCGCTTCCCCCCACAACTTCTTCATCACCCTCGCCCCAGCATGAAACCTCTCCACCAGCTCCCCCAACTCCACCCCAACCTGCTCTTCCTCCCCCGCTCCCCTCAAAAAAGTCTTTTGGTTAAAGGCATGGATATGGCTAAGTAGACACTCCATATGCCTCAGCACCCCCAGCAAACTCGCCATACTAAGCTTCTGGCACGCCTCCAACGCTTGACCCCCAGCCTTTACTTTCGGTTTCTTGACCCAGCTCCTCGATTGCGCAGATGGCATAATAGCTCGTATCTGCGCATCCAGCGCTACGAAAATCGTGCGTAGCGATTCCAGCTCCACAGCGTGCTCCGTCACCGCCTCCCCCGCATCATCCATCTCGTTCAGCATGCGAATCCCACTTCGCAAGTGCTCCACGGCGTGTTTCTGGTAGCCTTGAAGACAGCACATGCTGCTGAAGAGAATCGCACATGTCATTAAGGTCATTTTATCTTTTCCCGACGTCTTCGAATCACTCGTCCCGCCCTTCTCTAAGAGAACTTTGATAGCCCGGTTGGACTGCAAGAAAGCAAATTGCAAGTGTTGATCCGCCATTGCGCTCTCCTGGATGTGCGAGTGCGAGCCTTCGTGGAAGCGTCGGTACATGGCGCCTAGGGCAATGATGCAGTGCTGGATTGCGGGCTCGCTGTGCGCAGCTTGGAGCACTTCGCGTTGCCAGAAGGGGGAGTCGAGGAAGCCGCGCAGTTTGGGTATCGCGTGGGATGTGAAGAAGGAGAAGCTGAATTTTTCTTCGGTGGTGGAGAGGGGGAGGGCTGGGGCGAGGGGGTGTGGGATTGGGGAGTGATTACGGAGGGTGCGTTGGGTGGATCCTGAGCAGAATGATGATAATAGATTTTGGGCTTCTGGGGGTGAGGAAGTGTTGGCCTTTGGGGATCGGAAGTTTGAATCGTAGCCGTCGCAGGTGCGGCCTGTGGAGGTGCAGCGGGTACAGTGAGGTTTTTCTTCGTCGCATTTTACACGGCGTATTCTGTGGATCTGTTAGCATGGCCTCATCGGATTCCTAATTCAAATAGTGCTCTTGAACATTTCCCGTGCATCTCTGTATCCAGCAGAACGAATTGCTCCTTCAACAGAATATATCGAGCCTTTAGTCATGCAATCGTGCTGCAACCCCCAATGTACTACCAAATCAACCACATCCATCTCTTTCTCCCTCTCCATACAAAATCTCAATAACTTACTTGCACGTCTTACACCCCGACCTCGCCTTAGGCTTCCAAGCCCTCTGTCGCGGCTTTCCCGCCACCAGATCCATACTACTATCTGTTTTCTTCCAACCAGGTGCTGATCGTCGTTCAACCAGAACAACGAAATCGACTCGAAAACGCAGGTCCAAACGTATGTAGCAAAAGAAAAAAGAGGTTTTTGATGAAGGTAATGTATTGCACTACGTACGTCAAACGCTGCTATGAATGTTCGACACGAGGCCAACTTTTTGAGGCTCGCACCTGCATGATGCAGCGTTGCGGCGCAGGGGTGGCTGGGGGGCCGTTAGGCATCCACTATAATTGGTTGTTGGACACCGGGGGTTTTATTTTGAGATCTGCCTAATAGAGTGGTCGATGATGCGTGGTCGGACAGGGTATGTGATCCTACCGATGCATTGGACTTAGGGTTGGGTGGGGGGTTTTTTTTTGCGAGGGTCGTCCGGCGGCTTGAATGGGAGGTAGTAGTGCGTATGTTAAGGTTTTGGGGACGAGTTGTTGGTGTGTTACACTTAACTGTTGGAAAGTAAGACATTTTTTTACAAAGGAATTACGGGTTTGGTGTATGAATGTAAATTAATGTGTAGTACAAGTGGCTGCCTCCACGAGTGGAACGAGAGCGGGGCTAGGAATACTGCGGTGGGACATTCGGCCTCAGCCACAGATCCATCTACCTAGAGCTATCAATCTAAACGCCTGCGCCACTTTCCAACACTCAAAATAGCAAACACATTGCTCATAGCTTGCGCCAAAGATTTCGTAGATATCCCGCTTTACCCCCTTGCTCGCTGTGCGGCTCGCCATGTACATACACATCTCTCGCATCAAGATCCTTTCTCCTGCCCGAGTCCAAATCAATCTCTTCACTCCTCCAGAACCGTGTCTTGAACCAGATCTTATAGCCGACGTAGATGATTACAAATACTGGTATCATAATGTAAGCGTCGACAAAGTTTCCAGCATTGAACGGGCTTAAGGTGGTCCAGCCCTGAACAAGAGTAAGGAAGATGTTGGCGAAAAGTCCAAAATAGGCATTCCAGGGATAAAGAAAGGACTTGAAGGGTAGATCGTCTGGAGTCCGGCCTTGAGCTTTCCAGGCTTTTCGGAAGCGAATGTGCGTAAAGGAAATGGCGCCCCATACGAGAAAGGTGGAAACGCCGCTCAGGTTGACAATATATGAGTATGCCTTTCCACCGCCCGTACTAACGTTCATCATGGATATGGCTCCGATCAGGTTTGTGAAAACGATGGCGTAGATTGGTACGCCGCGACTGTTTGTCTTTCCAAGGAATTTCGGCGCCATTTTCTGTTGTGCCATGAAAAGTATGGTCCGAGATCCGATATAAATCGAGCTGTTCGCCGCGCTCAGAACGGTAACGAAGATGAAGGCGTTGATAAGATGTACTCCTCCTTCCCAGCCAGCGTTTTGCAGTGCAATAGTCATGGGACTCTTCAATGCACGACTGCTTCCATTCGCGAGTCCATCTGCATTCGAAGGGCAAGTGAGACCAAAGAAGAATGCCACTCCCATGTAGACAAAAAGAATACGCCAGATGACCTGTCGAATCGCGAGGGGAACAGCCACAGATGGATTTCTGGTTTCAGTTGCTGCAACCGCAACAGCTTCCACACCCGCGTAAAACGTCGAAGCAAAAACAAAGACCGTTGCTACTCCGCGAAATCCATTCACCCAAGGACCAGGGTCGTGCCAGTATCGGAATCCAATCGCCTCTTTCTGCCCAATTAGTCCTCCCGATGCGTAAATGATGGCGAAAAGGAAGTAAGTGCACAGCCCAACAAGTTTGACCAGCGCAAGCCAAAACTCTGCTTCTCCAAACGACTCGACACCCAGCATCTGGAAGCCCAAAAACGCAAACCAGAAGATGAGAAAGTAGCCCCATAGCGGCACCTGCGGGCCCCAGAACACCATAATCGACGAAATGACGTTGTACTCGTTCGCCAGCACGCACGCCCACACCAGCCAGTACTGCCATCCGACCGCAACCCCAAAAGCCTTATCGACAAAGCGCTCAGAAAGCGTGACAAACGCCCCGCCCGTCGGATACAGCGTCGTCATCTCACCCAGCGACTGCGTAATGCTGAACGCGATAATACCAATGATGCCGAATCCGATGAGAAGCGACGCTGGACCACCCTGAGCGAGTGCACCTCCCGTTCCAACCAAGATACCCGGACCGATGATTCCAGCCAGAGCCATCATGCTCAAATGGCGCGTCTTGAGTCCGCGCTTGACGCCGCTTGGATCCATTCGCTGGAAATCACCATCGTCGTTGTTGTAGCTTGCTGCTGGTGAGGCGGGGCCCGCTGCGGCTTTGGAGTCGAAGAGGGCCATGACGTACGAGCCTGGCTGGTCGTTGCGAAGTCGTTTTCTTGATTAAACGAGCAAAAAAAAAGCTCAAGAGTGTACATGGTTTACTTTTTCAAAGGAACGCATGGTTATATAAGCGCATTATTTTTCTAGTCTTGGACTTGGCGAGCAAGTTGCCTGGGGGGGCGAATGACAGACGGCTGGGGTCTTGGATTGCATGTTGCGATTTTCATGGCTGATTGCGCGATAAGAGGGAAGACACTCGTTTTTTTCTGACGGCGGTACTGCAGGGATCGATTGTGGGCTTGTTTACCGCCGATACTGTCGTATCTTGAAATTAATGATTGAGTAAAAAGTATGCGGGGAGGAAAGCAATGCCGGTTTGCTCGTGGAGAATGGCGACTTCTGTTATCGAGCATGGTGGGTATGGGCGATGGATTGGGGTGGTGGGGAGGGCGGGCGGAAACGATAGGTTTGGTTTGAATAGAGTTTAGCGGAAGACAAGTTGCACTACGACTTGGCGCCACTTCTCCATGTGAAGCTTGCAATGTGGATTTTACTATCATTTTGCTGTCATAGGCTGGCTGAAGTCCCGCATTCAGGATTTACACCCTCCGCGGACTCTGTGTCTAGACCTCCTCCAGCTTCAGAGTTTGCAACGACTCGGGCATAAGCACAGCAGACTCCGACCGTCCTGTCGACTTGGATATCACCAGCACACCCTAAGTTTTCAATCGCATGGCCGTCAGCCACATAAAAAAAAGTCTGGAGATACTTCCCTAGTTGCATACGGAATGATTCTCGTGCATACCCTCCTCACATTTACTCCGGTCTTGGCGAGACAAGGGCTAATGAGCTAATTGTTACGTTCCGTGACTGCTACTGCTCCACGTTAGTATACAATGTGTGAGTATAGGAAGTACTCTGTTCACTCTTTCTCGTCACATGATGGAAGCCACAAGAAACACAGAAATATTCATAACATTGTAACATTTAAAAACTTATTACACTACTATACACATTTTTTCTCATATACTGTCGTTAACACTGATCCAGTCAGTGTCATATAGAAGTCCCAAGCATCAAGCCCGTACTCCAACATTCATCGAACCAAGCGACTTCAGGGCAGGCGGCCAACTTCCATACGCTTCTTGAGCCTGTAGGCAAGAGCACGCTTCTTGGCCGCAGTGCTCTGTGTGAAGGCAACAGAGCCACCAAAGGGACCAGCAGCTGCACCGTTGCGGACACGCATGACGCAGACATTGTTGACACCAGCAACAGTTGCATCGCAAGTCATACCGGCAGGCATCTGGACCTTCATCTCGAACTCGGTGTTGGTGGCCAGCGAGATGCCCTGGACACCTAGACCAGGGACGTCCTGAGTGACAGTGGCAGGCTGCATGGCAGCTTCATCAGTGCCACCAGACGTGCCATCGACATCTGCCGTGAAAGGACCTGCACCATCCTGGTTGATCTAAAGGCTGTTAGAAACCGCATCATCGAACTGAGGCCTAGCAAAACTCACCTGACGAAGCGTCATAGTGACCGTTCCATCATCCGCACAAGTCGGCAGACCCCCCGTCGCTCCCGCTCCAGCAGCAGCAGCAACCCGCGCCTCAGGCGGTCCATTAACCTTATCACCACCACCCCCAAACAACCCCGCAATCCCCGTTGCACCGCCCGCACCTCCAGCTGCACCACCAGCACCAGCACCACCCTTTCCACCCCCAAGGCCTCCCAAAAGGTTGCTGAGAAACTGCCTCTTCCGCTGCGCATTTGCATTCTGCGCACCAGCATTCTGCGGGATATCATCTTCAACACCTACACTACCCGACGCGCCCTGGTTCGCCGGTGGCGCAGCCCCGGATCCCATGAACGCGCCGACCATGACTGCAGCATCTACGTTGCCGTTGCCCTGCGTGCGACCCAGGGGACCCGTCTTGCCGCTTGCGATTTCACGGTCGCGGATGATTGCTGTGTCGGCTTGGGAACCGCATCCACTGTTTTCTTTGTTAGACTTCTTTCACGCCTGAGTTGTAAGGGGAGAGGGGAGGGATACGTACTTGGAGGAGCAATCCCGTGGTGTTCCATCTTGGATTGTCAAACCAGGCATACTGACGCCATTTGCGCCCTTGACTTCGGTGACGACGCCGTGGGCGGAGATGGTGGTTGCGGCGGTGAGGGCGAGGAGGAGGGTGCGTGGGAAGTACATTGTTGCGGTTTTCTTCTTTTATATTCAAATGTAAAAAAAGGTATAGGAGGGGATGGGTGCGATGGTCAACTCGAAATTTTCTATCCCAAATAATTCGGATAGAAATATAGATATAAGGGAATATATATAAGAAAGCACCAGGCTAAAGAGGAAAGTAGAGAGTAGTCTTGTACACAAAGCAAGATTGTGCTGCGGATACTTCTTCACCTCGACGTTTCCCCCACGCTCTTCTTATACAAATCCCTTTCCCTTTTCACGAACAAAAGATATGTCATAGAGAGGGTAGGTGTAGATCAGTGCATTCGCACCGCATTCTGCATTCGGTGCCATAACCGCCATACCATGCCCTGCAACTCGCTAGGGAAAACCTCAGTCTCCACTCACGCATCCGAAAGCTCTATCGAGCAACAAAACAGAGCATCAGGCATTGTGGCGCCTGTGTCGTGAGGCGTGTTTGGTCTGAGGCTTTGCGCTTGTGCTGCCTTCCTCCCGGCGGAGAAGGTCCAAAACGTGGGCTTGGCGTGTGAATCACGGTGGTGGAGTGCTAAAGAGGTAGGGTGATTAGCTAGATGGGCCTGGGGGAGTAGTCTGAGGATCCCAGGCGCCAAGGTGTGCGGATGCTGTTTTTTCCATGCGTGAGGTTTTGAGATATGCGAAACAGGGAGACAGAAGGGTGGAACGGGGACGGGGAGTTGTTTTGTTCATAGTAGTAGAAATTGTGATAATGGCGTTGACAGCTGGGTTTTTTGAGGCTACTTTGACGATGCCAAATTGCTGCCTTGGTGCAGAAAGATAAATCCGGGAAAAAAAAAGGATATCGTACACCTGTCTACGCTGTCAAACCCATCAGCGTGTAGTCTACAAAACCCACCACCACATCGAGCTAGTAGTCTAACAGTCTCGCGCCTAACCCGTTTCATCATCACGACCATCACCAACCACCCAACATCCAACGCCACACACATACAACCTCCCAAAACACATCACTCAACCAATCCCCACCCAGATCATCGCAGTCCCCTAAAAATAAACTTTTTTTTTCAAAAAGATGCATCCGCCTTGTCAGGTGTTTTGTCACCAAGGAGACGAGAACCCCCCCATTCCACACCTGTTGTCGCAGTCCCCGTGTCGCCGCTAGCGTTTCATCAAACAAGAACAAGGCCGATCTTCAAACTTGTTGTGCCTTGGTTTTCTCACAAACCCTCATTTTCGAATACTCTAGTCTCCGCTTTCTGTTTAATGCATGCAGTGTGTCCCCGGCCCGCTCCTGAGGGTTTTGCTTCCAAAAGCCGCCCCCACTGTGACCCGAAAACGTATGGTAGAGATGTGACGGTGGCGGGTGTTTGGTGTTTAGTCATGGTAGAGAGGCGAGATCGAAGTGGAGTATGTGTGGCTTAGTTTGGGTTCGGGGGATAAGGACGAAATGGGGAAGGAGACGCGATATTTTTTTGAAATCGACTTTGAATGTGTCAAACGTGGAAGTTTGGAGTTTGGTCTTATGAGGGCGATGTATAGGGCCAGTGGGGTTTTTGGCGATTTTGACATCTTCATGCACTTGCTTATGTGCTGGCGCTTCGGATAGGTATTTCTCATACTGTTGCTTGCACCTGCCAATGAGGCATGTGTAACTTGGGTTCCTTGGGACTTTAGTTCTTCATATGGCGCCGAAAGAAAGAAATAGTTGAAGTGTAGCGACAGCGATGGCTTCGCTTCCGAGTATGAAACTCGCAATGGAGAAACCGTCTTGCAGGCTTTTCTTGCATATGCCCCATACGAGCCCAAATGTGCCTGCAGATGCAATGCCGAAAAACAGAACGAGACAGATGCGCTGTAGATCCATGTCTTGTTCGAGATGCACACCCCACCCCGTGTAGAGGTCGGGATCTACGCCCGGGGTTGGGCGCTCCCCGATACGTTTTGGGAACTGCCTAAGACAAATATTGTCTTGGAAGCAATCCTTAGGCGAGCTGAAGCGATGCATGAGAAAGTCACTACCCAATGCTGGCGTACGATCTGGTTTGTGAGGATCGCATGTGTAGTGCTTGACCGCCTCCGGTGGCATATCATAGACGAGGCCGTCGACTTCTTTGCGAGCGTGTAGAGTAAACTAGGTAGAACCTGTGAGCTTGAAACGGCACATGTTTTCTTGCATTGGGAATCCTACCTTGACAAAGCTCATTCGTTGTACGGTCTGGAAGCTGAACTGGCGGTAGACCCATCGGAACTTTGAGTGGTATTCACGGCGTAACGCTTCGAAGAGCTCGCGATCTCGAGTGATTGTTGAAATCTGGAGGTCGTAACGGTTCGTTAAGAATCTCTTGACCTTCATGCATAAGAGGATAAAATCTTCTGGTATGTTGATGTTGGTGCTGTTGACTTGAGTGCTAGTTGTTGAAGACGTGGAGCGCCAGTTCTGTCGTCCTGGTGTAGTTTGAGAAGCCCTGGAGAGACCCGTCAAAGTTTGAAGTGGTCGGTTGGAATTACTGGGATCAATATTTACACTCGATTGTGATGGCAAATTCCCATTTGTTGGCCCACTAGTCGCTTTAGGAGGACTTCCATTAGCCACTTTAGAATGAAAAGTTCCCTTAGCCGCTTTAGAAAAGGTGATTCTAAGGTCTTCCACGACTGACTGTCGAAGACATATTTCCCGTTGCGATGGAAATAAGGATACGTAAACCAAGAGCGCTTCTGTGCCGATGCTGAGGGTTAGAAGGCAAATGTTTCCAATGAAGTCAAAAACAGCTATAATAGCCCTTTCGGAAGAGAGACTTTCATCGTGTACCGCGTCTGACAGTTTAGAAACTATCCGCAGTGATCGAGATACCACTTCTTTGACACGCCACCTCAAAACAATAATGGTTAGAAGGCAAACGCCAATCTTTGCAATAACTATTCCAATTCTCTTGGTCATTTTGGAAGAGACACTTCTATCGTTTACCAAGTCGGAAATTCGAGGATGCATAGTTGATAGCGGTGGAGATGTCCATTTTTCGATGCCCAACCACGCAAGAATGCAGAATCGAATCCAAGTGTAAATGTTTGCAACTGTCATTCCAAGTCGCTCAAGCACAGCTCTTGCTGCAGATCGGCTGGACTGGGATGAATCACAAGCTTCCATGGAAGCTTTTATACCATGCTCTTGAAGCGTTTCCAAGAGTTCACGTACTGCACCAGGCCGATGCTCAGTGTAATGATCAAGTCCCCTGTACCCGCACGTCTTTCCCAAGTTAGAAGATCGCGCGAACAAATCGTCTGTGAAATTACTCACACATGTCCAAGATAATCGGTAGAGCTTGTCTACCATAGCTGCAGCGTGCGGCTTTTCAGTCTTGTTCCCAACCTGGATGTCCGGCTTCGTCTTTCTCTGAATGATATCTTTCCCAAAGTTGCTGCGTACAAGATCCACTCGGTTCGGGATAACGAAATGATTTGGTTTCGCACTACTCTTGTCGTTCCACTGTACCTCTTTTTCTTGCGTTGCTGGCATCAAGTATACCATCCTCAGAGGTGCGTTTGCCAAATGGGGGTGCTCCTTGCTCCAATACTTGGTATCGCCCATATAACATGCGCCGGTAAGGGTATAGTATTGCTGTGCGTCCAAAGGCTGAGTAGACAACTGATGAAACGCCCGGAGAATTAATAGTGCCGAGTGTTCGGGTACAAAGAAGATTGCTTTGTCGTCATCAGATGGTTAAAAGGCTTCGGGGAAAATTGAGTCATTCACTCACCGTCCTTTTTCTGCACACTAGGCGAAGCCAGACCCAACCTCGATAGATGAGCTGTTTTGATCAGCCGGTGACCGCGCGTGGCCTTTTTTACTTGTCTGATAAGAGTGCCATATGTATTGTAAGCCTCCAATCGATAAGATGGGTTTGGGTCCTGTTCAGATTGAGAATAGGCCCTGTCTAAAAGGCTGGAGAGATTCTTCAAAGTCTTCCGAGAAACCAAACCTTTGTCACTGCGACGGAGCATTGTCAAAAGCTCTTCAATAGCACCCAGAGTGACCCAAGGCTTTGGGAATGGCCCGTTATCGTATTGCTCTTCTTCATCGATATCACCAACATCTTCAATGTAGTCGATTAAAAGAGCCTTTACTCTGAGAGCACCACTTGTATCAGGCGTAAATAGTGTTGAAGTACTCCGTTCCGATCTCTGTAACTTCATCACCTCGTTGTAGTTCCACATTAACGAATCCAGAAAACGGCCTGGTATGTCATATCGTTCCAACTTGAACGAGATCTTTCCCGCCAACATCAATTCCCTGCACAAACTAGCCCTTTTGTTCCTTATCAGTTTCCAACGTCTGAAGGGTTCGATTAAAACTTTGAATCCCGATATATGAGCGAGACCGCCGCTACGTAGGAACAAGAGGAAAGAGCCGGGATGCTGGAGGGCTTCTAGAAATGGCCGGTAAGCCTCCTCTTCTGCTTCCTTCACTTCACCTATCCATGCAATGGCCTTCGTAGCGCGTTTGTAGATCTGGGAGAATAACGAGATCTGTATAAATTCTTCTAGAGGGTCAGAATCATTGATGCAAATAGCATCCGCCCACAGCCGCCTCTCTTCATGCGTATAGCGCAGCCAGAAAAGTGCACGTTGCAGATCCAAAGGGATGAAGACGATTTTAGACTCTATGACGATGGACCCCATAGTACGAGGAGTAGTTCTGTTGTAAAACACTGCCTCGTACCCATTTTGGTCAGCCTTGCTACTGGCCTCGTTGTCATTATCGAGGTTGTAAGTTTCGAATCGTCCCTGTAGTCGCGCAGTTCTGTCTGTAGATGGAAGGAGAGCCAAGATTCGAATCTCATTTGCTTTTAACGAATGGTAATTGGGAGGGAGAACATGTGTTTCATATGCTCCGTAAAGATTCCAACGAGAACGTGCTCTGGACTTTGCATCGTTGTAGAGGATGTGGTATAACAAGTTAGACAAAAGCAATAGTACTGCTTGGCAGTCCTCCCTGAATGAGTTGAAGCTCATGATGATTGCAAGATGCGTCAAGAAAACCGAGAATCAGGCGCATGTTTATACTTCTAGCTGTTGCTACCTAGCCGACACGTCGCAGGCTAATTTCTCGCCAATAGTCGTTCGAGCCGGGCGCCACGGCGGCTTCAGTGACTCCACTGATAAATACAAGGCATTCTCAGCCTTGTCAATCCGCAGCCTTGCTGTTGATTTCGGGAACTGACTGGCACAGCCTTGGTGACACGACATGGTAGTCCCGAGGATGACGGCAATGTCATCTAAAGCATGAGTCAATAATGAAAGTCGCAAGAGCAACAAAACAGTGAGTAATAGGAAAAGTTGGTTGTGTGGTAAGGAGCTGGAGTCGATGCTACATAACCATTTCCCACGCCAAGGCGCTAGATCTAACCATTCACCACGCATGACCCATAAAACACCCAGAGAAATCATTTACACTGCTGAAGGCTTAACTATCACTTTTCCATTCAGAAGTATAAAAAAGAGCGGAACTCTCTAAGTAACCGTTCCCCATTAATCCCTGAATCCACCAATATGCTCAGACAGCCCCATTAAAACACCCAACCCCAATACTCTTCTTCCCTGGTATCTAAATCAACCAACCAACCCCCAACCTCAAAAGTCGAAGTGTACAAAAAGATTTTTTTCGCCAAGATCATCGTGTTCGTTCCAGGCTGAATATGCAAAAAAATACAAAAAAAAAATGGTAACAGATACAGTAAAAAAAAGGAGAAGAATGGCTATATTCATTCAAGACCAGATCCCGTACCTCGTCTTCCACCCATACCCGGTCTCGAAACAACAGCAGCAGCACCACTAACACTACTCCGATGCCTTGCCATCCCCCCACCACCACCAGTAGCTCCAACCCCAACCCCAACCCCATGCATGAGATCCAAATCCACCGGCGTACCAGCTCCCAGCGCAAAACCATAGGCTTCGGGTCCCTGGCCCGCAAACACAGCATCGTCACTTAGATTCTGCTGGGGCGGAGGATCCACGTTAAAGGGGACAAAGTAGCTGCTCATGGGATCGAAGAAGTTGCTTGTGGGGCCAAGGCCGAGGGCGTCGAGGTTCCAGTAGGCGTTGTGGAAGTCGGTGGCTAGGTCGGGGAAAGGAGAGAGGTTGGCGGTGTGGGCTGAAGAGTCCATTTGGTGGGCGTGGGACGGGTGGATCATTGTGGGTGAGGTGTTGAGGAGGGGGAGGGAGGAGTGCTGGGGTTGGTGGTGCGATGTAAAGTCGGCGAGGAATTGCTGGGATGAAGATTGTTGCTGTTGTTGTTGCACGTAAAGGTTTACGGATTCGTATCCGGCGGCCATGGCTCCTCGGATATCGTCTTGGGTGAACATGTTGACTGGTTCCAGGTGCTGCTGTGCTTGCATGTGCGCAGCAGAATTTTGCTGAGAGTGACCGTTGTGCTGCTGGTACCGCGGTTCGGGCTTCGACATTGACTTTGTTCTATTTTTCCGCGCTTGCTTGCGGTGGTGCTCTGTCTTTGACGGCGGGGATAACGAGGCGAAGAATTCCTCCACACTCTGGAGGTCGCTCCTATGACCCAGAACCGCATCGGTGCCTGGTTCGGACTGGTTCGACTCGGCCGCATCTTCGTAATCCGTCTTTGAAACTCCATGGGGATATCTGTCGAACCAATCCCCATATTGGAAGATTCTACCCTTGTTTTCACCCCTAGTATCGGGTCCCTTGAGCTGCGCATCAGCATGTTGTCGGTACAACTCTTTGAGATTTTCTGCAATGTAGTGAAACATGCCCCAGTACTTCTTCATCTTTGTCAGATACTTGACGTTGTACGCGAGGTATTTTTTCGATTGTGCTTCCAGCTTTGGGTTTTTCGAGAAGACTCCATGGACATGGACGGTGGAAGAAAAGAAGGCCGAGTATCCTGCAAATGGGGCGACAACATTGTGATCCATAGCTTCATTGATGAGGATTGATATTTGGTTCGCAGCGTCGAGTGCAGCGCGGGCGGATTCTGTCAAAAAGTCGTGTGGCATATCCTTTGGGGGTCTACTTCCTGCGGTCGAAGGCAATGCAAAACGATGCATGAAAAGCATGATTTGCTGCCATAATATGTGAAGGTAGAGGAAAGAGTTGGCAGTCTTTCCAATGGCGTGGCTCTTGAGGTTTTCGGGGGTGTACACGAGCATCTCAGGCAATGCAGCCTTGAAATCCTTGGCTTCCTTTTTAATAGCATGGAACGTGGACCCTGGAGACCACATAGTCTCGGATTCGCGTTCTTTGCCACCCAAGTTCATATACTTGATCAGTTTTCCCCATGTGCAGACCAGTCGAATGGTATATGCAGAGACACCCATGTTGTCGCGGGGATTCGAAAGCTGACCGCTGTCAGGTGGAACGGGATTTGGCACATTGCCCTCGAGATTCTCCGTCGGCGCATGTATCTCGTGTGTGTAAAGGTGCTCCTTGACTGGTAATTGCACTTCAATGTATTGCTCGTGCACGAAAAGTGGTCGGTCGGAACCAGAAGAGTTGAAACGATCCATCAAGAAGCAAGACCACATTGTCCGCCGCCGTATTTCTCTGTCAGTGGCGCTCAGGGGTTTCCTGTCGGGTTCGCTGACCAGCGGGTCGTATTCATTTTCCTTGTGTAATTGCAGTGCGTATGCCATTCTTTGCGCCATGCCGCCAAACATCCAACTCCGACCACCCTGACATGTACCAAATTCATGCAATCCAAGCAACAAGTAGACTATGAGAATTGTGATGTTAGGCGCATCGTATCGTTTTAGCGCAATTTCACGCGCTCGTACTGCCCAGTTGTCACCTCGCAGAAAACACGGTTCTGTCCGTAATTGGGGATGGTTTGAGAAGCGTGCTGAAATGGCACACAGGGCCAGAATTAGTACAGGCGGAACTTTGCCTGTTGCCAGCTTCCTCATGAAGCTGGGCTTGTGAAGAAGGGGATAGCTTTGGCCGTAGACATAGTCAAAGTAGACCTCTGCCAAGTGCTCTTGCATCTCTTTTGATGGCAAGCTGTCGGCACCTTCTGTGAGGAGCTTGCTCTCATCTGATTCATTAGTTTGGGTAGTTGAGTTGGCAGTGTTTGGGTCTGCGCCTCTTGCTTTTGACCACTCATCGAGCTCATTGCCAAAGGCCTCTTCTGCGGCACGTTTCTTTGTGGTGGGTGTTTTGGGTGGGGCGCCGGGGATAGCGGGCTTAACGACGGATCTGCCTACATTGGCGACTGAAGGCAGGCTTTCTTTTGGTATGAGTTTAATGACACGGTCTTCCATGCGCTTCAACCTCTTGTCCAGCATGGCCATATAGTCGGTTCTCGGCGCAGCTTTTCGCGTCGTGACCTTGTACACGCATGGTATCCTGCTGCGCAGACAGTGCTTGCATGCCGGCTTTTCGCCAGAGCAGCGAATCTTCTTTCTCCGGCAGGCAATGCAAGCCAGCGGCAGCCTCTTTCTTTCCTTGCCTGCCTTTGTCTTCATTTCACTCCACAGTGGCGGGTCCTGGACATCATCTTTACTCCGTCTCGACGTAGTCGAATGGTCTGTGCCATTGATGCTGTTGGCTGAGGCGTCTTTCAAAACATCTCCCATGGCAAACATGTTCATAGCCTGAGCGCTCTCCGGGCTCGTATGGTTCCCGTCGTGAGCCGGGCTTCCGCCGATGCTCATTCTGGTTGGGTGAACGCTGCTGCCGGCACCGCTCATACCCGCGTCGCTCATGTTGCCAACGCTACCTCTGTGGTCGGTGTAGCCGGGCTCGATCTTTGGCTGCAGACCGTCAAAATTGGAGGCATATGACTGGCCCTGTGCGAAGGCCATGTCATAGTCGGCAAGAGAGGCCATCATGTTTGCAGGACTGGTGCCGGCGTTGTTTGGAGAGGCTCGGTAATCAGACAGGCCATAGTCAGTCAACATGAGGGAGTCGTCGGTGTCGTAGGGTGGGTGCGAAGGGGCGGCTATCGAGGTTGCGGTGGCACTCGAGTCGGTCATGACTGTCTCGACGAACGGTTGCGCCCGTGTCTACCTGGATGGCTATGTCGCAAGGCAATGCCGAGGCAATGTCACATTAGTGTTCCAAACTTGAACCGAGCAAGTCATGTGAGCGTGGTGGTTGCAGGGCAGAGAAGCATGGCAGAGATGCGAAGCGGCGAGGTGTTCCAAACGGGTTATGCGAGTGTGTGCGTGCTGTGTACTGTGCTTTGGGGCTCGGAGCACCGGACGGAGAGAGATGTTGGAAGCAAATGGGGAGGCTCCGACTTCTCCACAGGATAGTCACGGCGCTTTGGAGCCAAAAGGCAGTGGGGCGCTAGGCTGGTATATCAAAGCGCAGGCTGTGTATGTGGGGACGAGAAATGAACGTCAGCACCGCGACGCAGATGTTTACCAGGCCAAAATCACAGCCAACACAGGCGGCTTGGGGGCGCGAGCAGAGAGGGTTGGCTGAGGGTGCTCGGGGGAGGTGCACGATGACGGGGAGCAATGTAATGGGCAAGGCCAGCGTGGTTAGCAGCGAAAAGGGTGGCTTGGTGCTTGGTGCAGGCTTGTCTGACGCTGGGCCGTACTGGCATGTGTACTGTACCATTACTAGGTACACAGTGGTCGCTGCGTTCGGTCCCATGGCGCCGCGGGCTCCCGTCGAGATCCGCACAGCTTGGCCAGCCCGCTCCCTTGCCTGTTGAGGCTGACATGGAAGCGCCATCAGTCTGCTTCTGGTCGATTAGAATGGCGCGGCGGCAGGTTTGGGTTGGGATGGATACAAGCGACGGCGATGCTGTGGGCTGGCTTTCCCACATGGGCTTGCCTCTCGCCAGGGCCTGATTACTCAGCCATCACCAAGCACCCCAAGTCCAAGTCAAGTCCAGCTGCAAACCTCTCCCACTCCCCAAGCACACGCCTGCCACTCGCCTCCCGCCCCCTGCCTAGGCGCATGCACCAGACGATCATTGGCAATCGCTTTTAGGCAATCCCATTACTCGGTCGGTCGCTCTGCAGCAGATAGTACTATGTACTTACGGAGCATCCTACTTGTACTGACATCCTACTACATGCTCGATACGTGCGTACTGCATAGATTACTCTACCCTCTTGACACCTTTACTCTTTCACCTCCATGCATCTGCATCCTCCTGTCATGCACACACACACACACGCACAGTCGATCCCCTTTGCACGTCACATCCGACGCCCCATGTTTCCCTTGAACGTCATCAAGCCCCGTTTCACCTCGCCTGACACAGACATGCTGAACTCTAAACCCGCACAGAAGCTGTATGATTCTAGCATCACCGGATAGGCCCGTCTACCTTCCCACCCTCCCGAAGACGAAAATCAGACCACGACTCGGTCGCTTTTGCTGCAACAGTCAGTCCGTCCAAAGAAAACGGGCGGGACCCCATGATGCGCCCACACACCGGTTTCGCCCTGCCCTGCCTTGCGCCCTCGTTTTTTCCTGCGGGGCTTACACACTAGCCCTGGGCCCGCCACTATGCCCAACCCCAACCCCAGTGCCACCAGCCCGTCCATCCCCCGCCGCCCACCACCACCACTACCACATCCCCCCTCCCATTCTCAGCCAAAAGCCCAAAGAACCTCAATAAAGGCCACGTGAGCACGCAGCCACACAGAACCCAATCTCACCTTTTTCCCCCGCAACGCCCTTGCCTTATTTTCCGATTCGACAGACCATCAGTCATTTTAACCTTTTGCCAACGCATGCACATGGCAAAAAACCCACATACATTGATTTCTTTTCCCCCCCTCTTCGCACATGTGCATGTCTATCCACCCAACGGTCCGATGCTTGGCACCTTCCACGTTGGCCACGTGCAAACACTTACACGGCCATCGCCCTTTTTCTTACCTTAATCTTGGCTTCCTATAGAAACAAGCAGCTTAGTCCTTATCTATCCTTCCCCCCTGGTCTTAAAAGGATGAAGAGGGGTAAGAGGGGAAAACCGGCTTAGTTTGTGTAACCCGTTAATTTTTTTTCTTTGCACCGTGTGGGGTCAACTGGGAAAGACCCCGTGTACATACGTACGTAGTAGATAAGCAGTAGTATGGATTGCATCTGCGACCCCACTCTGACGTTGGGGAAAACCAGAGGCGAAAGGATAATGGTAGGCTATGCAACCTTGGGGGCTACGTTACCTCTTTTCTTCTCTTCTGTAAATACTGTAGTAGGCGTCGTCTGATCCATTTATCCGCTGTGTCGCAGCGCAATATATATGTATATGTCTGAAATTGGACTCGCTACTATTCCGATAACCTTTCCGCACCCATCTGAGCGCAACCACCAAGTATAACACAAGCTAAGCTAATTGTATTGTACGCCGTTATTATTGCGCGTACAGCGATAATCAATCCTGCACAAGCATGCACGCACGCACGCTCCAGGGCAAATCATGTAGTCAGCCGCGGTAAGAGTGCGAAGCTGACTGCCTAGACTGAGCTTATTCCCATCCCTTCATTGCTTGATTTATTTTAGCTCCCCCCCCCTACGCCATATTTAAGTATAGAATCAAAAGAGGACCGAATAAAGTAATCCGTAACCCGTCATGTAAAGGAAAGGACAGAGAGAGAGAGAGAGAGAGAGAGAGAGAGAGAGAGAGAAAAGCAAGGTAGTACACGACGTGCGCCAAGGTGCGAGAGGAACACAATTTGCAAGAAACATATATAGTATCTCAAATGGTGATTGCCCACAAACTGCATCATCCTCGACTCCCCCTTTCGCTCGGCACCGAGCTTATTCCATGGCTCCACCGGGATAATTTGCGTATGCGCTGTATGGACTGTGTAGAGGAGTTGTAAATCAGTACGGAGAAGTAACCAATCAAAAAAAAAGCCGTTACATCTGTTTGCTGGAAAAAGAAAAGAAAAGAAAAGAAGAGAAGAGGTACATACTCACCTATAGGTCTGATAAGTCACCTTAGCAGCCCCATGCTCAATCGCTGCGTCTCCCATAGAACCAGCCATATCCTGCTTCTCCATCACCTCCGTATCCGTGGCCATATCTTCCGGCACAGCCGTGCCCATGTGGCGCTTGCTCATATTCGCGTCTTCCACATTCGCAGCTTGCATCTTTGCGGCTTCAGCCTCGGCTGCTGCGCCGTAAACGCAGTACGGCGCATATGTACCGTAGCCTTGTTTCTCTGGCATGCTGGATTCCGGAGCCGCGGCATTGGGGGCTTCGGGGTAGGGCGTGTAGGAGGTGTAGCAAGAGTATCCGCGCTTGGAGAGAGCCGTGATGGCTGACTGGGCCTCGGCGACGGAAGGATAGTCGCCGTATTTTGTGTAGTATTCGCCGTAGCTTGCATAGTCTTGCACTATGGGCTGTGTTGTCTCGCCCTTCGTTGGCTTGGGCATGCTTTTTCCCACTGGGGCAGCGATGGCGAGGCCGGCTAGGCATGCAAGGAAGGCTGCAGGATGCATGGTGAGGAGTGCCTGGAAGACTAGAGTTGGAGAATATCAAGTAGTGAATGTTTGCTCAAGATTGCTGACGGTATGAGTTGATGATGCTGTGAGTCCGTTACGGAAAGGCTCCTTTTGTATACAATCCTGTCTACTTTATCATTGACAAGATTCCCGGTATACACACTAGCGATCGAGATACAGCATTAGGTTCCATCCGTTCAGCACTCTGCAGCAATGGCTCAATTCTACAGTTAGCTCCCAATGCTGCATGCTGTAAGACATGCAAACTTACTGTAGAAATGTTACCTCGTGCTGCTCTGGGCCCGCACTATTGTCAAGTCGACCCATTGTATTCGAACAGCGCATTCCAGGGCCTCACAGCGGTGTGCCTGTGGCACATGTGAAACAGAAAGCTCCTGTTTTAACTTGTAAAACTTATTGTTTGTATAACAAAGGCTTAAGAATATGAATGGTATTGTGTCCCGTTGTCACCTTTGTACCAAGGCTGAGATGGTGCACCAGGACCAGCCTAGACGGTGGTACTCATTGCAATGTCAGTCATAGAATAAACCGGGTAGTGTACTCAGACCAATATATCGCAAGCAAAGCATTATGGGTTTATGCAGGTGATGGTGTACATGCACGCAGGCTGGTCAACAGCGCTGTACGACAGTGACAAGTTGGATGCGAGATACTTGTTGAAAGTAGCCCTAGGATAATCAATGCCTAGCGATATCACCTCTAGAGCCAGACCAGGTGGTGTTGCCAATGTGGTCACGTTGCCTCTTGTATCTGCGTACCAACGTGCTTGACATTTTTGACATCTGTCTCTGTACTACCGCTTGTCATACAAAATTGGTCCTGTGGTCCTGGCTGATTCGTACAGTTGGTAGTGATCGGGTACAGATGGGACACGACGGCATGAGGGTTGGCCGTGTATGCTCTTACTGGAGATATTCTGGGTCTTATGAGTGCCGCGCTGCTATCAATAATACTCTGCTTCTTTTTACTCTGGCTCATCTCCAAGGTAAATTCATACCATGTCCAACATGCTGAAAATATTCAACCGTCAGCCTAAACATGACTGCCTGCATCGGCGGGACTCCGAGAGCCAAGACAGCGACAGCTTGCTGCCAATCCCTTCATCGGGCTCGCCACCCCTCAAACCCTCTCCTTTGTACCGTCCAAGCCGCGATACTTGGGTCGCTGTAAGGGTGCATGTGCTGTGCACCATCGTATACGCGGGCGCGACGTTATGGATAGCTTTCCATGTGAACAGAACGACCTCGATCGTCAATGCTGACGAGTTTTGCATTCACCACATCTCACAATACTGTAAGCCTTGATGAATGAAGATGGGTAGCATTTGGTGACCTTGACAGCACCCGTCGTCAGAGATGTGAAGCCGAATTGGCATGTGCAGTTGTTCAACGGAAGCTTCTTGCACCAGAATGCTTATCGGCAGGCGGCAGGGCCAGAGGTCGACGCGGCGTGGGATGCACTTGGTATCAACTGTAAGTGTATTTGGTATACTGACGACTCGTGTTGACTGTTGTCCGAGACCGAAGTGTAGTGATTCCCGAGGCGGAGGCGGAGCAAACTGGACTGCGTCATGACCAAGTGAAGATTAGTCAGGAGTACGGTGGTGGCTTCCCAGCCAACGTCGAGGGCCTGCATCACCTGCACTGTCTTGTGAGTGCTAACTTTGTATGCAAATGGATTGATATTGACTGTCTGGAGGATCTCCTTCGCAGGACGTTGCATTGGAACTACGACTACTATCTGGCACAAAAGCAGGGGGCATTTGCGAATAGCGGGTACATTGTGCGGGTGCATGCTACTCACTGCCTGGACACTATCAGACAGGTTCTCATGTGAGTGCCGGATGACTCATCAGCCATACAAAGACTAACGAACTGGGCAGGTGCAACCCGGACGTGGGCGTGTTGGGACAGGTATGGTGGCAGCCCGACAGTGAGCCAGAGCCAGAGCCAATGCCATTTGTCGACTTCAACACGAAGCACCGATGTCGCGACTATGAGGCTATACGGAAATGGGCAGAGGCGCACCAACTGCCGCCCGAAACAGAGGTGGACATGGAGAGGTTCTATCAGAGGCCGAAGGCAGGGGACACGGTCTTGGGCGAGATTCCATGAAGTCATGGCGGGCGCTGGGCAGGTCAGCCAGAGGGATGGATTGGGTAGCCGGGCAATGCAAGTCTCTTTTCTTTTCTTTTCTTTTCTACTGTGCTCAGTTTTGGCGAGGCTTGACTACGCCATCGTGCACTATGTAATAGACGACGGTGCTATCAGTGTCGACCGTGGCCAGCACCACACGCTTGGTTGTCCGCCATGGGTTGGCCGGGCTCGCCGTGTCTGTTGTATCCGTCTCGTGTGGCGGGATGATGGCAATGGCATCAAAGACGGTAGCCAGCCTGCGCAGAGTCCACTGCTCCTTGAGCCTGGTGGGCAGGATCCATTCGCGCTCGGGGTCGGCCTTGACCTCAAGAGCAGCAGGCTCACCGGGTGCGCGAGCCTTTCTCTCGCGGTCGGCCTTCTTGAGCAGCTCGACCTGCTCGTCGGGGTGGACGTAGAGACGGCGGGGCGGTAGGCCAGAGACGAGGGGACGGGGCAGAGGGTCGTTTGTGATGGGCGAGTGCGTGTGAAGGCACAGGGCAGTCCAGTAGTGCTGGTGCTGGAGATTGTGCATGATCTGGCGGGCGAGCGAAATCTCATTGGGAAGGTGCGTCGTGGCAGCGTCTTGCGACGACGCCGCTGATACGAAGGTTTGTAGCGGGGCCGGCGCAACGGCCAGTCTCATGGCGCATTGCACAGCAGACGTCGTCATGTCCGGGCCTGGGCGCCGCTGCGAGGTCGAGGATAATTGGCAGTCGACGGCGTCGCAGGGTGCGCAGCCTACTGGGGTGACGAGGAAGCTACGCGGTTGCGGAAGGAGCGAAGATCTCGACTGCCTCCCCCACCACTCACCACTCACGAGAGCATCCCACCGCCGTCCATGGCCGTGGCATTCACCTAGGCAGCGACAGACGCACCCTTCTTATACCGCCCACTGCCGCTACATCATGCACATCGCCCTCTTCTTGTAGACGCTGCCAGACAACTACCACTGCATCATCCTTCAAGATAGCCGTCGCCATGCTCGCATCTACCTCCATCTCCACCTCTACTGTCCTGCTGCTTCTGGCTAGCGTCGCCGTCGCACAAGACGCCCCTACCACTCCCTCGCCTTCTCTTGGCCCTTCGCCCACCAGCGAGGGCGTCTTCACCATCCAGACATCGGTTCCCGCTGATGATCCATGGGCCTGCTATGAGGAATGCTTCATGGAGCCGTGCCCGCCCTCGCCATGTAAGTGTCTTGAGTCTATCTGACCAAGTACTTGGTATGCATGCATATCTACCAGCACCACGCACTGACTCGACTAGGCTCCAGTACACCTAATGCCAGCCTGGGCACCCCCATCCCCCTCCCCCGGCCCATCTCAGAATCCATCGCCTCCATCATCACAGACCCTTCTCTCTCCACCGTCACTGGCGTCATGACCATTCCTGCCGGCGAGACCCCCGAGACGCCCATTTCTACTGGCGCCTCCGAGACCTCCACGGGCGCTTCTTCGTCCCGGACAGGCAGCTCTTCATCTCAGACAGGCAGCACGAGAAGCCCAGCTAGCTCTGCACCGCCCGCGGCAACGGGCAACGCCGTGGCACTCAATGCTAACGCCCATCTCGCTCCGCTCGCGGCAGCCGTTGCCGGTGCTTTCGCACTGATCTGAGCAAGCAGTACGGGAGCATAGTAGGGCCGAGTCACGGATTGCGCATTTTACCTACACATTCATATTAGCACCGGTTTAGTATGATTTACTGAAAACCACTCTAACCTGCAGCCGTGTTCAACCAAACTTCCAACGGTTGCTGTGCTGCCTTTCAAGTTCTTGCTTCTGTGACTGTGGGCAGTGATGGGGTTAGACCAAAAACTTAGTACGTGCCAGTGTCGCACACGAGAAATGATTCACGCTATATATAAAACGACATCAAATGAAGCCTCATGTTCATATAGCGTGTCTATGTTCGTGTGTAGTCCATGATGTATCATAGCAAATTTTATTCTGCCTGATACCCTCACCGCCAAAATCATGCTCCACAGTGATTGTCTTGATGCGACAAGTCGAGTTCAGGGGCTGCGCAACGCCGAGCCGCTCACAACTGACGGCTGGGCATGGTGGACAGCAAACAAACACAACGACAACACAGAAGTGGTCACGGTTGTGGCGGAGTGGCTGTACGCGTCCTTGCGCTGCAGGACGCGTCTAGCGTGTGGCTCAAATGCTGCAGGGAGGTGGATCTGGGGTTTAAAAGCGCAGGAGCCGCCTCCGAAGCAGTCTAGCCCCTCCATCACCCCATCGTCTGCAATGTCCGCGCCAAAGTATAAGGGTGCCATGGCGCCCGATAACAAAGTGCCAGTTATCCCTCCCAACAGATTCGACACTACACGTCATACACCGCCGTAGGGGACAACCCAGCAAAAGCAAGAACCCCGCCAAGCCAACACGGCATTGCACTATACATCATCAACCACCTTGGCTGGCACATTGAGCCGCAAGGGGACATTCACAAACTGTACATAACCGACGACGTGGACCAACCACCTTCTCTCTTGCACATGGCGTCCCCTAACAGCAACATCCCCACGCCGGTGCCGTTCCCACAGCCCCCAGGTATCGCCAACCAGGACACGTCCAACTCTGGCCCAGAGTCACCTACTACCAATGGCCGCGACCGATCCTCAACAAATGCCTCGACCGTCTCGAGTAGACTGCGAAGCGCCACTGGCAAGCTAATGGAAGCAAACCCTCCACCAGGCATGTGGGCAGCAACTGGTACTACTGCAGCCAGGGCACCCTCTCTTTCAGACATTAGGACAGGCTCCTTTGGTTCTGACGGCTGGAATGAACACGCGCAACGCAGTAGAGCAGGGTCCCGAGCTAGTAGGCGTGCGTCAGGATCGAGAACATCTACGACTGTAACAGCAACATCGGAGCAGCCAGAGCCCTCGCACGCTGCAATACGCAGGACCTCATCGAACAATGTGTTGGGCACCCAATCTTTTCCAGCTTTGGTTGAAGAAGATACACGTCAAGTATTAGAACACGACGCTCAACACAACGCTGTACCTGGCGCACCGTCAAAGCACAGTTCCGACACAGCAACCGAGTACGTTGATGGCGACAGGCCACAACAGCCCAAGAGAACGTCTTCAGGCCGGGTACATCAACTGTCTCACTTCCCCCACTGCAATTGTACTAATGACAGACAGTACACAAATGGCTACATTCCGCCACCGAAACTCCCGTGGAAACAAACCTTTGCCATCAGTCTCAAGAGCTTCTGGACATGGTTCCTCACCCCTGCAGGCTTCCTCATCACACTGTACTGTCTCAACATTGTTGCATGGGGTGGCATGTTGTTCCTCCTTCTCTGCAACGCTGCACCGGCCATGTGCAAGCCTACTTGTGACGATATAAATTCACCACGGCGCGTTTGGATTGAGATTGATTCGCAGATCCTCAATGCACTCTTCTGCGTTACCGGTTTTGGTCTGGCTCCATGGCGTTTCCGCGACCTGTACTGGTGGGCTTGGTGGAGGGTTGGTGGATCAAAGCGCACTGAGACGGGCATTCGACGACTAGCCGGCATACATCGAGGATGGTTTAGACTTCCTGGCTCCGATCGGTTACCAGATGACGCCGATGCAACTTGCGTCGACCCTCTGAACCCTGCTGTACCCATCCCCCTCAAGGCGATCCCAGACCCACCCCCGACAGCAATGCGCGCCCCGCCGACGAAAAGCTGGACCATGGACGTTGTTGTGTGGTTCAATGTTTGGAACACATTATTTCAGATATGCCTGTGCTTCTACATGTGGCATTATGACCGTATACAGAGACCGTCATGGGCCACGGGACTTTTTGTCGCACTAGCCTGTGGCGTGTCTGGCGCTGCTGGCTACATCATGTGGCAGGAGGGCAACAAGGTTAAGAAAATCGAGGGTGTGCCCATGCGTAAGGACTATGGACCCACAGATGCAGAAGCATCTTTAAGCGTACCATTGGTCAAAACAGGTGTGGCGACGAAATCCTGATATTAATGCCGAGCTTTCTGCGTGGCGCAAGCAGGGCGGATGAGGCTGCTCATTGGGGACGGAAGTCTGCACTGTGTTCTTGGCGTGCAGCACAGCCCGCGGCTCGCCTCGTCTGGCGTTATCAAGTCATCTTGAAAAGCGTTCATAGTCTGCAGACACTGTACTCATCAACAATAATACATAGTCGCCCATCTACAAAAAAGCTTGTTGACTGAAAGCATGTTCATGGGAATCATTACGTCAGTCAAACGCTTTGCATTTACAGCAAAAGGAAGCATCCGGACGGTTCTTCCGGGCCCGTCATTGTTCCACTGACGGACTGGCCGAGCTCCCCGAAGATACCGATATGCGTACTAAACATATTTGAAACTAGACCTGTTGATCACAGTGACGTCCCTCGAGCGTACTAAGCAATGACTGGTGACAGATGCACGAGACCTTCAGGGTTTGCTCGGTATATATAACTTGGCCAAGGCCTACCAAGGCGCAAGGCGCCTGTTGGATTTGCTACTGTTTTTTTTTCAAGTACGCTTTATACTTTCTTTTACCCACTTCACGATAGGATCGAGCGTAATAATAGAATTCACGATTTACTGGGAGGAGACTACAAGAGATGGCAGCACAGGACTACTATATGGGCACACAAGGTGTCCACGAACTTCCAGGAAGCCAACCACCAAATAAATACCAGTCGCATCCTTCAAAACCACCGCTATACCAGCAACCACCGGCATCACCGTACATGAACACGCCGCCGCCATCATACTCTGCGCATCTTCATCTACCACCACCGCCGAAACAACATAATGGCTACACACCTCACCAACCATATCCCGAAAAACCATCCCAACAACAAGCAATGATGGCACCCTACCCCCAAACGCCACCACCAGGCGGCTACTTCGCCTCCCCACCACCACTCCCACAACCACAACCGCAACTCCAACGCCAACACAGCAGCTACCTCGACGCTCCCCTCCAACCCTACAGAAGCCACTCCCAACCCGCCCGCGTCCGCTTCGCAGACCAAGACTCAGACCGCAGCACAAGCCTAGGCTCAATCTCTGACTCCGACTCTCCTCCACCACCACCCAGCCGCCATCACCACCACCACCATCACCACCACTATACTCAGCCTACCCAACGCCACACCACCACCGCCACCACCCACCACTCCTCACGCTCTCGAGACCGCACCTACGACTCCGACCACAGCGACCGCTCCCGTGATCGTTCTTCCTCGCGCCACCACCACTCCCACTCCCGGCGCCACAAACCGCACAAATCCCTCTCTTACGACAAGGCCCACGAGGAATCGCATAAAACGCGCGACACATTCCTTGGAGCGGGCGCAGGCACGATTATCGGAGATGTCATTTTTCCGGGCCTGGGTACGGCGGCGGGATTGGTGCTGGGTGGGTATGGGGGACGCAAGTATGCGCTTGAGAAGAGGAGGGGGGAGGAGGAGGGGGGTGAGCGGGAGAGAGGAGGGAGTAGGAGGAGGAAGAAGGGGTGGGATGAGAAGTGTAGGATGGGTAGGAAGGGGGCGGGTGTACGATAGAGATTTTTTTTTGAAAATGGGAAGAGAGGGGGAGGATGAAAGAAGGGGGTGTGTGTGTGTTTTGAGGCTGCTGGTTCAGCCTTATGATCATGATTATGACTACGACATGTACGATATTTCACTACGTTTGCAAATGTTTTGATAAGACCAATAGCGCATTTTTTTGTAGATTCGAAAATATATCTTTATTCAAATCTCTTCGAAAATTACATGAGATGTATGTCTTCAACCGAACTTGCGCGGTAGCATTCCATCATGCGTGTCTAAAACGTAAAACGATTACAACTAATAAAGGTAAAAAGTGTGAAAACAGTAAACTTTTTACGGGTAGATGGATGCACGTCTTCAACTGCAAGCAAAACAGTAGCGCTACATCCTGAATGGACGCACGTCTTTGACCGCAGTAAAGCGGTAGCGCTACATCCAACATGTAATCATCCCAAATGGATGCACGTCTTCAACCGCACGGAAAAACGGTAGCGCTACATCCTACATCTCATTATCCCGCCTAGTGGAATGAACATCGCTTAGTAGATACCGGGGATGATTCTCCAGGGAACAAGCTCCACATAACGATCCCAATCCTTTCCATACTTCTTCTTGCACTTTTCCTCATCACGGCGTTCGCGGTGGATGAGCAAGACAGCAAAGTAGACGATGAAGAAGTAGGTGAAGATCATACCCCATCCCTTGGCCTCACCAGGTACAACGTACTTTCCGTAGCTGTTCTTGAAGAAGTAGGCGTCAGTCTGGGCAGCGGTGACGGGGTCTTGAGCTGCGTTCTTGATGACATATCCGGACACGGCGGTGGGCAGGACATAGGACCAGCTCATGAACCAGTCGCCAAGGTAATTGATGTGGCGGGCCATACCCCACCAGCCACTGACAAGGAGCTTGGAGCCGGCGGCTGTCTCGATGTACTTGAGGTGCTTGACGCGGGGGTCTTCGGGGTTGGTCCTGAAGCGGTTCTTCTCGTTGTTGACGGCACGGAAAATGTAGTAGCCAATACCCTGTACGGCCAATACACCGGCTACACCGGTCAGGCCGAGTTCGACGGGGTAAACCGAGAGATAGCGGGTTTGGAGAGAATAGGTAAAGGGGACCCAAACAAGGTCGCCAAATGAAAGCATCATGCCGAAACCATCTGCGATCAGGTCAATGGTAGTGAGAATGGCGGGCTCCATGTATAAGGCGTCAAAGGTATAGACGGTTTGCGCAACGGTGACGAGGATAATGGAGTCGGTCACGCGGCCAAAGTTGCGGTATTGTTGCACCATAAAGGCAAGGTCCATGATGACCCATCCTAGCATTCCAGGGCGAAGTTCGCACCATGCCTTGATATCAACTTCACCAAAGATGGGTAGGGTGATGCGGGGGTTCAGTTCACGTCCAATAAACCAGTCGTACAGCATGTTGCCAGTGTGACCGCCAGCTGCAAGCTCCCGCATGGAGGGATCCTTAGGGTGCTTAACGCTGAAAGAAGCAACATAGACGTAGATGGCCAGGAAGTAGGAGATGAGGATATTGCTGGTGACGATACCGATGTAGTTGTCGTGAATAAAAGTCCAGACAGGGAAGTCGACACCTTGGGCGATGGTTCCAGCGGCGAGAACCGATACGATGAAGAGAGCAGAGTAGAAGGCTGATGCGTATTAGCATAGTAAGCTCCTGTCACGTGAACACGACTTACCATTGAACCTGTACTTGAGCCTACCACCGGACCTGAGCTCTGTACCCTCACACTCTTCACCTGGGAGGAAGCGATACAGGACAAGACTCAGGAAGTAGTAGCCCAGGGTGCCAAGAAGAGCCTGTGTGTTGAGCAGACCAGAGAAACCGGTCCATCCAACCTCCTTCTTCAGCTGTTCAAGGCTGAAGCTTTCAGGGTGGAGGAGCACGGGTGCCGGGCATCCAGAGATGTCATTGCACACAAACGTGAAGACATAGACTAGAAGAGGAAGACCAAAGGAGATGAGGAAAGCTCCAGGACTGCCAATGCGGTTAGCGTGATGATGGTCAGGGTCCTCGAGCAAGATGGAACATACGGTCCGAGAAACTCATAGCCATGAGGCTCCTCGGCGAGCTTCTTGACGCCCTTGTCGGCGGTTGCTTTTGCCATTGTCCCAGCTGTCGAATTGTATCTTCTGACTCTTTCAATGCCTGTGGATGGCGCAAACAAACAAACAAATGTAAGCAGAGGAAAAGGGGTCCGTCGCGTTCCGTCCCACTACAACAACAAACAATCCCAGGCTCTTTTCTAGTGAATGATTGACGCGCCGCCTGGTGGGTAGACGATTGGGGACACAGGGTCTCCTTATGTAGTTGAGTGCAGGACCACACAAATCAGTCGATGGGAGAGGAGGTCGGAAGCTTCGCAGCCGTAATGACGCGCACAGGCTGGTCTTGGCGGCACTAACCGCACCCAGCCCCAGCCGGAGTGCCAGGGATGCTGCGGGTGCAAGCCACTACGACATGGGGTGGCAGCTCCGAAAGCCAACGTGTTGTAAAGGACAAGACGTGTAGGCGATCGGTTCATCGCAGTCTTCACCGTCACCATCGAGTATCGCCGGACTGCGCTGTGCGCCGACCAACGCCGTCATGATAAACCTACTTCACGTCCTGGTGCTCATAGCAGCATCGGCGCTTCCCTTTGCAGCCGCCGCCTCGGACAAGCCGCTCAAGCCATGTACGGTCATCTCGCCCACCACCGAGCGCTTCTTCGACCTCAACCCCATGCGCCGTCTGGCGCCTTCGGAGTCTGATGGTAAGAAGAGCAACAAGAAGGAGGCCGAAGAGGGCAGCTGGCATGCCAGAGGCTACGACTATGGCGCAAACTTCACCATCAACTTCTGCGGGCCCGTTGTAGAGGAGCTCGACGAGGTCCAGGACCTTGACAAGGCCCTCTGGCGCAACGTCAGCGCGTTCTACGAAAAGGGCAGCAAGCAATGGGCCATCGGGTGAGTTCTACTGCCCGCCAACATTGATACCATCAAAGAAAGACGATGAGGACAATCGTTATATGCGCACCCTTCCCCAAGGCTGAAACATAGCAAATTTGGAGTCGCAATGCTGACTGAACACCTCCCCCACAGCCTCGAGAGTTCAGAACCCATATTCCGCGGTCGCAAACTCATCCTCAACTACACGGGCGGCTCGCTGTGCCCCTCCTCGCCGTCAAAGTCCAAGCGCGCGCTCGAGCCAGTCGCGCTCGACTCGCGTGAAATCATCGACGGGGACGACGACGACGACGACAAGGGCAAGGACAAAAACAAAGGCAAAGATGGAAAGAAAAAGACGGAAGAACGCCGCAAGACGACTGTCATTTCGCTCCTCTGCGACTCGGATCCCCTGGCCAAAACCTCCGTGTCATTTGTCGCCGCAGTAGACGACTGCGCATACTTCTTCGAAGGTCGCTCGCCCTTTGCCTGCGGCGGCGTACACCAGGAAGCGCAGGCGCTGAGTCCCGGCGGCGTCTTCGGCGTCATGGTCATGATTGCCGTGCTCGTCTATTTCGCCGGTGGTTGCGTCTACCAGCGCACCGTCATGCACCAGCGCGGATGGCGCCAGCTGCCCAATTATGCCATGTGGGCTGGCATCTGGCGCTTTTTCACGGTGAGTTTACTCCGGTGCTTTCGGAAGGGCGGCCGCATCGTTGTTTGATCTAGTTTAATGTCCCTTTGGCCTCTTGGAGTGCTGACGTTAAAAAAGGACATGTTTGTCATCTTGACTTCTTCCTGCGCTCGCTTTATGCCTGCTCGTCGCGGATACAGTCGCGTTTCCCTGGGCCAGGACAATGCGCGTAGAGGCCGCCGCAATGAGGATGAGGATAGACTCATAGATAACTTGGATGAGGAGTGGGATGATTAGACGGTCCCTGTGTACAGATATTGAGCATGGCATCATGATACGGCGTTTATGGGTTTGGTTTAAGAAGTAGCACTTCGCCTTGGAGCGTATTAGTCTCGGCGTAGAGTGGGTTGTTTGGATATGTAGTATGCGTTAGCAATTCCATCGCATCACGTCACTCAGCACATGCCATTCTGCCAAAGAGCCACATTCTTGTATGTATGTATTGAGCAGGTAGCTGGTGTTACTATCTTGATATGCTAAGTACATCCAGCGGGCGAAGCGTACCCAGCGCCCGGGAAACACCAGTGCAACCTGCAGATAAACTCGTCCGTGTCCATCAAAATCAGGGGCCGAAAGGTTCGCATCTCCACCATTTGTCCAAACAGTACCCCACCTGACTGGCTGACGTTACCAACTAAATAGTAACGATGCTCCGACCTGCAAAGAGCCATCAGGAAATCTCCAACAACGTTAGTCGGATAACCTGTCAAGAAAGCCAAGGGGGCGTTATCGCGAGGTACCATGACCCGTCATCGTCGTCGTGAAGGAAAAGAAAAAAAGGTTAAGAAAATCCTCCCGCTCAGCTGAACGATGCAAGTAGATGTGAGTATACCGACCTACTCATCATCATCCATGTCATCCTCGACATATGGCTGATTGTATGACCTGAACTTCTCCCACAAGGTCCTGGGTACATTGTTGGACTTTTCATCGGCCTCTTTAGAAGACTCTTGTCCCGAATGATCCATACCATGATGCTCCTCTGTACCATCGTGAACCGGCTCTTTGCTCTGGGCATCCTTAGGTGCTTTTGGATAGACTGAGCTGAGATCTCCATTGGCGATGGGCTCGAACTGCGCATCTATACCTCTCAAGATCTGACGAGTCTCTGACTTCATCTTACGCTCCTCTTCAGACAGTACTCGTGTAGGATGGTTACCGAGAGCACGTGTGTAGTCCCTATTCACGTTGCTAAAGATTTCGTAGACTTTGGCCCCCATACGTTCATGCAGCGTTTTGGACATGGCTTCGAGATGCTCGTCCACTTTCTGAACCGCTTTACGGAACATTGTATGTCGAGCAAGCATAACATGGCTTGTCATATGCTCCTTCATCCGCTTGAACGACCCGGGACCGTTCTGTGCGGCACATATGTTATATGCATCACGCATCATGTCCACAATACAAGGTGTAAACTCGCGGTTAGCTTCGCGTGAGATCTCCTGTATCTCATCGACAAGATCAACACCGTATGCCTTGAGACCAACTTCACAAGTTGGGAGCCTTGTCTTCAAAACGGATAGGTTGTCAAGTTCAATCCCAGTGTATTGAGCATGCCCTTCAATGGCTTTATGGGCCTTGATAAGGAGCTTGTTGAGTTTATGGATGTGGCTGTTAAGGGCTTTTGGGAGGCGTTTCTGGAAAGTGCGCTCCCAGCCCGTACTGAGTCGCTTCGTAATAGGTTTGACAAGATCCAAGTTGAAGTCCCGCTTCCCCGCTGCTGGAGAATGGTAGACACCCGCACGGCGGACAACGGCTTTGTATGAGCCCCAATGTAGACCTCCTTGGTCTTTCTGTCCCCAGACGCCAGCTGTTGCAGGCGCAGCCTCTATAGCATCATTGACGAGTTCTGGGAACCTGTCGGAGATTTGAAGCTTCACCTCGGATCTCACTTGCTTGACACAAGCATCCAAGCCCGTTTTCAGCTCCTCCATCCTTCGCTCTAGAAACTTCAGATGCTGTTGTTTATCTTTCTCAGTTAACTTCAAGTCAGGGCTATTGTCTGACGTCCACAACCTGAAGGTGATCAATAGTTGAAGGAAACCCGTTAGGAAGGTTCGGCTTGTCTGGATCCGGCCAGCCTCGGTGAGCTTCTGGCAATGAATCTGGAGCTGCGGGATTTCAGTCTCTTGTAAACTTGTGAAACCGTGCACATTGTCGTCCTTCTGCATGCGTCCACACATCTTTTGATATGCTCTGCTACTGACGCAGAAGACGGGCAAGGACTTCGCGACTTGCTCATAATCACGCATCTCTTCATCAGGGTCAAACCTGTCCTCGTCTGCTTCAGCAGCGTTCTCTTGGTCAATTTCTTTGATACCTGCAGCAAAATCTTGCCGGATAGCAGACTTGGAGTAGATATTGCGCCCGGTAATACAGATTCGGCTCATTTCTGCTCTGATCTTGCCCTTTTCGGCTTGCAACGTTCGGACTTGAGGTCTCAAGTCATCAATGGCAGGTTGCATCTTAGCGCTTTCCTGTCGAGCATTCTTCTTGGTCTCCCTAAGTTCCTTGAGCTTGTTTTTGATGTCCAATTCAGACAGTATGACTCGCTCATCCTGGAACTGAACTTCATCATCAGAGTCGGAGATTTCGTCGTCAGCGCCAGAAACTTCATCGCCAGAGTTCTGTTGTAACTTCTGTCTCTTCAACGGTTGTCTATCCAAGCTGGTATTTTTGCGTTTCTTGCGCTGAGTGATAGGTGCATACACTAGCTCTCCGTCTTGCACTCGCCCATACAATGTGTCCCAGGTCTCAATTTCCTCGGCTAGGTTTTCCATCGCAAGTCTGTATACTTGTTGCGACTCTTTGAGTTCTTTAATTCTGTCCTGAACTTGCTCGATCTGTGCGTCGTAACTCCCACTTTGCTGTTCGAGTTCTGCGACTTCTCCATCCAGTTCAAGACTATCAATCGCCTCGGTGATGGAAATATCGTCTGTTTTTGAGCAAATGAACGTTACGCTCGAAAAGCCACCGTCATACTTTAACTGGCGCTTGAAAGAGTCTCCAAGAAGAGTCTTGGCAGCTTTGTCGTCTACAGCGCGATTGATCGGAGCAACAATCCACAGACCTGTACATTGCTTCATGTACCCCTCAGCAACAGCAGCTCTAGCAGCATTACTATCGTGAACGCCTGGTAGATCCACAATGACGGCCCCCGTTGATAGCGCTGAGCTCTTGGTGTATATTTTGACGACTTTGATCAAGGGCCAGTACTCCGTCTCAGGTGGCGAGGTTTTTGGCTTTCTTTTGCTTTTGTTCTTTTTGAACACCTTTTCTTTACTGTCGACATACTTTTGGAGCTCGACATAGAAGCTGCCTGGATCGCTCATGTGTATTTGTTTGGTGGTTCCGAGAACGCTCCTAACAAAGTTCTTCGACATGAGAGTAGGTATAGTGTTCTCGTGCAATGCGTCCTTCGGAACAGATGGATACACAGCGTGAAACTTTGCCCACGCAACACCAGCATCAGAATTTGGATCTTGCGCTTCGCGCAATAGTGTGCCATTCTCAGACGAAAATTCTTGCATGAGCACTGAGAGCTCCTTTTCCCAATCTTCGGGACCAATGAACTCAATCTCCGCGCGATACTTGGAATAAGCTTCGTCACTGTTATTCCAGGATATCTCAGTAACAACAGCAGTGCAAGCCCGCATGCAGTTGGTAGGGACGAGGCGCTCTTCATCAAGCATGGCGTTGATTACACTGCTCTTTCCAGCTCCTGTGTTGCCTACCACACCTATGACAGTGCGTTTTCGCTGAGCTTGTGGAATCAGTGTTGCTATAGTCTCTGTCCAGGAAGCCACCTCTACGTTGGGCCTAGATGTAGCACAGTTGATAAGAGTCTGCTTGAAGCTTTCGAGGATTTGCATCGCTCGAACTGCGCCAGCTTCGAGGATGGCGGGATGTTGCAGTTCGATAATGCGTCGAATGTTTCGGTCGAGATGGATAAGGTCTTGTTCGTTACCCTCGCCCAGAGATGACTGGGAGACGTTATTGGAGTCCAAGCTTGTGGTCTCTCTCATCAGTGTGTCCCCGGTTGATGAACTCAGCGATGGTGACGGCGGTCTTTCGTGTTTAATGCTGACTCGTTTTGTGTCTAGCACAGGGCCATCAGTAGCAGCACTGAGTGCTATGGAGAGAACAAACATACCATTATGAAGCTCGGTAGGTAGGTTCGAACTATCCTCTTGCGCTTTTCTGTCTTCCACTCTCATGCTTGACTGCATCGGATCGGTAGTCATGGAAGCGGCTATCCACTGGTGATGTATTTGATGTTGACGAGTTGAGCAGAGCAATGGACATTAGAAGACAAGAAAAAGAGGTTGCCGAAAAATAACTTTTCATCTAGGCACTGCGATGAAAGTGAGCGTGAGTTTATCCGCTAGTGACTGCGGCAAACGCTCAGCAAACACAACTGTGGGGCTGTAGAGGCGCACTAGTTGCGCGCTGTCACGTGACGGCATTTGGCCAGGGTTCTGGTGGTAGCTTCGGGAACACTGGCATACTCCGCTAAAGCTGTGTTCAGTTATGTCGTAGTATAGACACGTTGACGTGTTAGTTTGATCCAGATAGTATCATGGAGATCAACTGAGGCAAATACGCGCATTGTATGGCATTCACTTTGTTGTATTCTCAACACTGTCTTTCACTATCAGCGTCGTCTTTCCCATCTTCGAGCTTTGTCTCGCTATGCTACTGTCAAAATTCAACAATGGCCTTGTTTCTATTATGTATACTAGCTGAAGACCTCGAAGTATAGATGCCTAAATCTCAATTCCATATCCTAAAGTAACGATGAGTGCGACACCACGACCGAAGCGTAAGGCCCCCAAAGCTGGTTCAGGAATCAATGGACTCATTACAGCATGTAACCAGAATGATCGCTTCAAACTTTTAGAGGATCCCACCGTTTTCCCGGGAGACTTGGACAACCCTATCCATACTGTATTTTCTAAGTTGGATAGTACAGGACCGATGAAGCAGATGCTGCAGCTGGCGTCGCATTTCCTTAGCCACGATGCACTTTTATCCTTCTTCATACCCTTGTTGTACGGCCGCGAACTTAAGGGCGTTATCAATAGCACATATAAATTCTATCTTTCCAATCCTCTAGTCAGTGCGTCCAGAGAAAAGTATCGAATATATCTAGCTGGTGTGCGCGATGCGTTGGAATGTCTCAGTCACAGCGTTTCATTTCATTTTGTGTCACCTGTAAAGCGGGTGTATGCACGCACTCTGAGAGAAGACGAACCATCAACTCACAGCACAGAATGTTATTCCCTATTCCAGCGAAAGTATTTTTGCAAGATTGAGTTAGCGGACTATTTCAAGAGCTACTATACCAGCGGTGAGTACTCCGCAGCGTCTCCATGTGCGCAGTTTCGCCACGACTTTCTCTTTGCCACTACGCTCGTACATGAGGTAGTCCATGCCATCGGTGTGCTGCGGCGAGGCAACCTTGACGAACCATATATTCGAGCTGATTGCCCAGATACCGAGTGGGGGTATGGCTGGGAGCATTTCATGTTTGGTTGCGTTATTAATCCACAAGATAGATCTAAGCCTGGGACACATCTACTGATGCGCAAAATATGGGCAGATCCGAAAACAGCGGAAGAGGCTGGAGGCAAAGAGTACTCAGATGTTTCTATGTCTTACATTGCGCAGTGGTTTCGCAAAGACACATGGGACATAGTTCGCAAGCAAGGGCCAACTGCAATTGCTGCCCCCATTACCCATTTTAAGATTCAGTCTTCGAACAAGCTCAGGGCTTGGGTGGTTAAAAGCGATTGCCCAGAAATCATAGATGATTTGATTGAACTACATGAACAATGGGGAAGATGTGCCATAAAGCCCAGCCCTGTATCAGGTTCTCCAACAACAAACAATGGCCGTGTGCGATGTACGAAGATTCTATGGCAGTCCATGACTCCTGAACAGCTCCAGGAACACAATGTACCTATACCGGTTCGTGCACCGCAAAGCATAAAAAGTCCTCTGCTGTCGTTCCAGAATCACCCGAAGAGCCAGCTGAAAACGTGAAAATATGCACACGGCTCTTGCATCCGATAAAGAAGATACTGCACTCTACAACACCCTCGATTCCGATTGTCGTCCTACTCGGAAGCGGCGCACAGATCCAGCGGAAGAATGCGGCCAAGCTAAAAAAAAAGTTAAAAAGCTAGAAACAGGAGTTAGTCTAGATTCGCGTCGCCCAATCTCTTAGATAGTAGAGAGGTCATCGCACGTTATAGAAATAAAACAGTTATGTGTAACTTTCGGCACTCCCCAAATTCCTTGATTGTATGCGATCATTTGCGATAAATGATCCAGCTTCACACATCACATATGCCGATTGTTTGATAACCGTGTATAACGACATCAAACCGGCTTGAAGATCACTGTCTCAGAGACGAATATTTTTGAACTCAAATTTGTCTCATGTTGTGAATAGCCATTACTATAACATCTGCTAACGATCTCATTGTCAGTCCTACATTCAGCTGTTCACGATCTTCACTTTCACACCAATAAATTTCGTCATCATGCCTTCTCGGCCTAGCCTACCATCCAACAATGTCTTTGTCAAAGACCTCATGATATCTGTCTCTCCATGCTCAGCAGACAACCACTGCCCGATATGCAAAGAAGAATATGACGAAAAGCACCTCCCCACCCTTCTCCGACCCTGCGGTCACATCTTCGGAAAACAATGTATACATTCGTGGTTTGCGGAGGGCATCAACACATGTCCTCTGGATAGAAACCAGCTCTTTGACTCGTCTACGTATGCTGAGGAAGACGAAGCTCGGCCGTCACCTCCTGTCGGTGACACTTCAACCCAACGAAACAGCACCAGGTTTAGCAACGCGAGAAGAAGCGAAGGCTTCCGTGGAAGGAGTCGGAGTATGGGCTATCTACTGTGTCTCAGCGGTGAAATCATCGCAGTAGATGGTTACGTAACACCAAACGGATGTCGTCGCCTGGTCCGCGATCTCTGGTATGAAATTGGCGTTTTGTTCGAACGCTTGCTGATTCACCCTGACGAGCTTGACCCTCTGTCTGTGAGCGATGACGAGATCCGTAGCTCCATCCTCGACGCGCTACCACGAGGCATTCGTGTTGATGAAACAGCATGGCCAGCAATGGGGCATGTAGCAAGGACCATGTTGAATCGCTATAGCGTGGCATATGCGGAGGGATTTCAAGCGAGGATGACGGTTGAGGACGCAATGTGCTGGGGGCAAGATATCTGGGATATTTGTGGTCTAGATAGTACTGAAGATTGATGATAGTACAATTGCTATCATCTCTGCTGTCTGTTCTCTTTTGGGCTACGATAGGAGAAGAATCTTGATGTTGCCCCTTACTCAACGCATATAGCTGCTGTAGCCTTCATAGCCCTTTTATATGTCAACGACATGACTTGGTGTTGTCTCCTTAAGATACTTATGTAATTAGAAAAGAATCTGATGTATCGAGCTGGGATGATGGAAGGGCCCAACCCAAACCAATTTGCAAAAGACCAAGTGCGAAGTTACTGTTGCAGCACTGATCACGCATTTGATCATTAGACGTTCTCACATAAACCCTTGGTAATTATGGAAGATGGAGAGGAGCTGGTGATGAAGTTCGTCGACTTGGTCTTCTCCAATTTCATGCAAGCTATTACTGGCAAAATGTCCAGAACTTGCTACAGCATCTGCCAAGAAATAACGACTCCCTACCCTTGTCAAAAGTCTCTATTAATACGTAGAAATTCATTGTTTATCTCACTGCTTACCCGGCAGTCTGTATGCAAGTGGTCAGTCGCGGAATATGACCGGGTCTCCAACCGCCCCACAGCTCAATTGGAACGCTCGGACTCGGCGTGAGTTACAACTCTGATTCCCGGTAGATTTTCGAAACATCTCCAAAGCCCAGTATCCATAAACCTCCTCTAAAATCACTGGATTGCTGGTGGCAAGTGTGTTGTCACATGATGACGTTATAGCCGTTCTGAAGTGTCCTCGAAGGCTACGGAATTTCTGGAACGAGCACGGGCTAACCCTAACCGGCCCTCTCACCCCCCACATTTCGATCAATACCCTCAGTCGACCAAAAATTTCAACATATTACAAAGGGCTATACCATTTATCTTCTTATTAGACGGCTTCGACTGCAAGATCATCCAACAGTCGGTGCTGTACAGTTATTTTGATTGCCGTTCCACTCCGGCCACAGCCCGGTCAAAAATCCTCACCGCCCACACTTCTTGGTTGCGCAACAGTAGCAGAACCCAAATACATACGCCAATTGTCCTACTGAGATTTATATACTGGCATCTTATTTATATAAGTACCAGTAGATTGCGGCACGATCTCTACCAGTACAACTGCTTCGTGGTACCAATTCAAGTAATCCACTTTGGACTGGCGTCCGCGACTATGATGCCCAACACAAACACCCCCTACAATCCTGCAGCTCACAGCACACCTACCACACTACTCCCAGAAGAGGTTTTCGGCTACATTGATGTTGTAACATTGGCAGATATCCACCGGTACCTCCGGGAGAGTGAGGCACAGGACGACATCGACCTTGCGGCATGGATCCAGGAGAACTATCTTTACGGTGTTGAAAAAGACCAACCTACAGCGACGATTCGTACAGCCCAAGGCTTTGCTCAGTTGGATCGAGCATACCGCCGAGTGCGATCACTCACTAACAAGGCTCAAGACAAGTGGCCGTTCTTTGACAGAAATTTCAAGGAGATGTCCTCAGCCACAGTGCGGAACAACGCACGCGGTGAGGCCGCCCCGGGAGTATTATATCCGATTGAAAAAGCGCAGAAGGCCTCGACTGCAGTTGAGCAGCTGGGTGCTTCATCCATATCCAATAGTAAGTGGAGTGAATTTGAAACTATTTTGAATAGCTCAAAGTAACTTTAGCTTCTTCAGCCCCGGGGCTCCAGGTGCCGTTTGCTTCGGTAAAGCCAAGCCGCCACCAGCTTTGTAAACAGGAGGAAACTCGTCCAGCGCAACAGAACCCAACTCTTCTCCCGTCCAATCTACCAGCAACTCCTGCTCAGCAGCAGGCACGTGAGAAGGTCTCAGTTCATTCCAAGAATTTGGCACAAGAGACTTCCATGTGTACGGGTACGTTGATTCGCATAATAGAGTCATGCTCACTTCACTACACCCCACTTCTAACTTCTCACGGTCATTACCGACAATGCTTGGTCATAATAATACCCTTGTAATTGGCTTTTCGACTAACATGACACTCGCAGACACTACTACAGACGCCAACAGCCGAGAAATGATTGAAGCTGAACTGCCGCAGCCTGCGCCAACTTCAATCGGACGGACGCGCGACGCAGCTGAAGATGTCAAGATAGAGACCCCGTCTACCAGTCCATCGAGTGGTTCCAAACTTAACGATGATGACTCCAAAGCGAACCCCGTTCGAGATGCTGGAGGTGGCAAGGTCCGTGGACCGAATGGGCGATATCTGTCCAAGGATGACGATTTGTCCAGCCTGAAGAAGATTAAGAAACCCAGAGGAAAGGGTGGTAGACCAAGCTTGAAGTCATCTGACGAAAGTAAGTTCATCTCGCCGCTTCTGTCACCCATGCGCAGTCACTGTTGCCCTCTGCACATTTCGGTTGACCAGGCGCAAGAGCTACATTTGATCATGAAATACACATACTTACAAAGCCTAGATCATTTGATGACGGTGGATGGATTTTCAGATAAGCCCGACGAGCTGTCAACTGGAGACGATGATATCTCCGTTAAAGTGCAGACACCTTCGACACCACCTCCGGACCAGAAGATAGAGGAACAGAACAGTAGGTGAAGGAAGAACTCGTACATCTATTTTTACTAACATTTGTGTAGAGAGCAACCCGGCTACTACACTCGCAGTCCTTGATATCACATCACCCCTTACTACCAAAGATGAGACTGAGAACCAAGCGACTTCCTTGACAGAGTCTACTCCTGCATACCTTCTTGCAGCTGAAGCTGATCCGGTGCTTTCAAACTTGGATCGTCTACCGCCTAATTCCCGTAGGGCCATTAAGAGGAAGAGCGAGCCGGTTGTTCAGGAAGGGGAGCGCAAACGCGGTAGATATGGCGGCATAGTGGGCCGCCCGCGGAAGTCGGAACAACGTGAAAACCGCCAAAGTGCTCAGGGAAACGATTTAATACAAGTTCATGGAGAACATGGGCCAGATTCATTACCCCAGATGACGACACGTCGAAGTGCCAGGCAATCTGCTGCAGCGAACTTGGATACTTCGAAGGCCGACGAGTTAACATCCGAGCATGAACAAAAAGACTCGAAGCTTTTGGAGAAAGAAGTAACAGCAGAAACTTCCCCGAGCAATGAAAGTATGACCACAGCGGAAGACAAGACTATGGGAGGCATGGAGGAGAAGGACATGCCTACCATTCACAAGAACACTCCTGCACCTGCCCATAAATCAAAGAAAAAAGGCGCACGCTCGTCAGCTGAGCCTAGTACTCGCAAGCGTTCGGCTAAAACCCCGAAAGCAGATCTATCGAAGATGAGTTTGGAGAAAACCGCTCCCGTCCTCGCAACGGCATCGTCTACAGATATGGAGAAAGACGGAACCACGCCAACTTCGTCTGATTCAGCCGGTTTTATTACGGTCAGCGGAACGAAGAAAACTCATACTGGTCACTTGGAGTTGTTTGCGCGTCTGACTACCGGTCACGGTATCATCGAGTTCCCCATTCCCACCGATCAGCTTGACAGCGATGAGGCGAAGATGGTTGAAAAGTACGCCGAATGGAACGCGCAACCAGATGCAGTCCCAGTCCCGTATGATCAGTTCCGCCAGATCTTCTCCTTCGCTAAAACGAATTGATGGGCTAGTCTTATATGATATTCGAGGTCATAGTGAGAGTTCGGGGTAAAGAAATATGTACAAGTAGATTGATTGATCAATTGATTCATTTAGTCTCCTATAGATCATGTGATCGGGCCAAGCCCAGGACTTACCTAACACTGACTTTAAACACCTGCGTATATGTTTAATACGCAAAAGTGGTATTCTCTTCGTTTTCCCTGTCATAACCTGAGGACGTATCTTAGTTCTCTACGTTGCTAGATTCTTCACTATGGTATCGTATAATCTCCCGAGACAAAAAGCACATCCGTCTAAAAACTAAAATGGCGGTGGCTGTATTCAAGTATATCTGCAACCGATCCGCACTTGAAAGTGTCAGTGACATCCCTAATCGCATAGTAAGCCCGCAACTTGGCCTCCTTGACCCTTCCCCTTGTTCTTCTAGAACACGTAAATTAGTAATAGCACCGAAAAAAGCGTTTACCTTGGCATTTCAGAGCGTGCATTTTTTTCCAAGTGAGTTCTTGGTTTTCCTGCAGTCACCTTATAGACACAATTGAGAGTGGGAATACGGGGTTTTCGTTTGCGCTAGAAAGGGGCAGGGGTGGTATGTGCTATGTATATTAGAAGACTGTGGTTGAGCATGATTGAGACAGAGAAGAAGGGGAGATGTAAATAATATAGCAACCAAGAAGCTATTTAATGCAAAGAGAGAGAGAGAGCCAGAGGACTAGAAGGGAAAGTGATGTGAACCACAAGAGACTTAGCTGTAATACAGGAGTGATTTGATATACAACGGAGAGCAACACATCATGCCGTAGCTGACGCCAAGGTAGGTATATTGCTCGGGCCGTTTAACTTTAAGAACAAATTACTGGGGTGGAGGGATCAGGACAACTTAGTTGAGATGACCACTAACCGCAATCGGGAACCGTCGTGCCTAGCGCTTCCCTATGCGTGAGAACATCTCAGTGCAGACACGACACGGGCCTACAAATATTACCTAGCTGGTACGTTTGTAGTATGCCCAACAGGGCGTACTGCGTACACAGTATTTCACGCTGCTACCTCGGCGGCTCGGCGAAGTAGCTCGTCGGGACTTTAATGATGATAGACAGCAACTTACTCACTATATAAGAAATCGAGGATCCCTCCCAAGAATGTACTCTCTACCTCGACATCAAGAACGAATAAATCAAAGCAAATCTCGAACCGACACAAATCCTCAACATGCACGCCAGCTCCTTCATCGCTCTCGCCCTGGGCGCCACCGCCGTTTCTGCGGCCGCTTTCCCCAACGTCGAAGCCAGACAGCAGTCGTGCGAGCCGTACTGCAACTTCCCCAACCTCCCCAAGATCCTCGACTGCCCGAGAAATGGCGGCCAACGCCTCACTAAAGACGTCGTTGCCAAAGCGCTTCTTGCCGCTGATAGGAGTGAACCACCGCGCGAGACCAGTGCCAACAACCTTGCTACGTCGCATTGCAACGGATCGCGATTTTCCGGCATTCCTCTCTGGACTATAAGTCTCTCTTGATAACGCAATAGCTAGTATCTTATCTTAATCGCAATACTAACGTGGAGATGTATAGACTGACTTGCCTAACGGAGCTGGCGGTGCTTACTATGCTATGGCACGTAACGGCACCTTTTGGCTTTGCGGCACGATTTCGACGGCAGTTGGGTCACCTGTGCGCACTAGCTGCACTTTCAAGAACTAAGTTTGGGGCTAGAGATATCTGTATACATTTGAAGTTGTCTAATAAGGGTCACTGTAAATAGAAAATAAAGTGTTAACGTGTTTCACCACCGAGCGGCCCACCCCACCGAGCGGCCCACTATTACACCGCGACACGTCTTGATAAGAACATCGCAAAATGTCACAACAACAACAACTTCAAAAGAGCTATACTGAAGCTGACGTACAAATAGCAATATC